AGCGCGAGGTCAATGCCTGCTTTTAATAATGCGTAAAAATATATGGGGAATGCAAATTGAAAGCACAAGAATTCTCTATTATGGGATTTGCAAAAAAACATTTTCCTATATTGAATTATTGCTTATAGCTTAATTTAATTGAATTATTTCCAAGAATAAGTTTAGGTTTATTGTTTATTCTTTAACTTAGGGTATTTACAAAACTATGTCATATGTAACAAAAACAAAAAACACAAAAATATTTACATAACAATTTTCACCTATTCATCTCACATTTATCCCCAATCTCTCACCTATTTTTTGTTTAGTTTGGTGCAAAATTAAATTGTTAAACACGTTTCCCTTCTTTAAATATTTTTACTAATTTTTGATCTTTGCTCTCGAGCAAATAAATATGCAAAACATCGTTCAAATCAATTGATTGACTTTGAAAGCAACGACAACAACGAAATCGAAAGATCAAATTAAAAAATGTGAGCTTTAATTAAAATAAACATGAGAATGATTTCTAAACATTTGTTAAGTGATGGAGATACAGAACAGGGGGTAAAAGGTGGTAAGAGATCTGGAGACGGGTCTGGAAATCAGGTTGTTGGGTAGAATGCTTGTTTGGAGAAGGGAAAGGCGGGGTTTTCTTAGCCCACCAACGGAACTGCAATAACAAGCAACGACGACGTCAGCCTATTTAGATGTAAGATCAGCGATAGACAACGCATAAAAAAGGTTGCCTATAAAAAAGAAGAAGAGGAAGACTTTGGAGAGGGACAGGGAATGGCGGCACACACCTGTCCCAGGCACCGAAAACAACAACAAAGACAACAACTCGGAGAACAACAACAAGGAGAACAAGAACGGCGCCGATAAATGTATGCAAAAAAGCAAAACGATGTACCCGGGCGGAGAATACACCTTCCCCCAGTAACAATCCTCCGCCGCCCCCTCTAAACATCCTCCTCTTCCCAAATCGCAACTAGAAGGCCGCACCTAGTGCAATATGGTAAAAAAAAAAATTCTACAGTGGTTTTTGACATTTTAGAAAAACAAAAATTCAAAATATTCAGAACACAATAATCAAATTTTATTCAAACTCAATCTAAATGCCTGAATAACTTTGTAAGAAAATACACATTTCAAATATTTTAAAATATTGGTATGTTGCCATATCATACCACTAATGTGTCTTAACTTTTTTTAATGATTGTACAAAACAAGATTAAAAATATTATAACATATCCTTGCTTAATGTCTTGCCCTCCCAGCAACCACTGTATTGTTATTGCTTCGCTTGCCTTGTCGTGTGTCTTAAGTTTTTGCTAATAATAATATAGCAAAAAAACACACATACATATAACGAATGAAAAACAGCAAGGAGAGCAGAAGAGATCAGCAGAGCGAAAGAACAAGCGAACATCACATGACAAGTTGGGTGGGTTGGGAAAAGTTCGGTCTGGAGACCTGCCCACAGTCCAATCTATTGCTAACAAAGTGACGGGGAGAGAGGAGAGGGAAGGGGGAAGAGAGGAGAGAGGGAAGAGGAAGAGGATGGGAGGCAATGGGGCAGGGCTGTCCGGCTGGGAGGCACTGAAAGAGATCGCTCTTTGCTTATCGCGCTTATCAAATCGCCAACTGACAGCTGGCACTAGAAATGGGGAAAAACGGGGAAGGAAAACAGAGATACTGGCGGCTGGAAAACGCGAAAAGCCTGCGGGGGAATATATTGCACAGGGATTGAGATAAGACAGATCCATCAGGTTAAGTCGCCGCTTTTTGTTGGGCTTATTTAAGATGCAATTAGTTGAGATCATCTGATGGTCAAGGTTTTACATGTTAAAAAAAGGATTTGCCAGGAATTTTCGTGAAAAGAGAGGAACGGCATTGAAGGTATAAAATTGTACAATTATGTAGCAGATTAATTCCACTATCTTTAATTATTTTTATGAAAAAAGAAAACACAGACAGTTATATATATTTAATTGTAAATAAATATGTTTACACATGACAATGGTAATCTTGTGGAATCCTGTTGTATAATGTCGTTCTCCCATTTTTGTTCGAGATTTTTCCATTTTTCTCTACAAATTCTCCATGATTTATCAATTAGCAGATGACATACGACACAAATCTCTTTGAAATTTCAATTTCGAATCCCCAGTGAATGAAGTGAATTTTATTTGAATTCCATGGTGGTCCCACATGGCGTATACGCATCCATAAAATATTAATACGCCTCGTAAAACCCAGGCAGCAAAATGAACTCATAAACTTCAACTGTTTCTTATCAACACTGAACGCAACTTAATCTTAGCTAGATGAAAAAATAAAAGAGAACCCTGACTTGATTTTGGATTTTGCAAAAACGTGGTCAACAGAGCACAACGCTTATCAGTTGTGAGCCCAAAAATATTGATAAGCTAATCAAAAAATTGAGGAGCTTTTCTCACATTTTTTATTTTCTTGCCGTTCCGAAACGTGCTGTGCAACGGATTCCGTGTGGATTCGTATTCATACAACCAGAAAAACACGATGAATGACATCGGCTAACACAAAAAAGTTTAATAAAAGAGATTAGCATAAATTTGGAAATTTTATGAGCAATAACCGAGCAACGCGACATCGAAAGAAATCGAAGCAGAGAAATAACAAAACAGTTACGAGCGAAAAAAATATATAAACCTGTTGGCGCCGCCATAACAAACAAAGCTTTATTTCAAAACACGAAATTCCAAAAATTTGCGACTCGAAATTTAAATTCTTGAACACAATAACAAGGTCCAAATAGGGATGAGGGATTATATAACGTAGGATGGGTTAAACAAAGAAATCGACGTCAAATAAATGCACTTGTGTTTAAAAGCAAAAAACAAGTGTACATTTTTCTTCTGTTGTTCTTCCTTTTATATTAGTTTTTTTGCTTTTTTAATTTCCTATTTCTTCCTTCTGTTTTTTTTTTTTTTTGTATTTTTTCTACACATTTTAAATTAGTATTAGGGCTGCATTGTTTTGTGCTTAGTTTATTTTTTTCAAAAATATTGTTCTGCTCTTTTTAAGCTCTTATTTGATTTCTTCTTTTTATGCGCAGCAAATAATCCCCTAGCTGTTTGTTTTGTTATTTCTGCGACTTTGACTTTGGGTTCCACTGCCATTCCCCATCCCGTTCCAGGGATTCCATGGGCTCTGCTCAGATACGATCCAATACCACCGATCCGATTGGATCCGACTCCGCCAGACGGAAAACACATCCACATCCCATAACGAGACGAGGGCCCAGACCAAAACCAAAACGAAAACCCCGAGCAAAGTACAGAGACTTCACAGCAGACAATGTTGGCAACCGGTTTGCGATTTATTTTTGTTGCTACCGCCTCGCAAAGATCCCCTCCCCCTTTATCTGGCCATCTCGCTCGCACCCTCGCGATGGCTCGCTCACTCAGGCTCATTATTATTATTTGCTGAATATTTAACATTGAAGCTGGTCGAAGCGGATTTTCATGGCACACACACACCAGCAAAGCAAAGAACAAAAAAAAAAAACAGTAATAAAAAAAGAAAGAAGAGGTGTCGAAGCCTGAAATACCCTTAAATCCAAAAAGGATCAAACACTTAAAGGTACTTTTTACCAATAAAAGATTTAAAAGTATATTTGCAATAATGCATTGTAGATGAAATACATAATATCTTAATTTATATGATCTCTTCTTAAATCCATTAAATTTGTAGGACTACCATTTGTGAATTAATACAAAAATCTATTACCGAAGTTAAGTTCAAGGCTCAAATAATCAGTAATATTGATTTTTGTTAATCTAGCAACGTTTCTACATAAATTAAACATGCGTAAGAAACAAATATGCTTGAAAATACCCTACCCAGGGTATAAATATCCCGCACAGCTAAAGGAAAACCGAAAGCCTTTTGTCCGCAGGCTTGAAACAAGCTCAGACGGGGCAGAAAATAAATTGAGCGAAAAGCTAAAAATAAGCTCCATTTGTTGCTGCGCTGCCGCGGCGGCAAACATGCCAAAATGCGGCAGACGCTTTGGCAACCGCAAAATGCAGCGGCAGCTACAACAATTTAAACAACAACAACCATATTCCAAAAAGACACAAAAATTATGCAGCGGAAAAATGTATTATTTATTGTTGTTTTTGCGGCGAAATATTTTGCGAGCGCTGTTTAAGCATAAAATTAAGTAGTTTAAATAAATAATCACAAAAAAAGTGGCCTAGCCGAAAAAAAATGTTTTACACCCCAACCACCGAGCCAGCGCCATAAAATGCAGTTGCATTGAAATTATAATTATTATGAATTCATTATAAATGGCTCGCGGTGAAATTTGTTTGTATATATTATATAAATATGTATTTTTAGCGTTTTTCTGTGCTCTGCGTTTTTGAGCTTTTTATGACTTTTTAACAGCAAACACAAAGTGTCGTTAAAGAAGATCGAATTGAATGTGAATGGAAGTCGACGTCGCCTTCCAAATATGGAGCCGCGGTAGCCGCCGTCGAAATTTTTGTTATTCTCGATTTTGTTGTTGCGGCGTGGGGCGTTCATATGCATAATTAAAATTAAGATCAGGGCTGGGGAAACGTGTGTGCATAAATATGAGGGAGAGCAATAATTGAGCGAACCAAAGGAGGCAGATTATCAAGTTAATAAGCCCTCTTTTTCTGAGAAAATGTTGACCTACCCAACAAAGTAAACCTTTCCAAAAGTAACAATTGCCGATTAGGTTAATTTTGTAGAAAGGGAAAAGGGAGTTTTTATTTATAGCTTGAAAATTGGATATAAGCCGGATATAGAACAGGGAATATAAGATCGACAAATGTGCTGGTCATCAAAATGTTTGTAACCTTTTTGTCTGAATCTCAATAGTGTTTAAATTCTGACTCAATATCAACGAAATCGATTAATCTGTTTGACCAATCAAGTTTATAAACAAAAACCAAGAATTAACCAAATGTTTTTAAATGAAGTTTCCAAAATGTTTCTTAACTCACCTTTCTTTTCTTGTGATCCAATTCCCGTTGCGCCTTGTGCATCTCCTTGAGCTCCACCTCCTTCAGCTGATCGAGGATGATCTGGTACTTCTCCCGGTTCTCCACGTCCAGCGCCACGTGCAGATAGTCGTGCCAGTTGCGCGAATCGAAGCCCCAGTGACAAGTTTGGTTCTCGAACTTCCGGTGGACATGACCCACGAACTTCTGCGGCGAGAACCAGCCATCGCACTCGAGGCACTTGATGCAGGTCGGTTTCTGGTACGAGTACATGTCGGGGGGTGCAGATGCCCTCGCATTTCCCAAAGCACTTGTGATAGACGTGGAAGCTCAGGGCTCCCTTGGCCAAACTCTCGATCGGCACATAGCTATTCCGGTCCGATCGATGGAGTAGAGCCGCACAAAGTCGCTCGGCATCGGTTCTGGTTATCAAGCCACTGGCCTTAACATCCGATGGCAGGATCTTGGCCGCCTTGAATTCCACCAGCTGATCGGGTGTACACTGCGAGCAGTATATGCCCAGTTCGTCGAAGATCCTGTTGATCTGTTCCAGGGAAAAGTCGTTGAGAACATTGTTGAGAAACTGGGGCAAACAAAGTCTCATTTCCCCGCCCACGGAGAAACATCCAATGGTCTTTCCTTCCAAATTCGTCTCATAGAGCTCCCCGCAGCCCGAATCCGCCACCGATAGAATCGGTTGTGAGAGTTCCCTGGGGGGCGTGGCGGGTGGATATATCTGTGGGGGCGTGCCCCTCGAGGAGCACTCATGATGAAGGTCCTGGGGCTCCGGTGAGCTGAGTATTTCCTTTTTGATTAGCACTACAACTGGCGGCGAAGCTTGACATTTTCCATTGGACAAGCTGAGGCCGGGACTCTCGCTCCTCCCGTTGGTGGCAATGTCCAGGACACCGGCGGTGGTTAGGGCGTGTCCTGGCCCCTGGAGCGATTTCGTGGCACTCGTCTGGTACTTTTTCAAGACGGTGCTAATTATGGGCGTCACGGCGTATTCGGTCATTGTTGGGCAATGTCTTAGATAACCAAGTTGCGATCGTTGGGGCCTCAGAATGGGGCACTAGCCATCTTAACGAGAACTTGTTCGCAGTCCTTATGATTTTGAATCCCTCTATAAAGATAGTTTCGTGCCTTAGGGATCTACTAACAGTTTCAATGGCTGTCCTTCAGGAACGGAACATTTCCATGAAGTTTTATCAGATTAAAGTCGATATCTGTTGTAAAATGGTTTGACTTATTTCTACCAATTATCTTAACCCTTTAGTGATTTGAAGGGCCACGATTTGGATCCATTTTTTATGAATAACTATTTAATTTTTGTTACGCTTTTTCTCCAATCTGTCTAACTTTTTTCACTTCCACTTTGCGTAACAATTTGGCACATTCGTTGATTGGTTTTGTTTGATTTTGTCAGCTAGTTTAACTAATTTTGTTTCCTTTCACATTTAGCATCTTGCCGTCGGCACTTTAGCTCTCTCACTCACACAAGCACAGGACTTTTTTCTTGCTGTATTTTGTCGCGTGTTTAGAATATTTCGATATTATTTCAGTCGCGTATTTTTAGAAATATATATCGGCCGGCTTTTGTCGACTGGGTGAAAACTTGTGCGCACTTCGCCTGTGCCCTGCACTTATTAAATTTTCGCCATAAATTAATTTCTCTTCGGCGCAATTTCTTAAGTTGAATTTTTGTATTTCATTTCGTATATCTCAATTTCTCAACTTTTTTATCTTTGCGCTGCACAGACACACACACACGCGGAGACACACGCACACACGCGACTAAGGCCGGCTGACAGAGACGGAAGAGAGGAGCGCAGGCAGTGAGAGCGAGCGAGAGGGTTGGACAGAGAGAAAGAGAGGGAGAACAAAAACAAACGCCGCCTGACAAATTCTTTTATTGTGCTGCTCTTGTTGTTGTTGCACTATTTATAAATCTTTTTTGCGCCTGCAAATTATTTTTGCACTCGTTATTGAATATTTACTTGGATTCTGCCTTATTGTGCCCCTCTCTGGGTAACATATATTTCTTTTTTTTTTTTGCAAGCGTCGCACGTGCGAGCTTTTTCCTCGATATTTTTGTTCGCCACTCACACACAGGCACCCACGCTAACGCGCACGGACACGTCCGAATGGTTCGAGAGCGAAAAAACGACAGAGGCGCCGTTTTGATGTTTTGGTCGCCGGCAATCAGCCACAATATAAGAAAAAGTTGGTCTGAACATTAAGGGGCTAAGGCCGAACGATTTGGCAGCCGACGAGACCCATAATATACCCTTCTCTGAGTTTGTGTTCAGCTCTTTGTTCGGCATCGTGCAATGAGAGCGAAAAAACGACACCGAACGTTAACGATTTAGCATTCTTTTTTCCGCTAGAGGCGCTTTCTTTAAGCTTGTTAACAGAAACTTTACATTGGACCATGGGCGAATTCTATAACAGAACCCGAGAGAGCCACCCAATCGTTAAGGGACCCGAACGATTTTGGATCCAAGCACAATGAGTGCGAATGAAAGGGTGTTTTGCAAAAGAAACAGCAATAGTGTGTCGTTTAACCTTTATGTGGTAAGCAGTAAGAGGCAGGGAGCGTTTGTCTTCGAAAAACAATCATAGGGCCATGGTGGAATATGGTAAGGTAGTTCTGACGGCCATTCAGTCCCTTAAAATGTTGTCTTTTCTTCCATAATGTCCGCAGCAATAACATCAACAAGTATTTTTGGTTTGTACACAAGGGTTAATGTTCAAATAAAACGTCCGAAACCGAACTTTTGAGAACTTTTTCGTCCGCTGGAGGGCGCTTTTGCCAAGCTAACTGAAACTGCCGGCCGTTATCGAATTCGAAAGCATTTGGTGTTTCGACTTTGAGTCCCTAGTCGCTAAGATTCCTCTAAATTAAAATCACTCTTAAGTCTACCTGTTCGCAGCTCTTCAAGATTTGGAGCCAAATCATTTAAATAGTCTAACGTTCTTTCAAAATACTTTTTGATTGCCTACATAATTGTTTAATAAATGTTGTAAAAATAGGTTGTTTTATTTTGCAAAAGCTTGTTAACCACAAAAACTCATTTTATCTAAAGTATAGTATAATATACTTTTTGTGTTTACGAATCAATAAGACAGCTTTTTTAGAAGCTTACAGAAAATTTAAAACGCGCGCTATGGAGTTGGTCGTATTTAAGAGAAAAGTCGTTTCAGTTCGAACAGCAAATACAGGCTCGTTTTCGTTTAAAAGTTCGAACTATGGTCATATGGGCTGTTATGCTTAACAGATCTGTTGCCTTGAGTATAAACATCAAAATCAGCTGTTTTCATCGAAAGCATACAGCATTAATTTTGGTATTTTTCAAAACTTTTAACATCTGACATTGACATTGTTAAAATTTTAAATGCCTGTATGTTTAATCATCAAGAAAGTAATGATTATTTGTAATTCTTTGTATGCAAGATATATCATATTATCTTTCGATCCCTGCTGTTTTGACTCATAAATACATTTAAAATTTAAGAATACCAAGAAGAATAAATTACTCATTAAAATCCAAAAAGTCCAATCTTGTTATTAAAAAAACTTGACGAAAAGTGTTCCCACTTCTTAGATTAGGCTTTTAAATATGCAGAGCGCTTATCAAGACCAATTTACAATTCTTAATCAAATCAGGAAGAGCCATCGATAAGCTTAACTAAACACCAAGCACCTTAATTTTCACATCGATTAACTTAGTCCTTATCGAAACACGGTTAGAAGATGTTCAAGTTCTGCAAGTGCTCTGTTCCTTCCATAAGCGGGGGTTCGATGAATTCCGCTCTGCTGATTCCACTAGTGCTTGGTAACGAAATTAGCAATTTAAATTCCTTACATTGCGCGCCACACTTCATCTACCGCATTCGTCATATGTTGTTATGCCCTCAAGGAAGGTATTGCAATTTATATCGGAGAGTTGCAAAAAATGAAAGTTGTCATTTCCTGTTTTTCAAATAAAAACAGTATCTAAAACTATGATCAAAGGGAGCCAATTTTGCGTCGAACAAATAATGTTATTAAAATACTGAGTCTTTTAATTTTTACATCTCCAATTTTTGCAAATTTCACAAACGTATATTTATCGAAGTTTGTGCATGTTCAAGAATATATGAATACGAATGATTTTGTAATACAGAACTCTTGCGCGATAATATATTTCTCTTGAAAAAATTAAAGCTTTTTAAATATTTGAAGTTTATTTTAACCGGTCTTCTGTTAAAATATTCTGTTAAAAAACATATTTTGAGGGTATATAAATGTCGGCTTTCCAATGATAAAATTATTTCCGGCACTCTCTTCTTCTTTTTTCCTCTCTGCGTCTGCGCCTTGGAATCGCCGCCAAGATTGCAGTAAAATGTTGTTGTGCAGTTCCATTTCCATTACAGCATTCAGTGAAAGTGGAAGAAGAGCAGAACGGAGCGCATTCCATAAAAATAAGCATAACAGTAACAATTAGGTTCCCTCCATTTACACTTTACACACACACACTCACCCACTGAGAAGTAAACAAATTGATATTGTATAGCTCTTTTCTCTGTTTGCGTGCTAATAATAGGTAAAGTAAGGAAGCCAGTGGGCTTATCTATACACCATATTATGCCCTCTGTGCGTCCCATTGTCCAATTATGGAATATTAATGCCGTATTATTCGCCCACTCGCAGCGCTCGTGGCCAAAATCAATGGGGCCACTCTGAACGCCAGCAATTATCAGTACCAAGTGGAGGAGGAAGGAACGCCAGTCGATCCCCAGATCGTGCAAATATTGCTCAGAGATTCGGATATGGTGAAGGTATGGGGCACAAATCTGACCGCCATCACTTGGGCCCATGCGGTCAACAGTCAACAGCTGCTGGACGAGGTTCTAACAGAAACAGGTAAGTTCATGATGGCTAAAAGCACATTTGACCTATCAATATCCATAACTCCTGGATTCGCCCTTCAAAAGGTAACATTGACTTCATCGAGGCGGACATCGTTCTGGGCAAACTGAATGGCGAGGGCGAGGATATGCCCGTAATGGCCCATCCGCCGGCCGTAATTTCCGATCTCACCCTGGCGGATTTCTTATATCAGATCATGGAGTTCAACCGAGGTCACCAGGGTCAGGAAAAGGGCGTCAAGCTTGACTTTAAGTCGATAGAAGTATTCGAGGGCTCCCTGGATATTCTGGACGAAAATATTCCAAACGTGAGTAGAAAAATTAGAAATCTTTTTTTCCAAGTAGGTTTTTAAGTAAAACGCATAAAACTTTACTTGATAGCTTTGAATTTAGCACATTTGTGTCATTTAACACAATCTTGTGTATTTGTGTTTAGTCATACAAGTTAAAATTAAATGTTGCTAAAAATGGTACAAATATTGCAATAGTTTGATAACAAAACAAAAAAGCTATTTTAACTTCATATGATCTATGGTCCAAAAGAGGACTTTCACCATTAAAGCTGTTTGTAGAGTTAGGATAAGTAAGGCTATTAAACCATTTTTTTTATCGAAATGGTGTTTTGCTGTAAAATGTTTGTTCGATTAATAGTAAGCGACTGTTTAATTGGAGAACCAATAACCATTAAGGAGTATAAATAAATATTGTTATCTTTTTTGCAGATGACCTACCCCATTTGGATAAACGCCGACATCCTGAGTGGTCCAGTGGAGCAGAACAAAACGGTGCCCGTGGATGCGGATCGCTTCTTTGCCGGCTGCATGCGCTACAAACAGGCGGCGCTCTCTATCGGCTGGACAACCAATTGGGGCGCCGACTTCCGGGAGGGCGAGTACACGCAGGACCAGTGTGAGGCCATGTTGGAAACGCTGACCGCCAACAATGTCCTGTCCACCGGCCAAGCGATCACATTTCCCGTGCGAGCCGGAATAGCTGCCAACAGCGAGGAGCAACTGCATCGACTGGTGGCCGCCGTCAACGAAACGAACGAGAGCACCCTGACCATCTGGTCGTCCGACGGCGACTACGTGGATGTGGCCAAGCTGCGCAAACTGATCTTTGGCTTCGGGGTGGAGCGAGTCTATCTGGACGTTCCAGAGGAGCTGGCCTCGCAACTGGATCTGGGAAATACCGGCAGTGGAGCCGGAACCTTCAAGTCCCTGTTTGGTTTCAGTTTCGTAAGCCTTTGCTTCTGGGCATTTTCCAGCTGGCTGCAGCGGATACAATAGTTTTTACTAGGTGATTAAAGTAGGTACGATTGTCAATGGAAAGTAACAATAAACAGTTTTTAGAAATGGGTTTTACTTTAATATATAGAATTTTTTATTTTCAGCTTATTATTGGAATTTTTGGAAATAGCTTGGGTGCCTTGTTTTCTAAGAATAAAAAATCGCTTTCTTAACACATTATTACCTCAACAATTCAAATATTTTTCAATTTCCTTCATCAAGATTACAAAACAATTTAAAAATAATTTTCATTAGAAATGTATTGGATTACTTTAACCAATATTAGTTATTTCAATTACAAGAAACCAGATTAAGATGGATTTTTTATTTTAAGCTCATTCTTAAATTCAAATTTATTTCAAGATATGTTTGGAATATTTGGGCAGGGAAACGTGCTTTAGTATCTCAGTAACAACGGGATTGTCTTCATTAAAAGTCCCTCATTTGATCACTTGATTTTTTGTATTTATTCTCTTTCTAAATTTTAACTTAAGGAATTTTTGGAAATATTTCCGGGGATTCACAGCTGTGCTCTACTACCTAGTTATTTAGATCTTACGCTGATCGACATATGTACATAGGATATGCGAAATCTTTGCAGTGTTAGTGTTATTTGTACAAGACTTAAAACCAACTAAATGAGCAAAGGTTAAAGCTCCTCGCTTTCTATGATTGTTTTTTTTTCTCCATCTGTTCTTTATCACTTCATCTCAGCTTGAATAAAAACTAAAATATCTCTTTACAAATTACAAAAGTTAGGCATTATCGTATAAATATAAATACTTTGGGCTTGCGCAGTTCAACTTCAACAATTTTAGGGATAATGGGCGATAGCCCCACCCTTTTTACAATTTAGATTAGCCTACTGAAACAATTAATGACTTTTGCTTGGGTTTGTCTACTGCTGCTGCTTTTCTTTTTGGCACTAAAATAAATAATCTTATTAATCTCTCTCGCTGCCGGCAGAGCGTGCAGATGTATTGAGGGAACTCCTAATGCGGGTGGGCGTGCGTGGTAATGCGGCATGTGATGCGATCCGGGGCAATGTTCTGGGTGAGCAACTGGGACCAGCCTCTGGGGGCCTGGCTAAGGCAGAATGGCAACATCACTTTATGCTATCCTAGGCTACGGCGACATAGATGAGTCTCAGGCAGATGATCGTTGGCGGCACCGTCAGAAAGGCTTGATGCCAACGCATGTATTATCTAACTACAACATCCGGCGAGTCCACGCTGATCAGTCGTTCCCTCGGCGAACTCTCGCTAATACCGCTCTCCTCCTTCAGTCCGGAATCGCGGTTGTATTCCAGCAGGCGGACTCCGACGCGCTCGTTGCCCGACGAACTGTTATGGTTCCGGAATAGCTGACCCACCGGAGAGGTGGCTGCCACGGGGTTCACGCCAAAGGAGGTGAGTGGTCGCAGCACACTGGCCTTCGCCTTGGGATCGCTGTGGCAGAAGTGCGTCACCTTGCGCGTGGGGTACCAGCATGTGCAGATGAGGCCGCCGGCCAGCAGGATGCCGGTCACGATCTGTCCCAGCAGGACAATCAGCGGAACCAGCGCGATGTCCGAGGCGATTTCCTCTGTGACGCGAACTCGCTCCTCGCACCACATCATAGGCATCATGACCCGGGGAACTCTGGCGAAGATGCTGCAACAAAAATTAAGAAATTAGTAACACAGTAATTAGTCTCCTTAAAAGATATTTGGATAGAAGATAGATTGAAGAATTGCATTTCTGAGTTATGTTTCAGACTAAAACCAAAAGAAAACTTAAACTTACCTTATCCACGGAACGGGTTCCATGTAGTAGTTGGCCTGAAAGCCCCCACCCACGTCCATGGGCACCCCCCGCGTTGGGTTCCAGGGTCATGAAGAACTCGTGCTTCTCGCGCTCCGGCTGCAGGCCTTCGATGTCCGCCAGATAGCTGGGATCCGCCTTGTAGAAGTGTGGGAAGGACATGTAGACGGAGGAGTTGAAGGTGCAGGGCCCGATGTTGATCACCCCGGCTGGCTTGCACTTGCCGCCGACGCAGTAGCAACTCGTCTCCGGATACAGCGTGCCATTATCCACGGCGTGTTCCGTGCCACTGAACTTGTAGGCGGTCACCCCGTGAACGGTCACCGTTTCGGTGTAATCGAGCGGAATGGCCCGGCACATCTTGGGCATGTACATGTAGACACTGTCCTTCGGCGTTAGGTTGGGCGGAAAGAATTCACCCATGGAGCCGCGCACCTGCCCGCAGGTTCCTTCGAAGGCTCCCGAGTGCGTCAGGTTATTCCACGTGTAAATCTGACCCATTTTGGCAATATCGTCGGCTCCCGTGAACATGTTTATATCGCCATCGAAGCTCGTGCTTCCGTTCCGCTGATACTGAAAGCCTATGCGATCGTAGGGCACATCTTGGGGAGTAAGGACCTTGCCCAGGTTGACAAGTGGGTGCTCGTATCCCGTGAAGAGCATTTCCCCGGCGGTTTTTGTGACGCTCACTTTTTGACTGTACATTTTATTCGCGAAATTGACAGGGTAATAGGCAAAAATACTGTCGGGAATGCGCCTAGCAGCAGCCTGTAAAAAAGTATTCATTACTATAAATTTCATATGAATAAGATGCTGTGTAACTTCTCCAAAAATATGACAAGTAGTCACGTTAAATAAAATTGATTTTTACAATGATTCTTACAGTTATTTATATTTAAACTTTAAATCAAATAAAATTGACATGTAACTATACACAATTTAGGAATGGGTTCTGTCACATACATATATATTTTTTTTAAAAGAAAAAGTATTATTCTTGTAAAATTTCAATTAGGTCAAAGGTAAGAGAAGTTAAGCTATACTATTTTTGAACTTACATGAGCTACTGTATTGACTTGCGTGACCATATCCGACAAACTTCCGTTGCTGCCGGCAGCATCAAAGTAGAACCAGGACTTTTTGTGGAACGATACGGAATCGTTCTGGTTGTGCCACACGATGTCCACCTTGTCGGGCTGCTCCCGAAACCGATAAGGTCCCAGTTGCACGAAGTGTGGCTTTTTGCCAGAACCCACATAAAAGTCCTCTGGATTCGTCCAGTTAAACAGGTAGACATCAAAATTCAGCGGCAGTGGGGAGACCTTCCAGCCATCGTATGACCGAGATGTGGGGCTCAAGGCCATTTCCTGCAAATACCAACAAAATATTTTATGAAGATGAGCTTGACACAATTGAGAGATTCCGATCCCCATCCCGATCAATATTCAATGATCAACGATTTACATAATGAGTTGGCTTTAATTGAGGGTAACTGGTTGCTAAATTGCAATAGCAATTAAACATCGAATTGGCTGACAAAAAATTGCGCATCGAATTTATGGAGAATGTGCATATTGAAAAGCCGAACAAAGTTCACGAGCGATCTGTGCAATTGGTACCCGTTGGAGGCTCCATAATTGATACGGAAATTTCAATAGGAGAACTTGTGCACATTGAACAATTGATCCACTATTCGCTTGAGAACTCAGTGAAAAGATGATATTGAGGTTTGTCCAATTTCTGGGTATTGGTTCAATATATTTAAATTTCAAACTAGTTCCAACTAAAAGTTCCAATATAATAATGATAAGTGATTTATTAATCTGTACTAGCTAAAAACTAATTTTAGAAGAAATATCATTTACTGTTTTCTATTTCCTGGAATGTTATTTTATTCCAAATAAGTAACCGCAAAAAATTATTATATTTTCATTGCAATTTTTCACTACTTTGTATATAGAGATAGAACCCTCTCCGCAAAAACTCAGGTGCTGTGGTGCGATTACATGCATTCGGTGGGTGAGTGTTATCAGCCATCAATCATTGTAAGCCAGAATGACAGACATAACGATCGTCTGGATCGTAGCCCAGTGGGCCACCATTTTGTATTGCCCAGAACCCTATAATCTTTATAATTGGAACTGCGACTGCGCTACAGGAAATGACTAAACTGATAAAAAAAAATATTTTAACTGGGTTTCGCCAATGTACGCCACAAGCCTTTCTAGAATCCTAATGGATTACACATGTCTATCTGGACTCGAATGGAATTAGAGCACAGGTGTTCGGCCAGGGTCATCGGACCTGGCCAAGTGGTTACATGTCAAGTCTGGATGGTTATGGCCATTTATGAACGTTTTCGCTATATTTTCGTATATGTATGGAGGTGAAGAGCGTTGTCTAATCGAATACAGGGCTATCGCTAAATGGGTTATTTTTCCAGGTTTTGTCCAAGATAAGATAGCAAAACCCATTGCAATTTCGTGGCCGCAACTCGAACTCCCCAACAGCAAACATTCCTTTTGGCATTTCCGACTACCAAAAAATTGGCAACATAATGGGAAATTTTCGGTTTTGGATTATTGACCCCGAATTGAATCCCGTGATTCACATTGACAGGTGTGCCCTTTTCGATAAAGTCAATTAATCACTAACTATTATTAGTCGACTTGAGTAAGCATTGAAAAGAAGGTATCACGATCGAAACTTCCGTGATTCAAAAAACACCTGGCCATCCCGAAAGTTATCTTGTTGATTATTTTTGATGGATGATTATTTGGGTTTTCAATCATGTTTACTTGCTTAATGAGAAAGTGTTTTTAGTGGTAACCGTTTGGTAAAGGAACTCATACTGAAAAAGTTTACTAGCAATCTGCTAACTAATAGAACCGAACACTGTAAATACCTATTATTCGCAAAACAGATAAAATAGCTCGACATATAAATTGGGTATATGTATACGAGTATATTTAAACAAGGTTCCTCGCTCTTAGTTCATCGCTCTAAAATTTAAGGTGAATGTTTTCAGTAAGAGCTTAACTCTCGTGACTAAGCACTCTACATTTGGAGGGTAAACAAAACGAAAGCATTAACATGCTAATTAAAAGCACAGACGAACGTATAGGTACTCCTAATGTGATCCTAAAATTGTTTTGACAACCTATGAACAGCTTTTAATACGCTCTCTATAAGAGATCTACTATTAGGGCGGTGTGGTTTAAGTCCATATCTTATCTGATGGCTATAGGTGATTTTTATTGTTTGAACACCTGCACACACTCAATTTTGGGTGTCTTTTCGTTCAACTGCCTTCAATCAGTGAAAGAACTGAGTTTCTGTCGATCGAAATGGCATGTAAATGAGCTCCTCCCAGTTGACCTTTGCACGTTTCGCCAATTTGCCGGTTTGCGAAACTGAACTAAAAGGTCTGTGAATCGATTCAGCTCGATATCGATAAATTGGGATCGGAACGATTGCGGCATTGACAGATGAGAGTACTAACCTTGCCGCGCATGCGTGTAAACATCGCAATCCAGTTGCGGAAAAGGTAAATCCCAGCGATTATGCAGAGGATCCCCAGAACGACGATGCCCAGACGGGCACAATGACGCGTCCGTGATGTCATCTTGGTGAGTCCGCGTTTTGGCGTTGGGTGCTGGTGGAATCGGTGTTCAATATTAAAGGGGCGTCTTCCTCGACCGATCTTTTGCTTTACACTGACTGCGTTCCCGTTATTAACGTCTATATGGGAGAGAAGGAAAGAGAATATTTATATGAGCGGCATGCGGGCTTATCGCTGGCTGAGAGTCCACTGTACAGTCTTATCACACTTTCGCAGATCCCCAATTTTCCGGGGACCGGGGAAGAACTACCGGCTGAGAAATACCGGAGAGAGAAAAAGAGAGAGAGAGAGAGAAAGAAAGAGAGCGTAGGGCGGTTGTGGATCACGCGTCGCGCCATAAATACCGATCACAGAGTCTACACTGCTGCGTCGTAATTATACACATTCTCTGTCTAATTGTAATAAAGTTTTCACTTGGCTCTGACCAAAACCACAATCTAAATATGTACATACATACATACATAATAAAATGAATACCTACAAGTGTCGTGTGCGTAGATTGGTAACACCAAGCTATTAAAAACTTTTAAAGCCTAAAGTCGACTAAAATGTGCGTAATAGGACTAATAAAGCAAATCTTTTAAATTACACTGCAATAGTTTTTAAAAAGTTGAAGCATAAAAAATTTTGTAATACAATACTCATACATATACATATAAAAAAATTAAATATTTTATGATGTCTTATTTTATTATTTTCTCAACAATCGAACATGAAATATTGTATTAGTAAAGGAAGTATAAGAATTAAATTCATCACCCAGATGTTTGACTGTACAGCGAACTAATTGCTTACACGTACATGTGTAAGCGATGTTTTTTGGGGTTGTTTAAACCGGTTTGAAAGGCCCGACTAAAATAAATAAATTATTCTCTTTTATTCAGGAATTACGTCAAGTGCTGCCAGAGCATGAAGTTAAAGTTATCAATTCACGGAATCTAGGTTCAGACAAAGTTTTTTTTAAATTTATTTAGAACACTGATTACCCACGCTTAGTCACTAAGTTCTGTTTGCTCGTCTGTCACCGTTGGCATAATACTTTTAGAATGTTAAGCCTAACATGACCCTGTTAACAAAACTGTGTCATGACTCTATACTTTAGGTCGATACTGAAACATAAAAAAATTAACTAAGTTGCTTTGGTTTTTATCAACAAGAATGTTATCATGATTAGTACAGCACTTTTAACGAATTTAAAGCTATGTATACACGATTTTTGCAGTCATTTAATATTTTTTAATTATGAGACAACCGTTATGGGAACAAGAACGAGTGCACTAAAAACTGTACTACTACCATTGAATCGAGGCTATTTCCGTTAGCTGACTCCGACTTTTTATTGTGATGTATGAAGGTATTCGTATTTCTTTTGCTGACTCCGAACTTCAATACTATTGATGTTTTCAACTTGGAAAGTCCGTGATTCACTGCGGCGGCACATTCCTCGAGTATTATTTGTTTTGATTCGCGACTGTGGGACTGGATCCAAAAACACGTTCACCTCTCCATATTCCATATTTTGTATTCCATACCCTGACACAACTATAAAAACGTAGTGCGCAAGGGCGGGATGTGGGGGCGTTGTAGTGAATATTGTTTACACTTCTTGGGGCTGGCTAGCAACCGCTGGCTGAGGGGCTTTTCGGCCTTAGTTACGGCCATTATTGGCGATAATTCAACCGTTTTTAAATATATATATTCACAAGCACACACGTACTGCCTCCGATGATATATTTTGTTACTAATGCACACGTAGCGAGGTTGGGAGAAAAATAAAAAACCCGTTTAGCGCTGTTTCGCCCTGTTTTTTCTTTTTTTGTTGTGGTTTTTTCTTTATCTACAACGACGCCACGCCCTCCCCCTGCCGCCCGCTCTTGCGCTCTGATTATTTCGCGCTTTACTACACCAGATTATGAACTTCACATACTGCCCAATCATTTGTTCAAACATCAATCACGCGAATTTCGCACAATTGCGATTTTCTACACTAGCGAACACGAAATATTAGCACTGCGTTTATCCTTGAACCTCGGCCGTCACTTCCGCAACCTGTTGACAATCTTGTCTATGTGTTGTTCATCATGCTGCCTTATTTGCTCTTTTGGCCTAAAAATAGCCCGCAACACAGTGCAATGTGCCAAAATACACAGAATTTGCTGCGCGGGAGTATTTACATACGATTATTCGCATTTCGCTATGCGTCACAGTTTTGGAATGCAAATAAAAAGGTAAGAACCATTATGTGGCTCTTTTTCTGTTTGCTAAAAAGTTATCTAAAGAGGAAGACCCTAGTAAAAGAAAATCAAGTAAAACTCGGCACGTTTAACTCTCTCGCGCTTGCGCTCTCATTCTCTCTTTCTCCACTCTCGTTCCTTGTTTTTTTAAATTTTCTTACATTTTCTTTCAGTTGACGTTGTTGCTTATTAATTAGCTTTTTAGCACTTTTTCCATTTGCACGACACGCTTCTAATCACTCTCGAATACTTTTCAATTGATAGCAGTTTTAATTGCAGCGGCGTTGTAAATATTGTCTAAATAAATGTCTATAAACAAGCACGCGTCTATTTCTTGCCATCGGCCGTCTCGCTCCCACTTGGGTGTCAGAGGGCGAAGAGGGACCGTTAATTGGCGATCTTGAACACGCACGAGCAAGAGCAAAAAAGACTGAACGAGCCTCAACGGCGCTGCGCCTGCGACTAAATAAGTATTTTCCAAAGACCCGACACCAAGCAGCAATTATATATTCTTCATTAAGGCCTTTGGTCGGTGGTGGTGACTTTTAGATACCCTTTGCTTTGTAAATGAATGTATGGAGAAGCAATGTGACCAGTAGGTGCCATCCCAAAAATCCACTTACATAGGTCTAATTACTCATTAAAACATATAATAACCATACTTCACGCATTTTTACAACGCGCATTAAATTTATAAATTGAATTGATATTTTGTGCAGATTCGATTTTAGTTGGGCGTTAACTATAACAAAATTAAAAATTATACTAAATCGCATCTCCCCAATACGATAAATATTTGTAAAATTTAACAAAATATTGAAATGAAACTTAATTTTGTTTTTTGTTCAGGTTTACCTTATAGAATTTTTTAAAAGGTATATCCTTTGAATGTTCCTTCCGTAGTTCTGATTTAAGCTAATGGTCTGAAGCCATGTAGGGTATAATCAAGCACCGTCGAAAATGAGCATAATTGCGTTTTCGCTCTTGCGTTCTCTTTTAGTCTCTTCACTCTCTTTTGGGCCCGCCAAACCGGTTTGGCTCTTTTTGTATTGTAAATATTTTCTTGAATCGGTTCCCAATCGGTTAAGCGTTCATGCATACTTATGTAGGTGCATCGGTCGAGGCGTTGTCAGTTCAATGCTAGATAATGCTAATATTTCCACACAATTATTTATCAATAACAAATGGGTGATTTCTTTCCTTGGGGACTTATTTAACAAAATGATTCAGTTATACTGATAAGACCAAGCAACAACAGTAAAACGAGTACGCGTAATCTATAAATTCGATACTTTTCCGGCATCGACTATTTGAACACCATTTACCATTTATTGGCATAAACTTTAGACTAGGCAAGAAAAAATCCTGCAAACTTAACTTATGGTACAAACTAAGTAAACGAAGCAGTTTAACGAGGATTTTCCTCCGCCTCTTTGTACTGCAATCCTATCAGGAGCGGGGAATCCTCCAAAACAATGTTTTTCATCGGTTCTTTGGTACTATCCATTGGATTAATCTCGATCTTCTGCATCAGGCGTTTCTGCCAAATCATCTGGTGGGGATACCAGAAAATCATCACCAAGCCCAGAGCTACGCCTAAGATTCCACAGATCTTGCCAACGAACTCTAGGATTGGTATTAACTTTACATAAGCCAATAGGTCGGCCGAGATGCGCACATTATAATCCGCCCAGATCAGCGGGAAGAACGTCTTTCGTGCCTTACGGTAGATTCTAAAAAAAAGAAAAGTTTAGACTTAGTTACGATCCTTGGTGAACTAAATCTACTCCTTCATCTTCGAATATTGTAGAAAGGTCTAGGATTACCAAATACATATCTTTGAATTTTGTTAGTTAGCCTAAAGCTACTAAGCTTCCTTGCTATGATTAATGGTTTTTAACTTTTTAAATTTTTATAAAAACTTTGTTTGAGAACGAATAAAAACTTAAATATTTTTCTGACGATATAGAATTGAAATTCGTATAATAACGAAACAATTTATATATGTAGTGATTTGGAACTGCAAAAAAGTTCATAATGTCCACTTACGATTGGGTTTTGGGCTCGACTAATAAGCTTGCCATAATGCGGGCCTTGATCTCCAGCACCATTCCGGTTCTGGGTTCCAACATGATGACCATCTCGTGGCGATCTTTGTCAGGCTTCAGGCCCTCCACCTGTTCCAAGTAGTAGGGATCCGCTTGGTAGAAGTGCGGATGGGAAGCAAAGACGGGGGCTCCGTACCAACAGGAGGATATGTTCAGCAGACCGGATCTCACCTCCTGGCAGTTCTCCTGGCAATAGCAACTGTTCTCCGGGTTGTCTGTTCCTGGAATGCAGGATATGACTTTAATTATAACAGATAGTTTACAGAAACTTATTTAAATATATTTAAATATTTCATTATATTCAATATAATTAATAGATTTTAAAGTTTTATTATCTAATTTTAATTATCTGTAGTACTAACCATTTGCCATGTTCCGAGCACTGCCTTTGTAGACAAATGCCTCGACTCCCTCGAAGATTGTGGTGCCGGAATAGTCAATCTGAAGCTCACGGCACAGATCCGGTAGAAAATAGGTAATAGGTCTGCCCTTAACCAGCGGTATTGGATGGAACTCCCCGGTACTTCCTTTTAATTTGCATCTTGGACTGGCTTCAGTGAAGTTATTGTAACGCCATCGGGCAATCTGGCCTATCTTTTTAAAGTCATCCTTTCCCGTGTAGACATTGTGGTGACCATAGATCTCCATGCTGCCATTGCGCTGAAAATAAGTACATAGTTGAATATGAGAGTGCTGAATAATAACTACTAACGAAACAAAAAGAGAAGCTTGTAGGTATTACAAAATAGAATAGCAAGATACTTAAGCAAATTAAGAGTAAAGAACAATTGTACTGGACTCAGCTATACATCATAAAATGTAAGTAATATAGACAAATAACTGCACAGCAGCTGTGAGATGTTCATATTTGAAATTTCAAACAAAAATTAAGTAACTTTTAGAGGCCATTAATTTTAAACAGAGCTCGTAAGTGGAACAAAAACTGACCTATTTCTTTACTGGAATGTTTGATTTGATATAGAAAGCTTTTCAGACTAGTAAAAATCATAGATATTTTCCCACTGACTTACTGGATATGCGTAGCCTATCTTTTCGTAGGGGAATTGCATCTCCGGAACTAAATTAGTCGGCACCAGTTTGCTGAGTTTGATGAGGGGCGTGTCGAATCCGTCGAACATCCAACTCCTTGCGGGTCGAACCATTGTGAGCTCCTTGCCATCGATGTGTAAAGCCATCATTACAATGGATCGCATCACTGGACCCCAGAAGAGCATCTTTTGGTACAATCCCACGAGGAGCAAATTCGGTTGGACAATGGTATCCGAGGGATTTCCCACACTGAGTTCTGGTTGGAAATCAAATCTACTGCGTCGCATATAAGAAACCGTTGAGTTCTCATTGTGCCACTGGACATTCAGCTTCTGCATCCGCTCCGTGAAGCGATAAGGACCAACTTCCTGAAACCTCGGCTTCACTGTGGGATCGTTGATGTCCTCGGAGTTTGTCCAATTGAACATGTACAGATCCACGTTGATATCCATTGAGGGGGATTGCCACAGACTGCTGATTAGTGTTCCCGGCTCCAGAACCATGAACCACTCGATCACCCACCGCTCGATTTGTTCCATGTAAACCACCGAGAACAGACTGCAGGTGGCCAAAAGCACACCCAACGCACTCGTTCGCAAAATGCGCCTTTTTCCAATCATGGCAACGGAGCTGGATTCTAAAACACGGAAAACACATACTTCAATTATTAACTAACCAAGCTTACATAACTTGTTTTAAGTGAACTATTATTACGGGTATCAATAACCTCATATAGTACCATTTACTAAGCATTAGTCGTTAGTACGTAATTTATAAGCAATACATTAAAATCCTGTTTTCAGTTAAAAAAGAAACATTTAAAAGACTATTAAGAAAAGCTTTTAAATGTTTTATACATAGCAACAAAATTGTAGTTAACTTTGCAAAGTTACTTTAGGTAACAAGTAATGGACTTTAATCGTAATATCTATTAAAAGGTTGTTTTACGGTAATAATATTTAGGCGCTAAATGGTTACAATGCTCTTATAAGTTCTCCACATAAATTATTTAAATTATTCATTACTGTCATTTTTAATTTATAAATTAACTTTAATATGCAGAGAAGGAAACTTCAGTTGATGACCTATACTAATAAATCTGTGATCTGTGAGCTATGTAAACGTTAAATCTTTAACTACCTTTTTCCCCGCCTAAGTTATTCACCTGTAAGTGTTCATTCACCCTTGACACTGATTTGTAATATCAAGTTTTTAGTATAATAAATCTGAGAACATTTTAATCGCGTCTTACAGTAATAATTGTAAATAATTGTTTCTTAACAACTTTCAACTTTCTTTTTTTCAATTTTCAATAGTTTTTATACAAAATCGAATAGAATTTCAAACTTTTCTGATTCATTCCTTAGTAATAGATTGAATGATTAACAAAACTCACTGATTTTGGGACTTTGCTCTATTCCTCAGCACCGAAAACACGAAGATCGTCTGGGGTCCGCTTTCTTTGACTTCCTTATGAAGTCTGATCTGATCTGATCTGATCCGAGTCCAAGTCTACGCAGCAGGGTGGAGGTTATCTGGCCCCTCTGATAATGCAGCTCAATATGTAAACATTCTCTTTTACTTCATTCACTTTCGATCCTGACTAGTTCAGTGGACGGAGTGGATCCAGTGTAGGAGTATCTGTATCTGTAATTCTCAGTCCTGGGGGTGCGATCGAACCACTTCGAATGCCGACTTGATAACGACTAAACTGGCGGCTGGAGAATATGTTTTAATATGACAAGACGGCTATATGGAGCGGCGGGAAAAATAAACATAAACGTCGGAATAAAATGATACAGAACTTAAAAAATCGTTAAGACACTGAAAGAAGTGTTTTTGAGGAGTAAATAAAAGAATACTCTTCGAAATTTTTTTATTTTTTTTATTTTTCTTTGCTTTAGTGAATTTTAAAATCTTTTAATTTTTTTTAATATAAAGTACAATATAAAATACCTATATATATAAATCTTAAATAAAATCCATTATCACTATGACTATGCAAAAAAAAAAAAAACTTTTTTCAGTGCCCTTTTATTCAAATGGCTTTAGATTCTGGGGTTAATACCTAACCATTTTGCGTGTGCCTCCAACATTTCAGTTTCCCCGAAACGAAAGTACAATTGTCATAAGTTAAAGTAAACTTTAACCTGCGATTCATGGTTTCAGGTAGGCGTTCTTCAATTTGGGCTTTCTTACCTTGTTTGCTGAAAGGTCTCTGTTTGGGCTGATAAGCCATGATAATGTCCGAGCCCCAATTCCTAATCGCTCGTTCCCAATTGCCGATGGCTCAGGCCGATAGCTTATAGCATTACACTTCGTGGCAGAGGCCACCAAACGTTTAAAACTTGAAAAGGGTGTGCTTGTCTGACTAAACTGGATGGATGCCTTTAATCAGCTTGAAATATGACGTCTAATTAAAAGCCCTGGAAACTCATAGTAATGGGGGATCGATTATAAGATTACATATGTATATAATTTTGTGAGTCAATAAAGTGTTTGACTTTATTGACCGCTAGTCAGAGATCAATCGATCAAAAAGTTTTCAATGAAATTTAAAAGATTATATGATTTTATTGAAGATTTCATTTTACAGTTAAAATCTTAAATAAATATACATATAATAGTTATAAGTACATATTACAACTTTATTGATCAAATTCAAAACATTAATATTTTCTTCAATTTGGGAACAGTTTCATAGTCCCACAAGATTATAAAAGTATTCCTTAAAAAGTGTTTACAACTTTATTGATCAAATTCAAAACATTAATATTTTCTTCAATTTGGGAACAGTTTCATAGTCCCACAACATTATAAAAGTATTCCTTAGAAAGTGTTTACTTATTTAAACTCTTTTTTTCAACACTTTAAACTTATATGCAAAAATTATTAGCTAGTGCTTTTTATTATACCCTTGCAGAGCAAAAGGGTATTATAATTTCAGTCAGAAGTTTGCAACGCAGTGAAGGAGACACCTCAGACCCCATAAAGTATATATATTCTTGATCAGCATCACGATCAGAATCCAAATATGCATGTACGTCTGTCCGTCTGTCCGTCTGTCCGTCTGTCCGTCTGTCCGTCTGTCCGTTTCCGCGCAAACTAGTCTCTCAGTTTTGAAGCTATCTTGATGAAACTTTCCCAAAAGGTGTGTAGTTATTGCACGCAGTATATAAGTCGGAACGACCCGGATCGGCCGACTATATCGGATAGCTCCCATATGAGAGAATGAAATAAAAAATTCTCACGCCGTTGTTTTTGATCAGATCGACTTGAATTCTTCAAGATGGCGTTTTCTAACTGTTATTGAATTTCGGACTAAATTTGATCAAAATCGGATAACTCTATCATATAGCTGCCATAGGAGAGATCGAAAATTATATATAGAATTAATGGAAATAAATTGATAACATCGTTGTTTTTTATCCCACGAGCATGATTTTTTGAATATCAAGTTTTTTAACAACGTTTATATTGGAAAAAAGTTTCATAAAAATCGGTCATCTATATCTTATAGCTGCCATAGGAAAGATCGAAAAATCTATATAGAAATAATGGAAATAAAATTATAATATCGTTGTTTTTCATCAGACAAGTATGATTTTTGGAATATAGAGTTTTCTTACGACTCTTGAATTACGAATTAAATTTGATCAAAATCGGACACCTATATTGTATAGCTTCCATATGATCTTTTGTCAAAAATATGGAAAATGAATAGAAAAATCGTCTTAGATTCGATGTTGTCTAGCCTTTATGCGTTTTGTTCGACATATTTGATGACTGCAAGGGTATATAAGCTTCGGCTTGCCGAAGCTAGCTTCCTTTCTTGTTATTATTCACTTTTTTAATGGTTTTGGTGTACAATCCTGTTTTTCAACAAAGGAAATAAATTGCAAACTGCAGAAACAGAATTCCCGTTATAAAAACTTAACGGTTTAAAATTGTAACAAAAACATGCCAGCATTGCCAGTCGGAATTTCTTCGCAGTGGTTGCCAGACCGATGGTTCATGAGTTGCGGTTGGTGTCTGGGATAAGCGTATCTCTCAGATACTTTGGGGTATATTTAGTTGATTTTCCGAAGCGGTTCCAACTATCATATGGAGGAGGAGAAATAAATAAAGAAACTGAACAGCGCGGCGGGCTATAAAAGCGAAACTCAGCCTCCGAATTCAATTCAGACGCGCACAATCAAGCGAGTGATAAATACTTCATATTAAGTGTGAAACCTTTGAGCAACAGAAACTTTGAACAAGTAGAAGCCCCACAAATTTGCCGGCAGCTTGCATAACTCGAATAAGAAATCCAAACAAAATGCAATCCATTTCGAAGTCAGCGCGAGTCCTTCCCCAAGTGGGCAAGCAAGGTGTGTGTTCGTTCGTGTGCTTTAGCGAGTGACCACAGTGCAGTGACGATCCTAACGATATATATTCCATGATTTACTAGTGAGCTATCTATCCACGAGTGGAGCCTGGAAGGCGGCAGCTGGAAACGGCGACATGGTGGTGGAGATCAAGGAGCCGAAGACCCGCACGGAGAAGCTGATGGCCTTCCAGAAGAAGCTGCGCGCCAAAACGCCGCTGGGCAAGTTGGACGAGTTCTCCCGCCATCCCTACCAGGAGAAGGAGCCCCTGAAGCCCTGGCCCAACCAGACGAACCCCTACACGGGTGAGATCGGAGGACCCGCCGGACCGGAGCCCACGAGATACGGCGACTGGGAGCGCAAGGGTCGCGTCTCCGATTTCTAGTCCCCAAAGAGTTCCTTAGCTAGTACTTAGGCTGTTATTTAAATGCTAACAATTAAGACTTGAAAAAAAAAAAAAACAAAAATGTATACTTGAGAAATAATACTTATTCTATAGTGAAACAAAAAATATATTATATTTTTAAAGCTAACAACACCAGTGCGTTCAAATTCATTTAGAAGATCCTGCTTTTGGCAAACTAAGCGGGAAAAGATTTAAGAGTAAAGTTAAGGCTAATCCTATTTTTTATAAATTAGGTATAAAAAAGCTTAAAGGTGAAATCAAACCTAAAAGAATATTTATCAGTTTTGACATCAATACCCACAATTCTAGGAAATCTTTTGCGTCTTAAGATACAATTGAAAAACACTTATTTTAAATAGATTTATATTTAATATTTTTCACCGTTCATATAAAATATTTTTAAAAATTGCAATTTTCTTTTGGTTTTTCCGTCCTAATTAACACTTCAATAATACAATTAACTAAAAAAATGTCATCTTCCAAACTCCCAGATATTGAGTTAAAAAAATGCAATTTCGCGGTAATTTATTCCGCATGGAGAATAAATAGGAATATTAAAAGTGAACTATTTGGTTACTACTGCTCCGCCTCCAGAAGCTCGGAAATCAAGTTCTCGCTGAGTCGCCAGAGCTGCTGCTGCAGTGGAACACTCTTGGACAGTTTGCTGGGCTCACAGAAGAAGCAGTTGTTGAAGTACAGTCCAGACAAGCCAGTCAGCTCGTTGGCTGTGGCACAGAAAACACTTGTGGCAGCAGCTTGTTGCTAATATTGAATAGAAGAAACCAATTAGTGAAAGTCCGCAAGTCCGCAAGTCATTTGCCAACCCACCAGAGACTTGGTAAAGGGACGCACAATGGCGAAAAGCAGGCGGTAGAACCAATAGTTTCGCGATATATCAGTGGAAACCATGTTGCCAGGATGCACACTGAACACGGAAATTCCTCGCTGTTTCCAGCGCTGCAGAGAGCAAATAAAAGGTTAATAAATCGTATCTAATTAACCCAATTTATAGCTATAGTTAAGCATTTGTTACCTGGGCGAGTTCCTGGGCGAAGAGGACATTGCACAACTTGGCATTGTTGTAGGCCATCATGCTCCAGTACTTCTCCGGCGGCGGCGAGAGATGGTGCACCGCCAGGTTCTCCACGGGCAGATTGGCGAACCTGCAAAGGGAAGGGGGATAGTTCACTTACGACGCATTTCTTTGTCAGCTTCCCACTTGAACACCACATACTATACGATGTACACATTCTTCGTCCAGCCGAACCCACTGGACTTTGCCCTCGCCGGCCGACAATCGCAAAACGAGTTTGATTGCCATTGCCGCCTTTGCATAGCCGGCTTTAAACGCTCTTTATTAATGAGATGCATCATAGGGCATAAAGAAAAGCCACAGAGTGCACCGAATAGCTCCGATGACTAAGTGACTATGAAGACAATGGCGACAACAAGTGGCTGGCGGCGAAACAAAGCCACACAATAAACAAGGACGCTCGGATATGAACTCTATGCCCCCCAATTAAACGGGGGAAGCCCTGTGAATCCTTGTGGGTAGCGCATGAGCAGGTCGCATAGTCCCCAAACCCGAAAAGAAACGAACCCGCAACATGGAAACATTTCTATCTACAAACACCTCGAAGCACATTTTGGACTTTGGATTTGTTTTCATTTTACTGAGGCTCTGCGCTCGGCTTGGGGCCGATGTAAATATAACGTCGCAAAATGTATGCAAATTCTGCTTTATTTATAAAGTATGGGCCGCACTCGGTATCCAGAATCTACATACGTATATAGTATAATATAACCCGTTGTCGCTGTTCTTTTGTTGTGGTAGGTACTGGCTGGGCAAGTGGGTGTTGATTATCTGGTCTGGTTGAATAATTAACAATTTCTGCAGGCTGATAAATGGCTGATGAAAGTCATTTAAATTGCAAAAACAGCAATCTTACTGTTTACCCTTTGAATGGTATTGAAAGCTTGCAGTTATTGAAACAACTAAAATAATCACTTGAAAGTTAAAACTTAGTATAAATCACGCTCTCAGTGTTATTATATTTATTAGAATTGAATTAATTAACATTTAAATTGTTGATTTTATACAATCTACAAAAGCCTTAAACATTAATATTGTTTTTGGTTTTAATTGGCTCTGAGAAAAATATTTGTTTTTTTCTAGAACAAAATTAACATATTTCTTTTCTCTGTATAATCAAATACATGATAAAAAAAATTCAAATTTCTGCAGTTGAATGCGAAAAGAGCTGAAATTGCACAAACAGAATGTTTGCTTATTTGCCGTTTGAAAGTGATTATCAGTTAGCACCGACTGCTGATCGCTTCGCATTGACCCCAATAGGAACCGAGTGTAATTCATCATATCTGACTGAATGCGTTTGGTGGCATACATGACTATCTGCGAGTACGCCGAGTGGCGCACGAGACTTTTGTTGCACGTTCGCCAGGGTGAGAAAGATACCAGATTGGCCGCTCCACGAAGCCAAAAATGTTGTACGTGAGCCAAGCAACGAACGCAGCAGCAGCAGATACAAAACCACCTCCAAAAACAACTACGTACTTCGTACTTCCAGTTCACTTCAAATTCGTTTTATGCTTCTTCCGTCGCTTCACGAGACCCAATGATTTATTTATTTTTATGAGACGCACAGTGGTTCAACAGCTTCCCCTAAATTAATCAATCTAATTAAGCGAGTTAGTGCGAATTAGGAAAATTGTGGGTGCCTACTTGAATCAGTAGTACAGTCGGAGGGGTGTTTACTTTTAAAATGTGGAATTCCTTCATTGAAAACCAAAATTTGTAATTTGAAATATTTTGAATATTATAACTGATTGATTATTGATTAAAATACTATTTAAAACGTACTACTTTATATTAATATATTGTAATAATTGTAATTTTTAATTAATCTCGAAATTGATTTTTTAATTTAATGGCAATTATAAAAATTAAAGAAGTTTTCATTGATAATTCCTTTTTTCAAAATTCCTTTTCTCAAAAAATTGTTTTAATAATTTAATACATAATTAATAATATGTAGGTACTTTGAAAGGGAAATCTTGTGTCAGAATTATGTATGTTTTTAGGGCCATCGAATCTTTTTGCTCCACTGTGCCTTCTTCTGCACGTGAGGGTGATCATATTGCTGTTATGTACAAATCAGTAGCGGGGGAATCAATGGAGAAGTGGTTATGGTTTTGATAATACAATCACAGCTGCGTCAGCGTCGTAATTATTTTTCTTTCAATCTCTGTTTGGCTGAGAGTGCGCAGCACAAAATGTAAACGAAGCCTTTTGTTGGGAATAAGTACTATGTACATATATTCCAAGCCGAGTTCAATTACGTTTTGCCTTGAAATCCACCCAAACCGAAAACATCTATTGTAAACAAAACAACACAAGTTATGAGCCAAGTAAAAAAACATTTTGGAAAACGCTACACTAGTCGGCGCGACTGGGGCGAAATGTTTTATTTTTGGTTTGGTCTATGAATAAATTGGCCGCAAACGCGAAAAGAAACCGGTCGGTCCAAAGTCCACATGTGGATTCATAAAAGTGCAATCAACTTGCAAAAATAAAAGAAGACAACTTGGAATGCCAGACACATATTCAAACCAGAGGGTGTCGACATTTAGGAATCCACTATCTATTTTAGATAGTTTTATTATTAGTTTTATTCAACAGTTTATCAGTCTTAACTCCGAACTTTGTTTTAAAGTTATTCTTTAAGTTATTGTTGAACGATTAATTTACAACACCTTAATTTAAACCAATTCATTTTGAACATAACAATTAGGGAGCGTGACCCAAATTTAAATAAATTGCACTTTAGCCTTTGATAAGATTAAGTCCGTCTATAAAGTCTCATTTTCTAATCGCAACAATTTATATGTTCTTCGTATTACGTATTTGAATTATAATTAAATACAATATAAATATTTTTAGAATATGACATGTCCCAAAATTCAACTTCAATTAATTAAAATCCGCCGATTTTATTCAATAACAGGTTGCATTAATAGCAAATGTTGGCCGGCAAAAAACATGTCTGAATTGTTTGCACGGGACTTACAGTGCAGGCAATAAAAATGTAAACTGATTACCGCATTAGCCTAACTGGATTAAATCAAGAATTTATAATAACTGTTGTTTTCGAGTTTATGCTAATTAAGAACCAAACGCCAATAAAATGAAGTAAGAATTTATTATATCTAAAAACCTTATAGCCCAAAGTACTTTGCAGGAATGTTATGGAAATTATTATTTTTTAGGAGTTGGAGAATGTTCCTCGTATTTTAGTACAAACTTTAATGAATATAAAAACTTGTTTTTCAATTGATCTTTGAAAATGTCATCATTACTTATCGGAATTGACCTATAACTGTCGTTTCGCACTTACGTAAAATGGAAAAGCAGTTTTGAAATTACAACAAAAATCTACTTAGGAAATAAATTGTCCCAAAATTAATCCAAACGCCTTAAGAAATAAATTCTCCCAATACTAGGATAACCGTCCTTCTTTGCAACCTTGTCCTTTTATAACAATTGAGATCGTATATCACAAATTAAATAACTATCATTATTCCCCTTTTTCTATTTACGTGCTAAAATGTTAAAATTCCGATTTACCTGTGCGACTCGGATGACAGAACAACGATCCGTGTTTTATAATCGAAAAGCGGCTCCAGTTGCAATGTCAAGTAGAAATGCGACAGGTGAGATACTTGGAATGTGGTTTCCAGACCATCCTCGGTCTTTGTGTAGGGCAGTGCAAATACGCCGGCGTTCAGGATTAGATAATCAATGTGGCTGCAGTATAAATAGATTAATTTCAATATCTTATATCATATTGAAGAAGTTTGTGTGTCTAACCTAAAGTTCTGAATGATTTCTTGAACGAATCGCTGAACTGAGCGCAAGGAGCTTAAGTCAAGGGCCACAAAACGACAGCGGGAACGGGCTGCTGGTCGCTCCTGGACAATCTTTTCGATGGCAGCCTCGGCAGAGGTCCTGTTCCGACAGGCTAAGATGATTTCACAACCGTGTTGAGCCAACGAACGGGCGGTTTCGAAGCCAATACCACAATTGGCACCAGTTATCAAAGCTGTTCGGCCGTGCAAATCCTTCCCGTGCAGGACCTGCAGTGCGGTGGTACAGGAGTCGAATCGCTGGCGCACCTGGGAAACATTTTGCGTGGGCTCCTCCACGGCGAAAGCCAAACGGGGATCCACATTCGTCCTTTGCTGCGTTTCCTTGTTGAGGAACATGAACCGCTTGCCCTGCTCATCGTAGTACTTCTCCCAACCCAAGGGCAATTCCCCAGTAATTCGTTTCGAGCGCCCTGTCCGTGGATGTGTCCACTGTGAGGTTTTACCTTGTTGGCTAAAGGTTACATTTGGTTTTATTAGCTTTGTTTATGGCTCCACTTGGACTTCGACTTACTTCACATAGCAAACGGTTCCATCGTCGGTGGCCCTCTCCTCCCAACCAGGTGGCAGCTCATCCTCACTATCAGTATCAGGTAGAGACATCATTTTGAGACGGATTAAAACTATTTAAAAGTTTTTGGTTTAAATATTTCAAGGAAAACAAATTCCAAGACAGCCGGTTAAAAACAGTGTTGAATAGTTCGCCGGCAAAAACAGCTGTTGCTTTAACAGTTGCCGGTAGACTTATTATTAACATAACCGTTTCGTTAACATAACCGCTTCTTTAACAGAAGCTTTTCACATAGGGCAGTTGCATATTCGAATTTAAATTTAATTGAACTGTTTAACTGTTGATGCAAACAATTTTCTCCATTTAAATTAATCTAAAAACAATATACAAAAACACAATTTTTGTAATTTTAATACTATTCTATTATATTTGCACTTTCATCTCATCATATATTTCTTATTAGAAGATATATTACCATTTTAAATAGACAACGCGTGTAACAAAGCACGTTTAATAGCTGGTACTTTTTATGACGCTAGCTTTGGAAACACCTGATGACATAATTTGCCGTTTCGAAAGTAAATTATAAAATCAAATAAAAAGCTTAGTAGGCAAAACGCCTTTATGCAATGAATATCATTTAGAATAAAGGGTAAGCAGATTAGTTACGAAAAAATGTAAGCAATGCGTTGTCCAAGCCGTTAATAATTTATAATAATAAAATAAATGGATAATAATAAAATAAATGGATAATAATAAAATAAACGAATAACGAACGAATAAACGAATAAAAAAAACCGTATAACAATGGCTCAAAAACACAAGAATTAACCTGAAGTATTATTCAACTTCATTTAAAAATCGTTATTAAACTACTTTAAAAATCACAGAACCAAAATCTGTTTTCTTCTTATACCACAATAAGCCAATAAAAAATGAGTTTTTAATATATTATCGTTTAATTTATTATTTGAATCATTTAAAATGATTTATTGGCTTCCTAACTAAAAGTCATCGAACTTATATACAAAAGCTTAATAATTTAAGGTCCTTGGGACTAGGCAGCCGCTGGAGGCTCGTTGATGATACCGTAGAAGAGCACCAACTTAGTGGGATCGTGGCGCACAAGGAGCATGAAGGGAGTGTCCGCCCGGAAGAGGACATCCGGACCGGATTTCTTCAGATACGTGACCGTGGATGCCGCCGCCTCCGTTCCCTGTTCATTCACAGTGAAGTCCACTTTGTGGACAATGTCATCCACCACCAAGTCGGAGCGTGCTCCTCCGGATCCGGCTCTTCGCTGCGCCTCCAGATTCTGCAGGCTGTTTCCGCCCAGCGAACTCGTCCTGGTGGCATCATTGGTGGCGATCAGGGAGAGATCATTCTGCACGGTGCTGAAGATGCCACCCAGTCCCATGTTCTGCAGAACAGTCTTCAGGTTAACGGACTCGGTGAGGTGCATCTTTGGGAATGCAATTATGGCCGATCGCCTAAACATCCTGCTGATCAACTCCTCGATCTTATCCGCAGTCAGAACGGCTTGCAGATCCTTCAGTGCTTTCGTCGATGATTTTAGGGGCTGGATGACGTACATGGTGCTCAGGTTTCCCCTGTAGGGCAGTCCGATGATCTTGCAGCCCAGTTCGTAGTCCTCGTGGTAGGGGAAGGTTCCTCCGGTGGCCATCATCTGAACCCTCACCACCGGCTGGGTTCCCTCGCCATTCGGATAAAAGTTATCCGGCCGCGTGGTGAACTCCATGAAGTCATTCTCCCAGAAGCCCTTGAAGTACAGCGCATTGGCCAGGATCAGTCGGGTGCTCTGTGGAATGTCGCTGGCGATGATATTCTGGATGAGGTTCTTCGTGTGCTCCGCCACCCAGCGATTGATGTTATATCGCGCCGTCGCCGGACTGCCCTCGAAGTCCTGGACCTCCAGCTGCGATCCGTAGACCTCTTCGACCGCCCGTCTGAAATTGCAAAAAAGTAGAATACATAAGTAATCAATCAATAAGGCGGCACCTATTAGGTATGCAAACATCGTTGGGCAAAGTGGAGCAAGATTATTCATATTGGAGGCTAGGGATGGGTCGGTATGCCATGTTTACAACTTTTTTAAATAAAGTAAATGTGTATTGAGTGTGCTAAAAACATTTAAGGGTTATCGATCTAGGGCAATACATTCATACTTGGGTTAAAATAAAAATTACATTTGTTTTTTACCCCATAAACTGTGATAAAATTCTGTAAGAACATTTATGTTTGTATTTAAATCTTTAATATGTTGTACAAGCTGTTATAGTGATATATTATAAAATATTGAATTATTCCGTTATGATCACTGAATTCAAGGTTGCATCACTGCAATTTTATTACTTTATTTTCTCACTCTCCCACACCAACTACATATGTCACTGGGAAATTCTAACAAAACGTGATCAACAGTCGTTAAACATTTAATTGCACACGTTGTAAGAATATTTTTCTCAATGAAAGCTTGGGTTTTGAAGTCACATAAACAAATTTAAAATTATAGAGTGAATTACTCAATTAATATTGTGATTGTTCCATCTGTACACTGAAACTAAAAATTAAGGAATATTTTTATCTGACTGATACTTGTTTAAAATATTTAAACTTCAATCAAAACTTTAAACCTAATTTGCTAATTTCATGGAATTAAACTTTAACTTCAACTACTTTTAAAGTTCCTCATGAAATATTTGATAATATCAATATAATTTAGATTGAATTTCCAATTTATAAAGGTGAACTATGATCATCGAACTACCTCAAGTTTTTTCTCAGTGTAATATGCTCAAGGCGCTCGCTAATTGCCTGGCATTTCCCACCGCCCATCCCCAACCAGATGTTGCTGTAGATCCAGTTTGCGCACAATTATCGGCAGCGATTCTCACCTGTAGTCGGGGTTGAGTGAGTAGCCGGTCTGGGTGAACAGTCCGTTGGCCAGGTGCACTTCATGGGCTCCGGGTCTCTGGGCCTTGCGACTCGGTCTCATGGTTCCTGTGGCCCTCCATTCGGTCGTAGGTCTTCCTGGCGAAAGTCCCGCTCTGGTGGGCTGTTGCAGATCCTGCAGCATCAATCCAAACTGCTCGTGCAGCCTGCTGGTGTCCTGAATGGCAAACACTCGGGAGAGTTCCTCGTAGCTGCGACCCCTGGCACCCAGGAGCAGTAGAGCCAGGGACTGAACGATGCTCAGTGGCGAGAAGATCTCCGTTTTCCTCTGGCCCAAGTGCTGAGCCAGAATATTTCCGAAATTGAGCACACTCTTCGCGATCTGATCGGAGGTGGCCAAATCCACGTAGGTGGAAGGCGGAAGTGGCCGTTTCACGGAACTTCCCGACAAACGAATCGCAACGGGATCGTCTTTGGGTGAAAGGTCATTCACGAGGCCGGGCGATTGAAGGGACGGCAAACTTGGCAAGGGAATCGCCTGAATATGCTGGGGTGGCATTTGCTGTTGCTGTTGCCGATCCTGCTGCACCAAACTATCGATGTAGGCCATCGTTTCCTTGGTCCTCAGCCCCTCGCGAACAAGTTCCGAATCACAGCACACCGCACTCATCATCAGAAGCGTCAGAAGCAAGCGCCACATTTTGTGAATTTAATCGCGAAAGCACTCAAACTATATATAGGTTCCCCGTTCTCGGTTCTCCTCTGGTATATGTGCGTATATATACTATATTTATTCAATGGCCAAACGCGATGTGGCTTGTTGAGTTGTTAGAGCCAGACTGAGCCTCTGTCGCTCGGCGCTCATCTTTTTAAAACTGGAATCGCGAACTCGTTATCAACACAAAACACTCCTTCAAGCCCCGATCTCTCTCGATCTCGCGTCCAGCTGATCTTGGCAAGCATTTCGATGACTAGTCACTGGTTATACCCGCAGTTTGTTTACAATGCCTACGCGGATTGTCTGCACTTGTTATTGATCTTCGTCGATCGGTACTTTCTGTATTGATTGGTGCTGCCCCTTTCAATTTTCTGCGAACTCTGTCACGGAAATCCATTGACTCTCTCTCTCTCGCTCAGCAGCAGCTTTTGACCCGTGACAAACATTCTAAAGTTCTCACAGCGGTTGGGTAAATATTTTAAATATTCATTAGCCATAGTATAGGATTATGTTAGGTGCGTATTCACGGGCTTGTCATTGGAAAGTTGATGCATTGTCATTGTGATACAGCCGGGGATTTCCGAGCGGTAGGATAACATGCTGATCCGTAAGAAGTTTATGCTAATGGCTTCTAACAATATAATAGTCCAATCCACGTACCCGCAGTAAACTCAAATTGAGCCTGACTTGAATTATAAGTAACATGGCGGAAGGAATAATTTGCCCTTTAAATGGCTATAACCATTTTATGCATCTGCATTCGCAATTTGCAATTCAATGTAAGTGAAATAACTTTTTATTTAGTGAAGGTTTTAATTTGTATTTTTTAAGCCGCTGAGGGTGTTGAAAATGATTAGGATAACTTATCAGCAGATTGATTAATATAGCAGATTTTATAAATATTTGATTACCTATATATTATGAAGGAACATTTTTAATTGTAAAATACAACTTTTGATAATCTTAAATATTGATGTTTTGCAAATGCCGGCGATCATCAAAAAACATTATACCCATCCGGAAATTCCTGCCTGAAGGCTTCGACAACAAATAAAGAAAGATTGTATCACACGTTTCAGCAAAAAATATAAAATTTAAACGTGACTATAATTTGAAGTACAAAAGAAAGGTGAATAACACCCTTTAAACTTAATAATATATGAAGATCAAAATCTTTAATATTCCAAAGGGAACTGCTTAAATTTCAACAAACATTTAATCATTTTTCATTTTGAATAATTTTTCAAAGACAAACTCAATGTAACTTCTTTTAATTAACTTAGTCATATTCGAATAATTACATCTCAGATTGTTTTTAATAAATTAAGTATGTCTGCTTAAATCTCTGAATGAAATTGTCACGCTATTCTCTCATTATAAATTAAAAAATTTTAACAAATATATAATCTGATGAAATTCAAGTGTAATAGGAAAATTGAATGACTAACAGTTGTAATTATAATTCACAGCCTTAGATAAACCTTGCAGTTTCCAAATTGTCTGATTATTTGTATTAAATTTTATTTAACTTTTGGAGTAGCTTTAGCCTTTTATTTAATACTGCAAAGTTTGAACTTTAGCTGAGTTTTAATATAACAAATAGGTTATATATAAGTATCTCAGAATTGTGCTGACAATAGACGTAGTTTACTTTTGGGCGCGGGTTTTCCTATGGCGAAAAATTTCACATAAGACTCTTAATTTGTTAATTGTTTATGATATTACATATTTATTTTCGCTGATATATATAATATAACGTACGTAGGTGATGTTTTTACTACAACAACTGTGTCAACTCAATATGAATATATCAATGTATTTTCAAATTTTCAGGCCACAGTATTTGTTCTCTTAGATGGCAATTTATATTATTTGGCTGATTTCCTTTAACTTGGTTAACGTTTTTATCCAGCCCAATATGTTGTGTCAATAGGTCGGAAGCCAATTTTCTCGAACATATTTCTTGAAGCAGTGTTTGCGGTCACAACTGGCGCTGTTACTTGATCTCCCAGGGCGGAAATCTTTTTGGCCATGGATTTTACCAACAAGCTGCCGAGACCCAGACGCTTATGCGATTCCAAAACTTGCAGCAAACCCAAACTTCCAATGGGCAATCTAAAATATATGGGAAGCAATAAGATCAGCGTAATGTGATTATAATTCAAAAGATTACCTCAAGCACCAGGCAACCAATTTTCCGCTATCATCATAGGCCCCCAAGCAAGTATTTTGCCTAATCAAAAGCCTCACAAAGTTTATAGAGCCGGGCCCCTTATGTGGCCAGATTTCATTGATGGTCTCGGCATCTTCAACAGCCAGGTTCAACAGAGTTATGCCAGAAGGAAGCCTTTAATAAAATGACTTTTATAATGGCACTTAAAATCATCAAAAATATCTACTTACTCAATAGTAAAAGTATCTATAAGTTCCTTGCTCGCACCATACCAAACGGTCTCTACAATAGCCAGTTCATTGGTGGAGTAAAATTTTTTGTTTATATGTTCAACGATAGGTTTCAGACGGGAACAGAATCCAAAAAAATTAAATTCACCATTAACGAAAGTCAGACATTCTAGGCCTTTTGTCACACGTTCTAAATTGTCGCTCAAAGTGTTGAAGTAAAGGTGTTTCGTAGGAATACCTAAATCAAACTAAATTTGTATCAAATTAGTGACCGACAAATTACGTTTGCATCGAACTACTTACAGTTAAAACAAAGGTTCCATCTTTCTCCCAATCACCGTTCAACGAATAGAACTTCACTTTCAGATCCGGATCTTTTTCCACCCAGTTGATGAAATTATTTATGCACGGGTAGCCTTGGGGATCGGTGTCCCTGTGGGCGTACAAATCCCTTAGTTTGGTCCAATCGCTTTGGTGTATCTCAACTAATTTATCATCCGACATGACGACTACCGCTTCTAACAAAAGCCGATTGAAGAGTGATCTTGAAAAATAAAACGTACCAAGAGAGTAGCAAATGGGTACTCAGTTTAGTCTCTTATTAGATTTAAAGAGAGAGGGAGAGAGATAAAAAGCACTTGTTAGTTTTATTGTAAGTGCGATTGAAAAAGCAAGAGAGAACGCTATAGTTGGGAGCACCGACTACCAGATACCCGTTACTTAGATATGGAGCCTGAACACGGCCACAAGGCTGGTGGGCGTAAAAGTGGGAGTGGCAAATTATTAATGCACCGCATTTGCTTTGTATTAATTACCTGAATCCAAATACTTTATGCGGTCGCAAGTGCTTCCTCCGACCTGTCAGATACGTTTTTAACAAATACAGCATACCCCTTTTTATCACGAGTAACAGCTATAAACATATTAAACACGACTCTCCGCAATTTAACACTAGTTGATTCCTTATTTCTCGCAACAATGTAATAAATATAGACTAGATTAAACACGTGCTCATGAAAACAAAGGTGTTTGCAAGTTGATTAAGAAAAAGTAGGCATCACTGCCCAGTATACTTTATTGATGGCTTTAAAACCCAATTTTTCAAACATTTTCCTAGAGTTCTCATTTTCGGGTACCACTGTGGTCAAAGCTTCGGAGCCAGTGGCTTTGATTTCACTGGCCATAAAAAGGACTGCCAAAGAACCCAAGCCTTGACGCCGATGGGTGGATAGTACATGCAAGTTGCTTAGACTGCCATTGGGAGATCTTAAAAGAAAAACATTTTATTGTTTTTTAAATGGGAAAAATTAAACAATTGTTACCTTAGACACCAGGCTAGTGGTTCATCATGTTTATTGAAAACACCAGCAGCCACATTGTTCTCAATATTCCCCTTTATCAGGGACAAAGAATCGGCTGAGCGATAAGCCCAGTGTTGATCGACCAAGGCGGCATAATTTGCACTCAGATAACCAACATGAATTGAGGGATTCAAACTAAAGGGAAAGATAATGAATAAAAATATCTTCAAATACGAATTTTCCCTACCCCGCTTTCCATTTCGGTACTTCAGAACTTTTCAGATGATAAACAATAGTTTCTTGATGCTCCAGTTCACTTAAATCTTTACCCAATTTTAGCCAATATTGTTCAACTAGTGGCTTAAAACGTTCTTCATAGCCGCAGATCAAGTGAAAAACTTTTATATTCAAAGAACACAACAAAGACATTAGATCATCCAGAGAGCCCTTCTCGGTGTTCAAGTAAATAAATGCCTTGCTATCTAAATGATGCTGAAATTATAAACTTTCTTTCAGTTGCTATGCCATCAAATAATTTTTAATTAGTGCTTACAATGAGTACATAGCTGCCATGGGAGTGCCAATCCTTATCAGTTGTAAAAACTTTTATGGACTCGTCTTTAGAAGATGGCTTGTAGTGTATAAAGTATTCGATTAGGTCGAAACCCGTGAGGTTTGTCCGATCGCCGGCATATAAATCCCGAAGCACTTTCCACTGTTCGCGAGGGATTTCTAGCTGTTCAGTGCCCATTGTAATTTTAGCTTAGACTGCAAAAACTTTGTTTTAAAAAACGCAGATGGTGTCACACAAACAACAACCCCTGCAAATTAGTTATAATCTTTTTAGTTTAAGCTCTCTTTCTTTATTTGATAAATTAGCGTTCAGAGCGAGTGTATTTATTCTCTTTTAAGACACCTTCTGAGGTTCTCCACTGTACTAAAGAGAATAAATATGCTTTCGATAGCATTTCTACTCATTTTTTCGTTTCATCGACAGAGCGCTAACAGCTGTTGAACTTGTTGATTTTGTTTATGTTCTAAAAAGATTTTTTTTTCAAAATTTGTGCAACCATTCAGACATGATAAGGATTCTTGTATGAGTTGTTTTCATTTTTCTGTGGCTCTGCTTCACTAAATTATCATCAAATGTTTGCATTAATGTTTTTGTATGCATATATCTTTTTAAAACTGGTCATTACTCAAAATAATAGTAATTTAAATTTATCTATTTGCGACCTTCTTTAAATCTTAGTAATGTTTGTGTACCTAATAGCTGGGAATTACTCACTTACTGAAATATTAAATTTACGTTTAAAGGAAGTGGTTTCAAAAATGACTAAAAATATTTGCAGTCAGAAAAATTATTAGAAACGAAATCAATATGCAAATTTAATTGTTATGTATAATAATAAGCTATCTTCCAAAACGTCAAGATAGCCTGCCAAAAAAATGCTTTTTTGTTCAATTTTTAATTTTATTTAAATTTTAAAATATACAAAAATTTGTTTTTATTTAATACCTTTTAAAATAAATAGCTTGTGTCAGGTGTAAAAGTATTTGTCTTAACTTTTTTCTTGCACTGTGTTGTTTCCAAGAAACTATCCATTACAACACCATTGCTATTAAACTTCGCGATGACAGAACTCAAAAAGATTTAAAGCCTGCCACGCCTCTTCCGAATCCTCGTCGACACCCAAAGCACTCAGATGCCCCAGTGGATCCGCAGCAAGTAGCAATCAAAGTCAATCATGATTGACTACAACCTATTCTGTGTTAAATGCCTTCGGAGCTGATCAATTTACACACGCATGTCTGGTTTTTTTGGACACCCGAGGCCATCGAGTAGCTGACACTGGGGTCGGGCATATGGTAAGTGAAATGTGAACACTTCGGAGAAGATGCCCGATCCGAGTCGACGGTGAGCGGGCCTAATCAGTATCGTTCGAATGTCGGAGCGTTCTAGTCCGCTTCGATTTACCTCCGTCGAGTGGCGATGATGACGTGATCGCAGCTGTTACAGTTTAAACTGTCTCGATTTTGCATTCCTCGGGCAGCTTACCCAAAAATGACACGCCAGTTAATTGGGGACAGCGCTAACGTCGGGTTCTAGTGAATTGCGAGGTTCAAAGACCACTCCTACAAATTCATCAGAGAATCAACAAAGTTCGGCTTATCATTGAGAAGGCGAACCGGTTTGCCCAACAGATAAAGCCCGACTACGCCCGCACTTGAATATTACCTAGGTGCTGTAAAAAGTAAACAAATCAACCATGGGTCAGAAGCTATCGTGTTGCAAAAAGTGCGATTATTTTGAATGGTGCGGAACTAAACAAAACGAGGAGCCAAAGTTGCGTATGCGCAATATTAATGCCAACTTTTTGGCAGGAAGGCCAGAAAAAGATGAAACAGGTAGGCGAATATAACCAAATGTGACAAATCAATTTAAGATTCAGAGGCGAAGCTTTAGTATAGTAGAACTTATAACATAAACAATCTAAGAGTTTAGTAACCACTTTAAGTTGTTTTTCTTAAAGCAATTTATAGTATTTGATAAAGCTCTTTAACAAATAATCTATCAATTATTATTCAAGCGTAATTGTGTTCATTAAAAATTAATTTAACATTAAAGTTTAATATAGAAATGAATTAATGTAGCCGAAACCTGAAGATATACATATAATTCTGTTAAGAATGGTTGTAATTTAAATACATTTGTACAAGCAACCAAAGTTCAAGTTTAATTAAACACAAATTAAGGTCAATCTTCTTGATTTCAATGCTTGACATGTAATTGAAAATGATACCCAAAAGTGTCACCTTCGTTAACCCAGGTTAAGTTTTTGTTCCATTTTAATGTCCTTCACTAAATTCAAAATTGATTTTTATATAAAAGTGCACGGCCGTTATATTTGATTTGATCTTTGAGTTTTGCTCAGCAACGTTTGAAATTGATTTATTTTGTTGAGTATGGCATCGTTTCGAACAATTATGCATTTGTTCTATAGTTTCGCCTTTTATGAATGCAAATTTGTTCGCCGTGGGTGTTAAACACTCATAGCTACGCTGCCCACAGAGTAATTTGCCACTCGAATTGCTCATTTTATACCTGCAATTCTGAAAATTGAATTAAAATAAACAAAAATGGAAACACCTGCTGACTGACAGAGAGATTACACAGCAGTTTGGAACCCTCAAAAATGTGATATTTAAACAATAAATGATGCTAAACAGCCAATGAAATGATTAATAAGAGTGATCATTAAATTGCCAAAGCGAATTGAAGATGAGTTTGCTTAGAAAATCGTTCTGGAGAGCACTCGATGCTCACTTAATGACCATGTTGGTCAATATATATTGCCAATGACCGATGACGTAGTTGCTCGAAACAAAAAATCCAACCGCTTCTTGGCCACAACGGGTCCATCGCAGTTGCCCTGAAGCTCAGCTTCCCGTGCATAATTAATAATAACCCACCAGAACTCGGAGAGATTCCGAGAGAATCGCTGAGAAATCGAGAGCGACAATCTCATATACGCATCGCCGTCGAAACTATCTGGTCGAAACGATATTTCGATCAGTTAAGTTCAAAGCGTCGCGGTGTTCACATCGAATGATCTTGAAAGCGGTTCCAATAAAAAGATTCTTTGCAGCGCAGTTGCCGTTAGTTTTACTCTTCTTTTATCGCTGTTACCGGTGATTCTTATTGTGCATACCGTAGCACATAAATTGTGGCTTAGAGCGGTCTTCTTTGTCAGCCGAATCGCATTAGCCGGAAGCCTGAAATGAGCTATTGGTATCGGAATTACACGCCCAGTTGGCTGCAGCGATGGTGGCCAAGTTCCCAGCCACGAAGAGTGAATCCTTTTCGCAACGCACGTCCTTTAGCGGGTCTTGAAGGTACTCCAACCCAGCAAAAAGGATAAATCTTTTAAAAAACATCTTAGAAAGTGTTGTGCAGTGTATAAATATCCATATAATTATTCAAATCTTATTATAATTGCTTTGGTAATTTATTTTTTTTGGTCTATGACTTCATTTTGCGATGTTTTGTTTTCATCTCAAGTTCTTGTCTTGGTTGTCTGACGAGTTTAAAAGGGTTCCCCAATAAAAACGCAAGTGAACATCTGAGAAATAAAATAAAACATATACACAATACATGTTGTTGAATTAAAAAGTCTTAATGCAAATTTTTATTAGAATAGAATTTTAAAATATTTTGTTTTCATGGATGATTTCACTTTTCGCTTTTGTTTCCCTGTGCTTAGTTTTATTTTTGAAACTATGTGTTAGATGATGTTTGGCAGGTTTAAAATGGGATTTTGAGACAAAAATAATTCACTTATATGTAGGCAAGCCAAGACAAGACGATGATAACTATTGACGACCTGTTGTTAGGAGGAATTTGCCACTAATCATTGGAATTTTATATTATTTTATTGGGTTTGTTGTTGGGGTATGACTTCATTTGTGTGCTTTTGTTTTGCTTGTTTCTATTTCCGTTTTCAATTTAGCGTGTTGTGTGATTTGACACGTTTGGGTGGCTCAGCTATTTTACTATTTTGCGAATTTCGCTAACACATACTTAATAGTTTTTGCATACAAGCAGAACTCGGCACCTCCTTTATTTAAACAAATATTTGAATTGATCGATCTGTTTACTAATGCATATTGCAATTTAACATTTATAGGAAACGAGAATCTTTTTCTATTTTAAATCCAAATTGAACATGAAAGCGAATCGAAAATGATAATAGGATCAGCCATGTGGAAAAAACTGCTCCCATAAATCATAATTGCAATTAATTCATCTTTGACTTGTGTACTTATTTTTATAGGCTCTTTTTAGTTCTCCGAAAAAGTTTTTGATGCTTTTAAAAAAGCAACGCAAGAAATCTATTTTTATTCCCATCATTGCGACCCTAAGTAACCTTATCAAATTGAATCTCATTCACATAAATCTTTTCTCTCCCTTCATGGGAATTTCTTGTAAACTTTAAAGCATCAAAATTGGTTTATATTTAGAAACTAAAAAGTCATTTTAGTTAGTGTTTTTGTATTGCTTTCTAATCTTTTTTAATTAGCATTTGAACCTCTGCTTGAATTTTATTTCTTCAAAAACTTTTGCTTTTAGAATTGGTACTATGCTCTCCCAGTGTTTTCTACATATATGTATTGCTTTTCTTTAAATGTTTTTTTGGTTTTAGTGGTGCGTTGGCGTCACTTTGATTGTCCACTACGAAAATTAATTGGCTTGGCATTGATCTTCTGGCCACCATTGGCACAAGTTTGTTATGTTTATGGCAAACGGAGATTAGTCAATTTGGGGCTGCAGCTTTGGGGAATACAACTGGCAGCACATTGGTCTTATGATATCATCGCCTGTCTGCCTCAGCAAAAGAAACAAACTCAAACACAAAACCCCAACTAATCGTTGACAGATTTTATCCGAACCCTGTCAAAAAGTTATTTATTTCTCAAGGGGGCAATTTTAAAATTATAGAAAATTAGTAAATGCTTGTTTATGAAAATAAATTTATTTACACATATGCTCATTTAAGGAGTCATTTAAGAGGTTTTTTGGAACCCTGTCAAAGCGATAAGTATTACTCAAAGGGGTACATATGAAAACACAGGCAATTAGTCAAGGCTTGTTTAAAAAAGTCATATATACACATAGTATGCTTATTAATGGAGTCTTTTGATAAATGTAGTAAATCATGAAAATTAAATTTCGTTGCAAACTTTGTTAGATTAACTTTTGGTTCTAGTTTATTTGGAATATTGTGTACCTATTATTATTATATTATGAATAGAGACTGCATTGCAATCTTCTGAATGAAATTAGCTCAAGAAAAATAGAAATATTTGTCACAGATGTTCTTTCAATTTTTTTTAATTTAAAATCATTTTTAAGGCATTATTCATAAAGCTATGATTAAAAAAATTGTATTATAAAGGCGCCAACAATTTGTTCAATCAAGTTGAGTTATACGTTTCATAGCGGTCGCATCAACAGGCAGTTCCTAATAAAATTTAAATAAAATGCACAAACCCAAAAATAATAATTGTTTTATACGAAGCTGTCCTTTTAGAAAACTTGAAGGTATATATAAAAGATAAAGCTTAGTTAACATAGTTCTTATAGAATTATGTAGAAATCTATTTTAAATACATTTTGAACTTTTTTTACATTAAATAATTTGTTTTTATAAACTGCATTAATGATATTTATTAAATTTTTTCGTGGAACCAAGTTATTGGTATAAATACTTTTCATGATTTTTAAAAATGTTCGTGTAATTCAAAGAACAATCCCTTGACTAAAATGTTTTTAGAATGAAAATAGTACATACAATTACTCAAACGATGTATCTTAATCAACAGATGCCACCAATTCAGCGGTGCTGGGAGTACAGAGAGTGGATCCCTGCCTGGAGGACAACCACGATGAGCACCACACGAGTCATTTCTACGCGGCGGCTGCCAAGGAAGCCCTGATTGTGAGGAGAGGAGAACCCTTCAGGCTGAAGATCCACTTCAACCGGGACTACAGCCCCAGCAAGGATGCGATCAGCTTTATTCTCAGCGTGGCGGACGACACCAAACCGAGTCCTGGCCATGGAACACTCAACGCCCTGGTGCCCCACGATGGCATCGATTACCTGGGCGACACTCTGGAGTGGGGAGCTGGCATCGAATCGCACGAGGGTCAAACCCTCACAGTGCTCATAAAGCCACCTTCCACTTGTCCCGTGACGGAGTGGAAACTGGACATCGACACCAAGTTGCTGGGCGATGGATCGAGGAGCTACCCCCTGCCGCTGCCCATCTACGTGCTCTTCAATCCCTGGTGTCCCGAGGATCAGGTTTACCTCGAGGACCGCGACCAGCGCAAGGAGTACGTGATGCACGACACCACGCTCATCTGGCGGGGATCCTACAACAGGCTGCGTCCCTCGGTGTGGAAGATCGGACAGTTCGAGCGCCATGTGCTCGAGTGCAGCCTGAAGGTCCTGGGAACGGTGGGCAGGATTCCTCCGGCCTACAGAGGCGATCCGGTGCGAGTGGCTCGGGCTTTGTCCGCTCTGGTGAACTCGGTGGACGACGATGGCATCCTTTTGGGCAACTGGTCGGAGGACTTCTCGGGCGGGGTGGCGCCCACCAAGTGGACGGGTTCCGTAGAGATCCTGCAGCAGTTCCACAAGACCCAGAAGTCGGTGAAGTTCGCCCAGTGCTGGAACTTCAGTGGTGTTCTGGCCACCATTGCCAGGAGTCTGGGCATTCCGTGCAGGGTCATCACCTGCTACTCCTCCGCTCATGATACCCAGGCCTCCCTCACGGTGGACGTCTTCATCGATGCGAACAACAAGAAGCTGGACGCCGAGACCACGGACTCGATTTGGAACTACCACGTGTGGAACGAGCTGTGGATGCAGCGACCCGACTTGGGCGTGGGTCAGCACGGCACCTTCGACGGCTGGCAGGTGGTGGACGCCACGCCACAGGAGGCCTCGGATGATATGTACCGAGTGGGTCCCACCTCCGTTTCGGCGGTGAAGAACGGCGAAATCCTGCGACCCTTCGACGGTGGCTTTGTCTTCGCGGAGGTGAACGCGGACAAGCTCTACTGGCGCTACAACGGACCGAGTCAGCCGCTGAAGCTGCTGAGGAAGGACACCCTGGCCATTGGCCACCTGATCAGCACGAAGGCGGTGCTCAAGTGGGAGCGACAGGACATCACCGACAGCTACAAGCACGCCGAGCGCTCCGAGGAGGAAAGGAGCACCATGCTGAAGGCCCTCAAGCAATCCCGCCATGCGTTCAGTAGGTACTACCTGAACGACAGCTTCAATGACATCGAGTTCGATATGGAGCTGAAGGACGACATTAAGATCGGCCAGAACTTCAGCGTGGTGCTGAAGGTGACCAACAAGAACGAGACCCGCGCCCACTTGGCCACCGGTCAGATCAGCTGCGATGCGGTTCTCTACACGGGAGTGGGTGCCACGGAGGTGAAGGTCCTCGGATTCGAGCTGGAGCTGCAGCCCAAGAGCAGCGACTACGTGCGCATGGAGGTCATCTTCGAGGAGTACTTCGACAAGCTCTCCTCGCAGGCCGCCTTCCAGATCTCGGCCGCCGCCAAGGTCAAGGACACCGACTACGAGTACTACGCGCAGGACGACTTTCGGGTCCGCAAGCCGGACATCAAGTTCCAGCTGGGCGAAGCCGCCATCGTGGCCCAGAAGGAGATCGATGTGATCCTGCGCCTGGAGAACCCGCTGCCCATTCCCCTGCACAAGGGCATCTTCACCGTGGAGGGACCGGGCATCGAGCAGCCCCTGAAGTTCAAGGTGGGTGGTCATAGAATAAGGAATGTAACTTAGTGATCTAGTTGCAGGAAGAGTTATTCAATTCATTTCGTTAACGAACCTGCTAAGATTTTAGGGATAGTACTGACCAAGAAGCAAATACGGTTCCTCAAAATAATTTATTGAAATCAAAATAAACAAGTATTAAATCATAATTTTCTTTGTCTTAAGCTTAAGCTCAATATCCACCCAACAATAATTTTTGATAGTTTAGTTGTAGTTTTTCCTTCAAAGATTATTCAGCATATGCAAACATTTAGAAAAATGCTGAAGCGTATTCAAAGAAAGCTTTGTACTATATCAAACGCTTTATTTGCTTAGTTGAGATATATTCTCCGACTATGCTTGATTGCTGATTGACACACAACACTAATTGAAATATCCTACTTGTCCTTACAGATCGCCGAGATTCCTGTGAATGGTACTGCGGCAGCGACCTTCAAGTACACCCCGCCCTATGCGGGGCGTGGCACAATGCTGGCCAAGTTCACCTCCAGGGAGCTGGACGACGTGGATGGCTACAAGCACTACGAAATCGAGCCCCGCCCGGAGGATCTGCTGCAACCGAATGGAAGCCACCGGAGAAGCAACATTATCCGCAGGCGCACCGATGTTATAGCCTAAAATAACCTCAGTTGAAATTAATTTCCTTTCGTATTTCGTAGCTTAAGCATTATGTTGTAAATAATATTAATAATACAGATTAATTTTTGATATTTAAATTTTAAAATAAAAGAATGATTATATTATATACAAATCACCGATTTTCAACGATTGTTTCTATCGAGGAGAATAGGTAAAACTAGAGAGATCGATAAATTCCAAAGACTCGATAAGCAATTTCGATAGACGTGAGATCTTTTTGAAGAATCTAAAATTTTATTCCCAATATTCAAGCTCTTATTATTCCCAAGATCTCAACGTTCACACGGTTGGACAAACAGTCAGATTGACTCTTCTGGTAATCCTGTGCAAGAATATATTTACTTCATAGGTTCAAAGTACTTCCTTCTATATGTTAGATACTGCACACCTTATACAGTATATGCAAAAAGCAACATTTTCTTTCTCTCTGGTCCAGCTAGAGATAAAAAGCTTGTCCAAAAAATGCTAGTAAAATTTCTAAGCGTTTTCAGTATTAAAAACTCAAGGTTTTTACCTAAAAATTAAAAAAAAAAATTATAATATTTCTAACCTTTTCTAAGCCAAAATTTTTTCTTTGTGTATTTATATACAATGTTTTATAGTGTCATTCTTGAAATATCATAAAAGTTTATTTGAATATTCATAATGGGTCATTACCCCGAATAATAAAAATATGTAAGTACTAAGATGATAAAGACCATGAATTTTTTTAAAATGATTAGTATGCGGGTTTTATTTTAATTACTCACAGCTCCAATTCTGGAACTATTTTGAAGGTTTGATAAGAGAGAAGCTTTCTTTATATATTTTGTTTTATTTTATTTATTTTCAACCTTACGCATTTTTCTTGTGAACTTAATAGTATAAGCCAAATAAAAAATCCTATTCTTGCACAAGATTTCTTATGATGCAGTCCTTAGCAAAACAAAAAGAGACAAGCTTCATCAGCTTTGCTGTGCATATTACATTCCAAAATAAACATTATAATATTTATTGTGTTGGTTATTAATTAAAAACCAAAACCAAACTAGTCTAGTAACATAAAACATCTATGTCGGAGCAGCTGGATCAGCCTGGGAAATTGTGGGCTAAGCACTTTTGCTATATAGGTTTCAGTTAGAAATCCTTAGATTTGACAATACATTAACAAGTATTTGAAAAAAATATATTCCTTTATACTTATGTAAACCATTTCAAAAGATTTATCTTTTTTCTTTCTATGCTTATGGCTATAGAAAAACATTAAATATTTATCAAATTTTTTGTTTGAAATGCGTCAAAGATCACAATTTTTTCTTTAAAAAAATTTTCCCTCATGTAAAACATTTTATATTTACAGTTATCAAAAGTTTCCATAAATATTTTTTAAAATGTCAATAACTTTTCGTATTACTCAAACGAGTGCAAGTAAAAATAGTACTGCAAGTTAAGATGTGTACTCTGAATGTCATATTGCAATTTATGTGCATGTAAAAGTATTATTCATATGATTGATTAGAGTTCGAGAGCGGAGATAATTTTTTCCAATATAAAGGCATCAAAAAGTTCCTTCAGCATAAGTTGAGTTTTAGGCTCTTACTTACAAGCAGTTCAACAACACCAATCCCTCCGCTGTTTCTACGAATTAGGTCTTTTTACGGACTAAATACTTTAAAAAAAGTTTTTCGTTTCGCAAAACAAAGAAATGTGTAACACTAACAATTCGCACGGTTGGCTGGACCGAATTTTGCCAAATGGGAATCCTTTCCTTAGCAGCCGACCTCGACGAGATGTTGAAGGTATAGGCTTATCCACTAAATGCCCTTTAAGATTCTTTAGAGTTCCATATAATAGTTTAAATATATAATTTTTTCCACTCACAGTTGAGGATTGTTCGATTCTGAGCGTTTTGAAAGTAGATCTCTGCCAGGAAGAGAACCACGTGAGACACCACACAAGTCATTTCCACTCGGCGGATACCCAAGAAGCCCTGGTCGTGAGAAGGGGTCAGCCCTTCAGGCTAAGGATCCATTTCGACCGGGACTTCAGTCCCAGCAAGGATACGATCTGCTTTATCGGCAAAGTGGCTGACGACCCCAAACCGACTCCTGGCCATGGAACTTTCATTGCCCTGGCTCCCAAAAAATGGAACCGACAATCTTGGAGACCCATCCGAGTGGGGTGCTGGCATCGAATCGCACGAAGGTCAAACGCTCTCAGTGCTCATAAAACCTCCTTCCACTTGTCCTGTGGCCGAATGGAAGTTGGATATTGACACGGTGTCCGATAGACGTGGATCGTGCTACTCCCTGTCAGAGCCCCTGTATGTCCTGTTTAATCCCTATTGTCCCGATGACCAAGTTTTCCTGAAGGATCACGATCAGCGAAAGGAGTACGTGAAGAACGACACCACTCTTATATACAACGGGTCCTACAACAGCATATGTGCATTGGGCTGGAAACTCGGACAGTACGAGCGTGATGTGCTGAAATGCAGCTTGAGGATTCTTGGAACTATAGGCGGGCTTTCCCCAGCTCACCGAGGTGATCCCGTGTTTGTGGCTCGGACCTTGTCCGCTGTGATCAACTGTAACGATGACCGTGGCATTCTAGTAGGCAATTGGGAAGAGGTTATCGAGGATGGTGTGAAACCTACCAAATGGACCGGATCAGCGGAGATTATTCAGCAGTTCTACAAGTCCAAGGAGCCAGTCAGATATGGGCAGTGTTGGGTTTACGGAGGTGTCCTAGCCACCATGGCCAGGAGTCTGGGAATACCGACCAGGATCATTACATGCTTCAACTCCGCACATGATAAAGATGGTTCTGCGACGCTAGATGTCTTCTATGACGCGGATGGCAAGGAAAAAGACGATGGCGATTCCAATTGGAACTTTCATGTGTGGAACGAATGTTGGATGAAGCGACCAGACTTTGGAGTGGGTAAGCACGGCTCCTACGATGGCTGGCAGGTTGTGGACGCGACTCCTCAGGTGGAGTCCGGAGGAAAATGTCGACTGGGTCCTGGTCCTGTTTTGGCCGTGAAACACGGAGAACTTCAAAAACCATATGATATCGGATATATCTTCGCTGAGGTGAACGCAGATATGGTCTTTTGGCGCTACAATGGAAAGGGACATCCATTAAAGCTCATCCGAACAGATACCCAATACGTTGGCAAAAACATCAGCACCAAGGCAGTGCTGAAATTTGAACGAGAAGACGTCACCGATAACTACAAATTTGCAGAGCGCTCTAAGGAAGAAAGGAACGCTTTGGCCAAGGTGCTAAAAGAGCTAAACAATTCATTAAGTAGATTTCATCTAAATAGCAATTTTAATGAAGTTGAGTTCGACCTGCAACTTGAAGACGACATTAACATGGGAGAGAACTTTAAAGTGGTGTTAAGGGTAACCAACAAAAGTTGGACTAACACTCACGTGGCTGAAGGTAGCATCGTATGCCAAGCCGTCAAATACACTGGAAAGGACGGAGAGATGGTCAAGGCTACGAAATTTAATCTGGAACTAAAGCCCCAGAGCACCGGTTATGTTCGTATGGAGGTCCGCTTCACGGAGTACTTCGAAAAGCTCCCCTTGAAGGGTGCCCTACGCATTGCTGCAGTCGGCAAAGTTAAGGACACCGACTACGAGTACTCCATTCGGGACAATTTTCATGTCCACATGCCGACTATTGAATTTCAGTTGGGCGAAGGTAACCTTGTCGTCCACAAGAAGTCAAAAGTGATCATGTCTCTGAAGAACCCATTGCCAATCCCGCTGCGCAAAGGTGTTTTCATAGTGGAGGGACCGGGCATCAAGCACCCTCTAAAACTGAAAGTAAGAACAACTGATTTAGATTTAAGTTCTTTTAGGATCGTATATAAAATCGAATTTTCTTTTTTACAGATCGCGGAGGTTCCAATGGGTGGCAATGCCACTGCCGACTTTGAGTACACGCCGCCCTATTACGGACACGTCGCAATGGTCGCCAAGTTCTCCTGCAAGGAGCTGGACGAGGTGGATGGCTACAAGGATTTTATAGTTGCTCAGTGTTGCTTGAAACCGTAGGCATTGCATTTTACCCGACCTACCACCACCTTTCAGATCTTAGCGATGTGGCCTTAGACCTGGTAGCCTTGTCTCTTTATTGGAGTTTCTAGATTGCGATCTTGATTTTTCTTGCACATGATATACATACCCTGTCCAATTTTACCCTACTCTACTAAACATGGGCCACCCTGTTATTTTTCTCCTTTCAGCTTACGAAGCGGGTCCAAGGTCAACAGAAGTAACGTTGATTCATGGCACGTCCTCTTGGTGCGGATCTGACGTCCGCCTGAGGCTTTAAGGTTTTTTTTTTAAAAACAACGTCAATACATCCTCCTAATCAAAATATTGTAAAATAGAATTATCAAATGTTTATTTCCTTTATTACTCAAGACGATGTTATTGAAAAAAATATTAGGACTAAGATATTTTTTTTTAATTTCTCTTGAGTACTATAAAAGTCAACTTTTTCAAAATACATTATTCATAAAGCCATGAATAACTAAATACATATTTTGAATAAAAAGGAGGCATTCGGTTCTTTCAACATAAGTTGAGTTAAAAACTTTGTGGTGTACGCATCTTAAATCAGTTCTACATTTAATTTCCACATTGTGTTGGTCCTAACTACTATTTAATACACTTCTTGCCAAACTGAAATTAGTTTATCAAAGATATAAATGACAGGAAGGTGTGATCTGCGCAACTGGCTGCACCGATTGTGGCCAAATGAGAATCCGTTTCTTAGCAGCCGACCTCCAGGAGAAGGTAAACACCGAAAGGATAAGCCACGAAATGCTTTGTTAAAACTATATAAACTATTTTATAAACCATATATATACATATATATATAATAAATAAATAAAATTAAATAACGCAGGTGCGGCTCGTTCGGTTGTGCTGAGCACTATGAAAGTAGACCTCTGCCTTGAAGACAACCATTTTCAACACCACACAAGTTTCTACTCGTCGGCTGCCCAAAAAGCCCTGGTTGTGAGGAGGGGACAGCCCTTTAGACTGAAGATGCATTTCAACCGGGACTTCAGCCCCAGCAAGGATGCGATCAGCTTTATTCTCAGCGTGGCCGATGACCCCAACCCGACTCCTGGTCATGGAACTCTTAACGCCCTGGTTCCCAAAAATGGAGTAGAAAATCTTGGAGACTTTCTGGAGTGGGGCGCTTGCATCGAATCGCACGAAGGTCAAACGCTCTCAGTGCTCATAAAACCTCCTTCCACTTGTCCTGTGGCCGAATGGAAGTTGGAGATCGACACGAAGACCGAGGGTTATGGATCAAGAAGTTACTCCCTGCCCATGCCCATCTATGTGCTATTTAACCCTTATTGTCCCGATGATCAGGTCTTCCTGGAGGATCACGACCAGCGAAAGGAGTACGTGAAGAATGACACCACTCTAATATACAACGGGACCTACAACAGCATGATTGCTTCGGGCTGGAAACTCGGATAGTTCGAGCGTGATGTACTGGAGTGTAGCTTAAAGATTTTGGGAACTGTAGGCGGGCTTTCCCCAGCCTTCCGAGCTGATCCCATATTAGTGGCTCGCACCTTGTCCGCTGCGATCAACTCGAATGATGACCGTGGCATTCTAGTGGGCAATTGGAAAGAGATTATCAGGGATGGTGTGAAACCTTCCAAATGGACCGGATCAGCGGAGATTATTCAGCAGTTCTACAAGTCCAAGGAGCCAGTGAGATATGGGCAGTGTTGGGTTTTTGGCGGTGTCCTAGCCACCATGGCCAGGAGTCTGGGAATACCGACTAGGATCATCACATGCTTCAACTCCGCACATGATGGCGATGGTTCTGTGACCATAGATCTCTTCTACGACTCGAATGGCAAGGAAAAAAAGGGTCATGATTCCAGTTGGAACTTTCATGTGTGGAACGAATGTTGGATGAAGCGACCAGACCTGGGAGTAGGTCAGCACGGCTCCTACGATGGCTGGCAGGTTGTGGATGCCACTCCTCAGGCGGAGTCCGGAGGTAAAAGTCGACTGGGTCCCGGTCCTGTTTTGGCCGTGAAATATGGTGAACTCCAAAAACCCTATGATATCGGATATATCTTCGCTGAGGTAAACGCAGATATGGTCCATTGGCGCCACAATGGAAGCGGCCACCCGTTAAAGCTCATCCGAACAGATACCCAATACGTTGGCAAAAACATCAGCACTAAGGCAGTGCTGAAATTTGAACGAGAAGACGTCACCGATAACTACAAATTTGCAGAGCGCTCTAAGGAAGAAAGGAACACTTTGGCCAAGGTGCTAAAACCACTGAACAATTCATTTAGTAGGATTCATTTAAATAGTCATTTTAATGAAGTAGAGTTCGACCTGCAACTTGAAGACGACATTAATATCGGAGAGAACTTTGAAGTGGTGCTGAGGGTAATCAACAAAAGTGAGACTAAGACGCACTTTGCTGAAGGTGTCATCTTATCCCAAGCCGTCAAATACACTGGAAAAGACGGAGAGAAGGTCAAGGATATGAAATTTAAACGGGAACTGAAGCCCCAGAGCACCGATTACGTTCGCTTGGAGGTCCTCTTTAAGGAGTACTTCGAAAAGCTGTCCTCGAAGGGCGCTCTACGCATTACCGCAGTGGGCACAGTTAAGGACACCGACTACGACTACTCCATTCGGGACGTTTTCCATGTCAAAAAGCCGACTATTCAATTTCAATTGGGCGAAGCTGATCTTGTGGTCCAGAAGATGATAAAAGTGACCATGACTTTGCAGAACCCACTGCCCATTCCCCTGCACAAAGGTGTTTTCACAATGGAGGGACCGGGCATCGCACAGCCTTTGAGATTAAATGTAAGTTTCACTGATTAAAGCTGTAAAATTAGTAATATTATTAGTACAAAGCAATTGCGTTTTTATTGGAGAAGTAAGTAACACTAAATAGGTTAACACTTTACGTTTGGTAGAAGAAAAGAACCCAACTGTTGCGATCATCTATAAAATCCCATTTAAGCACAGATGATAATATTGTATCTTTGTTTTAACAGATCGCCGCGGTTCCAGTAGGCGGCACTGCGTCAGCATCCTTCGATTACACCCCACCCTATGCGGGACACGTCGCCATGGTAGCCAAGTTCAACTCCTACGAGCTAAGCGATGTGGATGGCTTCAAGGATTACACAGTTGCGAACTTGTAAGCCAATAAAGACGCTGCATGCCTCGCAGTATCAACACTTCCAACGCGTTATCCTTTGCATTAAATAAATTGTATTTTTGAATAATAAATATGACTTAAATAATTAAAGAAAACGAAAAAATTAGTTACTCAAGATGTCATCGATTCCCAGGGCACAGCTAGGTTTCTTGGCCGATTTTACAAAAAATATTCCTCGGGCATCCCGTGGGACAGGATCACCCATTAGGATTTTGCCACCCGTGCAGTTCTTTCCCTTAAGTTCGTCTAATCCCGAGCAGGGAACACCATAAAAGCCCTTGGAAGAGTTTATGGACTCTGCGTAGTATTCGTAGGAACGTCCATGGCTGCAACCAGCAGAAAATTCAAAATAAATTTCGGGCGTCAGAATTTGTATTTTATACGGACACGTCGCAATGGTCACCAATTTCTCCTGCAAGGAGCTGGACGATGTGGATGGCTACAAGGATTTTATAGTTGCTCAGTGTTAGGATGCTGCCCAACAGAAACCTCCATTATCCGAAATAACAGCATTCACAATACTCTTTCTTTTATATTTCAATATTTGTCTTATAAAGGAAATGATTAATAAATATTATTTTAGTCAGCTGAATCAGTTGGTGTGTATGCTTATATAGTATATAGTATTGTATATTTGTTAGTAACTGCCTTTTTATGTTTCAGCATGTGACCAGAAGTAAGATAAGTTTATAGATAGAGTTTTTAAAATTTAAGGCTTACTATTTCTACCGAGATGGGGAAATGGTTAATCGGCGGCAGGTCAGACAACGTCCTTACTAGTTAAGCTTAAAAGGCTTAACCCGGATATCGGTTTGGATTTGGTGGGCAAGGCTATTCGCTTGCATATTACCAGACCTGGTAGACTTTTCTGTATTTCCGAGTTTTGATATTGCGATCTTGATTTTCTTGCACTGTGCAATTGATTTAACTTGACCTAATCGCATTTACGCACTCTAGTTTAATAGTCGCACTCCAAATGTTCCCTGTCCAATTTTACAAACCTCTGTTAAACATGGGCCACCCTGCTGTTTTTCTCCTTTCAGCTTACGAATTCGGGTCCAAGGTCAACAGAAGTACCGTTGATTCATGGCACTTCCTCTTCGTGCGGAAATCACATCCGCATTGGCTCTTAGGGTTTTTTTGAAAAAAACAACAAAGCGTCAGTACATCCTCATAATCATAATCATAATATTCTAAAAATAAAATTATCAAATGTTTATTTCCTTTATTACTCAAGACCATGTTATTAAAAAAACTATTGGGACTAAGATAATTTTCTTTTAAATTCACTTTAAATTATCTTGAGTTCTTTAAAATTCTAATTGTTCAAAGAAAAAACATTATTCATAAAGTGATGAATAACTAAATATTTTGAATAAAAAGGGGTCGATCGGTTCTTTCAACATAAGTTGAGTTCAATCCTTTGTGCTGTTCGCATCTTAAAGCAGTTCAATTAGGAGTATTCTTTTTTAGTGCAGATCTCGCTAGCTCAATATTTAATATTCAATTTAAATTACTTATATACAATACATAAAGTGTGTCTTAGAGCAAAATTTTTTCCAAATTAAATTAAATTTTTAAAAGATAAAAATGTCGAGAGGGTATGCTCTGCCCAGTTGGCTGCAACGATTGCGGCCAAATGAGAATCCATTTCTTAGCAGCCGACCTACAGGAGAAGGTAAACACTCAAAGGATAAGTCACTAAATGAAATATATTATTATAAATTTTATAGTTTAAACTATATATATATAAATTAATTAAATGAAACATCGCAGGTGGGACTCATTTGGTTGTGCTGAGCACTATGAAAGTGGATCCCTGCCTTGAAGACAACCAGTTACAACACCACACAAGTTTTTTCTACTCGGCGGCTGCCCAAGAAGCCCTGGTTGTGAGGAGGGGACAGCCCTTTAAGCTAAAGATGCATTTCAACCGGGACTTCAGCCCCAGCAAGGATGCAGTCAGCTTCATTCTCAGCGTAGCCGATGACCCCAACCCGACTCCTGGCCACGGAACACTCAACGCTCTGGTTCCCAAATACGGAATAGAAGATCTTGGAGACCCTTCCGAGTGGAGTGCTGGCATCGAATCGCAAGAGAGTCAAACGCTCTCAGTGCTCATAAAACCTCCTTCCACTTGTCCTGTGGCCGAATGGAAGTTGGAAATAGACACGAAGACAAATGAATATGGATCGAGGAGCTACTCCCTGCCAATGCCCATCTATGTGCTATTCAACCCTTATTGTCCCAATGACCAGGTCTTCCTAGGGGACCACGACCAGCGAAAGGAGTACGTGAAGAACGACACCACTCTAATATACAGAGGGTCCTACAACAGCATAACTGCAGCGGGCTGGAAACTCGGACAGTTCGAGCGCGATGTGCTGGAGTGCAGCTTGAAGATCCTGGGAACTGTTGGAGAGCTTTCCCCAGCCTTCCGAGGTGATCCCGTATTAGTGGCTCGCACCTTGTCCGCTGTGGTCAACTCTAATGATGACCGTGGCACCCTGGCTGGAAAATGGGATTCAAATTACACGGATGGAGTTTCACCCTTAAAATGGACCGGATCAGCGGAGATTATTCAGCAGTTCTACAAGTCCAAAAGGCCAGTGAGATATGGCCAGTGTTGGGTTTACGGAGGTGTCCTAGCCACCATGGCCAGAAGTCTGGGAATACCGACCAGGATCATCACATGCTTTAACTCCGCACATGATTCCGATGGCTCTGTGACCGTTGACCTCTTCTTTGACTCGAAAGGCGAGAAAATAAAAGTTAATGATGATTCCTATTGGAACTTTCATGTGTGGAACGAATGTTGGATGAAGCGACCGGACTTGGGAGTGGGTAAGCACGGCTCCTACGATGGCTGGCAGGTTGTGGATGCCACTCCTCAGGTGGAGTCCGGAGGTAAAAGTCGACTGGGTCCCGGTCCTGTTTTGGCCGTGAAATACGGAGAACTCCAAAAACCCTATGATATCGGATATATCTTCGCTGAGGTGAACGCAGATATGGTCCATTGGCGCCACAATGGAAGCGGCCACCCGTTAAAGCTCATCCGAACAGATACCCAATACGTTGGCAAAAACATCAGCACCAAGGCAGTGCTAAAATTTGAAAGAGAAGACGTCACCGATAACTATAAATTTGCAGAGCGCTCTAAGGAAGAAAGGAGCACTTTGGCCAAGGTGCTAAAACAACTAAACAATTCATTAAGTAGATTTCATCTAAATAGCAATTTTAATGAAGTTGAGTTCGATCTGCAACTTGAAGACGACATTAACATGGGAGAGAACTTTAAAGTGGTGTTGAGGGTAACCAACAAAAGTTGGACTAACACTCACGTGGCTGAAGGTAGCATCGTATGCCAAGCCGTCAAATACACTGGAAAGGACGGAGAGGTGGTCAAGGCTATGAAATCGAATCTGGAACTGAAGCCTCAGAGCACCGATTACATTTCCATGGAGGTCCGCTTTAAGGAGTACTTCGAAAAGCTGTCCTCGAAGGGCGCTCTACGCATTACCGCAGTGGGCACAGTTAAGGACACCGACTACGACTACTCCACTCGGGACGTTTTCAATGTCAAAAAGCCGACTATTCAATTTCGATTGGGCGAGGCTGATCTTGTGGTCCAGAAGATGATAAAAGTGACCATGACTTTGCAGAACCCACTGCCCATTCCCCTGCACAAAGGTGTTTTCACAATGGAGGGACCGGGCATCGCACAGCCTTTGAGATTAAATGTAAGTTTCACTGATTAAAGCTGTAAAATTAGTAAGTAATATTATTACTACTAAGCAATTGGGTTTTTATTAGAGAATTAAGCCCCGCCTAATGGGCTAACACTTTACGTCTGGTTGAAGAAAAGAACCCTACTGTTGAAATGAACCCTATCCCATTTAAGCACAGACAATAATATTGTATCTTTGTTTTTACAGATCGCCGCTGTTCCAGTGGGCGGCACTGCGTCTGCATCCTTTAATTACACTCCGCCCTATGCGGGTCACGTCGCCATGGTAGCCAAGTTCAACTCCTACGAGCTGAACGATGTGGATGGCTACAAGGATTACACAGTTGCAAACTTGTAAGCCAATAAAGACGCTATAATCGAGTAACAACAATTCCAACGCGTTATCCTTTGTATTAAATACGTTGTGTTTGTGAGTTGTACATGAATAATAAATATGATTTTAATAATTAAAGAAAACGACGAAATTAGTTGCTCAAGATATCATCGATTCCCAGGGCGTAGCTAGGTTTGTTGGCCGTTTTTACAAAAAATATTCCTCGAGCGTCCCGTGGAACAGGATCACCCATTAGGATTTTGCCACCCGTGCAGTTCTTTCCCTTAAGTTCGTCCAATCCGGAGCAGGGAACACCATAAAAGCCCTTGGGAGAGTTTATGGACTCTGCGTAATATTCGTAGGAACGTCCATGGCTGCAACCAGCTGAAAATTCAAAATAAATTTCGGGCGTCAGAATTTGTATTTTAAAACTATCTACGTACTCACTGAAAATCTGCGAAAGCTCCTTGCAGCCAGGTTGTGGTGGTCCCCCGCCATTTGGATAGAAGTCCACCATACCAATGGGTTTTCGGAACCCCAGATAGCCGGCGCAACTATGAATTACGTCCACAAAGTTGGCATCCGTGTCGTCCAGGTGATTCTCGGGTCCAATGCAATCCTCGAATGCAGGTCGAGCCGGGTCCAAGCCAGTGATTCGATTGACCCTGTACTTTGTGTATGACCCGGCATAGCCCATTATGTGTGCTCCCAGACTGTGGCCGATGAGGTGGATCCTCTGTGGATCCGCATCCTTCTCCTCCACCAGGAGGTCAATCAGCTTGGCAACCGCCCTACCCACTTGCACCGTGTATCGTGCCGGGGTCAGGTAGTAAATATTATCCGCCTGATCCTTCCAGTTGATGGCGAACACGTTCACCTGACCACGTTCAATGTAGGCTCCGCGAATCGACTGGATCGAGTTGCTCATGGTGCTGGACTTCCAACCGTGGACCAGAATTTTTGTGTCCAATTCCGGGTTGAACTTTTCGGCCATCTCCTGCCAAGTGTCTCGCTTGTGGCGTTGCGGGAACTCAAAATCGTTGTCATCTATCCAGAAGTCGGCACTGGAACTCGAGTCGCTGCAGGAAAATACAAAAATTAACTGGATAAGTGAAAGTGTGAAAGGTTTAAGGGTTGATAACAATTTAACATTTTAATACAAAACATTCAATCCAATAAGTACTATGTTGTTAAAATCGATTATATGATATGCATGCCACATGTATTCATCTTACTAACAACATTAAATACTCTCGACTTACCTTCCATAAAGTTCGAATTTGATGAGCTGGGGCAGATTTATACGGTTCTCGGGCGGCGGTTCCACCAGATAGGCCACTTCGGGCTTACCCTGTCCATTGGGCATATAGATCCAGGTCTTGTTGTAGTCCTCCTGGTTTAGGGCCACCTCCCCGCGAATGCCGACTAAGAGAGAGCAAAAGAAGTGCGTTAATGAATTGCCTGGTCTGATTTAAAACCTCTTTACAGAGCAGAAGAACGGGTCGCACCACCTGGGCGAGGGCCGCAAACCCAGTGATGAGCCACTGGACCACCACAAAGGTGGTGGAGACCTCGTTGCGACAAGGATTAATCACATTGCAGATGCAGGCCAGCGCATTTGAGGACATCTTGACCAGCTAACCGTCGAACGCCAACTGATCAGACACCGGACTCCAAAGATGACCCAAGGCCCAAGATCAGAGCTCCCAACTCCCAGAGCCAAGCTTATTAAGGCGGCTGACGCATTAGTAATCCTCGAAACCGGTTCCGACCCAGCAATTAATTCTTGGCCTGGAGCGCTTTAATTACTCAGCATCAATGCGATGTGTGCGCGAGCGAGTGAATCTCGGTCAGCGGCGATGTCGATGGAGACAAAGCCCAATTTATATAACAGATTTCCCGTAACTCACCCAAACAATTAAGGGCTAAGCCCCAGAGCCAGCAAAGCGCCAACATCTTTGCCGCAAATTAAACTTCACTGTGTCACGGTACTCGAGAGTGCGGATTTTATAGCGAGTGAGCCGTCGGGCATTGATAAGCTAGAACAGGGCCAGGTGTCAATCAAGACTGGAGTTTCGGACGGACTGCTACCCAGGTTGAAGCCTCGGTCGGAAGGGTCTTATCGCCCATGCTCAGTGGGATGTCCAAAGCGCTCCCCTGTTTAATTGGGTTAAGCCTAGTTGTTTGATGCATACAAAGCACAGGTGCATTGCCCCACCACAGCAAAGTAGCACAAAATATTTTATAAAATTGATAAAATAAAAAAAATAATAATACATAATAGTCGTCTATATGATGAAGAGTCTTGTAAAGGTGAGGAGGTTTAAGGTGTTTTTTTAAAGGTCATGTTTTTAAAATGTTACCGTTACTTCTGGAGTAAGGGACCTACTGTACTAGCTGAAAGTATTAAACGGGCCAAAGGAAGCTCTTCCGACCATAAAATATAGCCATTCTTGATCAGGACGAAACGATCTAAGTCTGTCTGTCCGTTGGTTATATATAAAATTTAAAACGTTATAGCTTGTAAAAATACTTAACATTGTCTACTTGTAGAAAACATCACGTATATGATATAGCGGTGTTACCCGCCTTAGCAGAGTTTTCCACCCACATATCGAATAAAGTTTGCGTTGCCAGACATTGCATGTACTATCCAGTAAACATTAAATTAGTTCCATCTCTACTGGTGCGTCATTTTAGAAACGCCGCGAATATTTTGCCGTTGAGGATCATTTTCTGTTGTAATTTCACTGCGCGCCACCCAAACATACGCATCTAAAATGTCGGGAACTTCGCAGAAACACAGGAACTTTGTGGCGGAGCCGATGGGCAACAAATCGGTGACGGAATTGGCCGGAATCGGAGAAACTCTTGGAGGACGCTTGACGGAAGCTGGATTCGACAAGGTACGTGTTTTATTGCAATGACGCCATGTGCGCAAATAAACAATGCCAGGTGTTTACAATTTGTAATCTTATCTAAATCTAACCCGCAGGCCTACATCGTTTTGGGACAGTACCTAGTGCTAAAGAAGGACGAGGAGCTCTTCAAGGACTGGATGAAGGAAGTGTGCCACGCGAGTTCCAAACAGGCCTCCGATTGTTACAACTGTCTGAACGACTGGTGTGAGGAGTTCTTGTAAGAGGAGTCACGAGGGATACGTGTGCTTCTAAAGAGAATCTTCGAAAGACAATGGCAAATCAACTAAATGCTCAGTTGAGCAAAGTGGCGCATATCGAGCTAAGCATTTGCGGTGTTCATGTCTATAACCCTATTAGTATGTAGTTAAGATGTATTTTTAATGTCTAACCGAACTAAATGTACAGTCATTCAAAGGATATTGCGTTTGTTTTGGGAAATTTTTTTAACGTATTTTGGGTAAAGATTTTTGTTAACCAGCAGTAAAAAAAATGCCCATGAAAAAGGCATTCCTTTGAATGAATTTCGAGACTTCCCCCAAATAAAAAAGCATTCAAGTCTGTAGCTAACTTAACTCGTTAAAAATCGGTTCGCATGGATTGCGTCTATAATAACTCTGGGCAGAGTCGCTGAGACTGAGATCTTTTAGAACGGAGTCCCCCCAATGCCCGCTGTCCGACAACATTTTAAATCGATAATTATCAACGACTCACAACACTCAAAACTTCTAAAAATTTTTGTAAGCAAACGTAAACAAACAAAAAAAACTTAGAATAAACTCAACTGACTAAATATTTAAAAACGGTGGCCATTCAGCCTTAGTTGCACCATTTGATCGACCCCGTCAATACCCATGTTCGGCATATGCAGCCGCTAGGAGGCTTTTTTAAAATAGACTTATCTCAGATATTGCTCACAGGAATTGCTAATCCAATGAGTCCCAAGCCTCTCTCCTAAGTGGACTTAACAACTTTAATGCCATTTAAAAGAAACTCAGAATCAAACCATATAAATTTCAAAATTGCCAGGTCACTTCACCAAAAGATGTAAGCCACATAAAATCACCTTACTTCGAGCTATCGATAGTTTGCCCAACCTTTCATAGGTTCCAAGCTCAACAATCTTAAATTATATCTTGATTTGTTTTGACTTTGCTTAAGGATAAATTAGACAAGATGTGGATTATCCGGTCCCATAAGCGTTTCTATTAATATCGATAGGAAATCCGTGGTATTTTCCACCGAAAGTGATGGTATATCTCAGTGCAATCTTCATTGCGCGTTGGTATTTTTCAACAGTCCAAATACGGTCACTAGACTAGAATTACGCGTGAAAAGAAAACCAATGAAAATTAAGAGGAAAATTGCGAAATACAGCCAAGCGGTGCAATAATAAAAAGCGCAAAGTAAGCGACACATAAGGCCCTTTGTTTACGCGGCCCACAGTCTGAAAACAACACACGCTAAATTCAACAAAGTGAAATTAACTCGGCTTTGGCGTATGCGTACACATGTGTGTGTGTTTTTCTTTGTATATAGACTCGTAGAACGAGACGGCCATATACGACCGCCGACGGGACGGCAGGTGCGCGAGTGCGAGCGAGAGGAATGTTGTGCGGTCTACAGCTCTGTGTGTTATTTCAGAGTTCCAGGCCAAACATTCTGATGTGCGGCCGAATCGAATCGACTTTTTGTGTGCATCGCCCAGCATTCTCTTTAATTAATTAGTAATTGCAAAACGGGCGCAATTATGCACCAAATTATGGAATTATAATCTCTCGTATTTGCGCTCTCTCCTTCTTCTGCCTCCCATTCGTGTTCGCCTGCACACAAAACGGTGAATCGTTTGAAAGGTAGCAACAACGTTTCCTTGGAAAAAGCTGTAAATAGTAAACAAAATTGTCAAGTTAACGAAAAGAAGCTATCAAAAGGTTCGAGTGCGTTGGCATCGGCTGCCCAGGAAGGGGAAAGCGAATTTCTGGTTACCAGAAGAATTAAATGAACTGCTAGAAGAAGTTATAAAATTAAAAAAAAAAGAAGAGAATTAAGAACCCCACTGAAATCCCCGCCGTGTACGTGTGTGTGTGCCATTCAAATTTCCCTGCGAATGGGTGAGTGTGTGTGTGCGTGCGCGAGTGTGTGCGTCAGTTTATTTTTCCTACCAATATTTGCCATTGGAAAGTATGGTATATAACCGTAACACCAGCTTTTAGTGCTAAAATCTGCATTTTGATCGTTACATCAGCTGTTTCACGGCTTTTCGTGCTACTATTAAGGCTTTCCCAATGCCGTCGTCAACATTAAAGAGTAAAGAGAGCGGGTCGCGTGTACCGTAAAGAGAGTTGCAGCGAGAATGAGTTGGAGAGAGAGCGCGGTGGGGGCGGGGGCGGTTCCGGTGCGAGAGAACGTAGTAGAAGTAGTACATGGCGAAGGTGCGAGCGAGAGGGAGGCAGCCAGTGAGAGAGGGTCCTGCGACTGCCCCCCTCCTCCCCTCCCTTTTACGGAAAATTCAATGACCTCATTTGTCTCATGTACGGAACTTTGCTTGCTTTTCTTTTCTAAACCAAAAAAAACACAACTAAAAGGACCAACCGTAAGACCAGCGAGCAAACAAGTTCGAGAGAGCCACGAAAACAAAGGACTTTGCACTGGGCACCCAACGGCAGACAGCTGGCAATCGACGATAAGCAGGATTAGCTGGAATACACAGGATCACGGATCAGGAGCAGCTATCGAACACCCAGCAGACAGCACAGCCACTGAGAGCGACGTGAACCAATGGGCACCAACTCGGGAGCCACCGCTGGCATCAACAACAAGCCGGTTGGCGGTGCGGCAGGAGCCGGCGTCCTTGGCGGAGGCGGAGTGGGCGGTGCCAACTCCTCGATCGGCGGCGTCCTGTCGAACAGCTTGGGCGGCGGCGGCAGTGGCGGTCTGAGCATCAGCGGCCTGAACGCTGGTGGACAGAACGCCAATGTTGGCGGCCTTGTCGGCGGAGGCGGAATGGGTGGCGAGGACGGCGGCAACGGGATGGTCGGCGGAGGACCCAACAACCAACAGGCCACTACGCCCCAGTACACAATACCGGGCATCTTGCACTTTATCCAGCACGAATGGTCGCGCTTCGAGCTGGAGAGATCACAGTGGGATGTGGACAGGGCCGAGCTGCAGGTGAGTTTTCGTCCAATTGGTTAAATACTTTGGGTAGCCACTTTTTTTTTGACAGAAATTGTATTTGTGTCGTCCTTTAAAAAGATTTTATCAAAAAATGAAATATATGATTTCTATAAGCTCAAATGTTTCAGATTTTTTTCAATATTGTTTTGCTTCAGCTTTCCTTTTTGCACCAAGAAAATGAGTCATAAATTATTCATATTTCTACTTAGAGTATTCATTCATAACGCGTTGAATTCGTTAGTTAATTTAATTTGCAGAAGAATATATGTTTACGCTTTTAAAGAAAATAATATTGAAAAAAACCGTAAAATGAGTATTTGCTAGATGAGAAATGAATTTATTTTTACTGCATTCAATGATTGATGAGTCACATTTTCATATTCCATACATAATAAGGGTTTCAAAAAAGACTCTATAAATAGAATATAAATACTCCAATTTAAACTTAAATGGTGGAGTGTCATGCTTACCTTATTTCCCTCTGCCAAGCTATGTACATAAAAAACAGCGCTAGAACAAAAGCAATTTGGCAAGCACGTTTTATAAGGCCACCGAGGGGTTAAAAGGTCCTTGTTTATCGATGGCGGGAGCTCACTTTCCATTTCAATGATTTTTCGAGGCGCTAATGCATGAACATGCAAGGAAAACAGGCGAGAGGAGCGGGCGAAGGAGGAGGAGCCATCCATCGAGTTGGCTGTCTGCATGCGAGCGAATCGAGTTGAGCAATTGCTGTAATCGAATTTATGCTCTGTTTGTCGCAGACGGCAAACGATTCCCCAAAAAGCCTTTGGCCCCGAAAATAAATATTGAAGCCCCGGGGAGGCTGATTTTATCTCATCACGGGCATGCAGAAGATTCCCTCCTTCGACGTCAGTGTCAATGTCTACCCACGCCCTATAGCTTTCACCTGTCAAGCGGGCAGATAACGACCGGTATCGATAACGCGGCACCCATCCATCCCCTCCGAACAATCCGTTACGGTCTAAATGCAACGTGACATTCAAATCTCTCTGCTCCCTGCTTTACATCGCGTGGAAAATGGCAACAAAAACAAAAAACGAGTTAACAACGCACATTTGTCGCAGCGATTTATGAACCTGTTCGCCTTGTTTGGCGTTTTGGCCAAAACGAACCTGGTTCGGGTGGGCAGAGGCGACGCCATCTTAGCTGCGTCTGCTCCACCACCAGTCGTGGAACCGTTCCCTGCCAGCATCTATTTATATTTCCATCCCCACCGCACATCTCTTTGTGTGTCAGTGTCGACCGCTGTGAATACAACGTCCTTGTCGCACTGAATCTCAGTTCCCCCGCTCCCCGCACAAATGCATCCACTTCCACTTCCTACTCGGCCGGCTTTTCCTGCTGTCGCGTCTGTCGGGTAATTAACTCGCACAGTGGGCGGAACATATTTGTTTATCTGTCATCAAGGATAAAAGAGCTTGTTTACTTTACCAACAGTCTTACTTTAAGGGACCAGTTTGAAAATATCCAGTGTGGTAATCTTTGTATACCAGTGATTTGCAAATTTGTTAGACCCATCTGTTTATTTAAAACTTAGACTTCTAATATATAATATATATTTTTATATACCAAACAAGCATATTAGCAAATTAGACCATCTTTAAAAACACTACCATAAATGGTTATTTTTAGTTTGGTAGGAATACTCCAATTATAAAAGTATGTTCAATATTTATATATTATAGCAAGCACTGTGTGCAGGAATGACGCGACAGTTGCTAATACATTTTCAATCATTTCGCCATCGCAATTGTGTGCGAATGCATTTACAGATTAGAGAAACCAACGCCGCTGGCACTTGTCATATTAATAATTCTATTTATACGCCCATGTGTAGAATATAGGCATTTCCCTAACGTATTATGCAATGAATATTTCCAAGCCCCCTCGTCTCCTTTTGGTTACCAAACAAACGTTTCTTAGAATTTTAAATCAAAGATCTTTAGGCTTCTTTAGGGCAATTAAGTTACAAATGCGCATTTGTCATGGAATTCGTAATTTCTAATTGCGCGGTCTATCCGCAATCCAAAACTAGTTGCATGTCGCGAGGCGATTTGTGAAGAGTCTGATTAAAAGGCGTTGGCGTGTGTGTACACCTGGCCCTTTGGGCTCCGTCGCCCATCTACTTCGAATATCCGGAATATTAGCGCTGCTTTTAATTAGCCAGCTTAAGGAGCCAAACGAAATGCCATTGAGCGGTAATTTAAATGCACAACATGTTTCCATTAACACAGCAACAGCAACAGCAGCAACACAAAGAGCTTCTATCCCGCTCGCACTCCCTGCTTTTTGTTTTTGTTGCTATTAGCATGGGCAAATTGTTATTGTTGCTAGTTCTGGTTCTGCGCTCTCGACTCATTCCACAAGCATGCGTTTGCTTTCTACAATTGCGGGAAGAGTAATAGGACCCCTCAGGCAATTGCGCTGAGGCTTCAGATTTTATGGTTTGTGATTAGGTAATCTGGGGTTTATAATAAAATAAAATAAAAGTATTGCGGTATGCATACATTTTTATTACAGCAAACATTTCATAAACTTTTTATAAAAATTTAAAGAACTATTTAAATGACAAGAGGTATATTTATTGATTATTTGGTTCAAAACAACTAGAGGCCAAATCGACATTTTGCGTTTATCAAAATCGTGTGAAATGCGAAATTCTCGCACATATTTGTGGATATATTACTATTCGCCTAATATACATATAATATATCAATAAACAGGCATAAAACTATTCCGGTGACCTCAGATGTAAAAGCGTGGGTGCCGCCCACCTCCCCTCTATTGTTTCTTTTTATTTTTTTTTTTTTTGTAGGGGGCGTCATCATAGTTGTGGCTGGAAAAGGGAGCCATCGAGGAAAGGAAAAGCAAAAGTTTCATTCCTTTATACACCTTGCAGCACCACCGCAACTATGTGTGTCAGGTGCAGTTCGTGCCCCTTTTCGGATCAGTTTTTTCCTCCCAAATGCCCAGCGAATTGCGCAGTCATAACTACTGCACTCTGTTGCTACGCTTGTTGAATGAACACGGAATGGGTGGAGACATGATGAGGCAAAGGAGGATGGGATGGGGGGTGTTATGGAAAAAGTTTCGTACATTGCAGTTTTTACGCATTTCGCTTAATTGAATCGACAGCGAGCTTAGATGCCGGTTGGGTTTTATTACACGTATTAGTTAAATCATTTCACAGTGGTCACTGACGCTTAAAAACTTTCTCTTTTATTAGTTTGAGTCATTCATGTTTTTATTTAATTTATTTGTATTCTTTATTAAACATAGATGCAGATTTTTAAATATTACCTAAATGAATAACATCATCACCTTTATAACTGTCACTACACGACTTAGGGAATTGTTATTTTATTTGTTTTGATAAGACAAACCGTTTCTTATCAATCTTGTTGGTCCACTTAAAGTAAATCAATTACACACTTGAACTAATTTAATACATTTTTCTATCCTTTTAGGCTCGCATTGCCATGCTTCTCGGGGAGCGAAAGTGCTTAGAAAGCCTCAAATCGGATCTGACGCGCCGCATCAAGATGCTGGAGTACGCCCTGCGCCAGGAGCGGGCCAAGTTCTACCGATTAAAGTACGGCACCGATCCGCCGCAGCTGAACGAGTTCAAGCCGTCGAACGAGGACGCCGGACTGGCCGGGGAGGTGGCCACCGACTCGGAGGTGCCCTACAGCAGTGTATCGAACACCACGTGGCGGCAGGGGCGCCAGATGCTGCGCCAGTATCTGGCCGAGATCGGCTACACAGACAACATCATCGATGTGCGCTCGAATCGGGTGCGCTCGATCCTCGGGCTGAACAACAATGCAGAGCACGACGGCAGCGGCGGGGGACTGGGCGGCGGACTTGGCAGCGGAACCGGCGGCGAGAACCTCAGCCCGAACATCAACGGAAACGAGAGCAACAAGCGCGCCTCGGAGACGGAAGGTAGGTGATTGTATTACGACCCCCTGTTGGGAGATTTGAATAATTTGCTCACATCAGGCCGTCATACTCCCGCTAAAAAAGTGCAACAATCGATCGATGAAATAATCGTGGACACCGAGGCGGCTGTGATGGCGAACTTTGAGTTCCTGGGCGCCACCGAGATGTCCGACGACGACGAGATATCCGACGACCTCGATATGGTGGCCACCGACAATGACGACACGGACGTAAAGATGGCCAAGCGCGCCAAGTCTGGCAAGGACATGCTCACCGAGGGTAGGTCCTGCTCCTGATTCTTCCCTGTTTCACCCGCAGCCTGCTACCTTCAGCCCTCTTCCCGCATGGGCCCGCCTCGCCTTTATGTTCGCCAAATCGTAGCGATAACGATAACGAAACGAATTCGGTTTTAGTAGCCCCCCGCTCCTGTTTACCCCTTGTAGTAATCCAACCTATTTCATGGCTGGCTTCTTGTCTTACGATTTTTGTTTCTGCTTATGTTTCTTTGGCAACTTTATCTTCTACGCTCGTAGATCTAGAGGCCGATGTGGGAGAGCAGCTATTGAACGATATGAATCTCATGACCGAAGGTGCTTTTCAACAGATCTATCACGCTTTTGCCTAAAATGAACCACAAACACCACTCAACCCTCAAGGAAGTTTATTCAGTCTTAGAAACCATATGGAATATTTAACTTTTTAATAAATAAATAACAATTTTATCTAGATTTCAAAGTAAATGATTACTTAATAATGAAATCTACAAAACATTCCCTCTGGTTATAAAGTCTGGTACTTCTTGAGGCGTTGCAAACTGCAATGAGATGTGAATAATACTTACAGCATTTGTTAATCTTCCCACAGAGGTGGACGGCTCGTTGGGACTGGGCGAGCTGGCCCAACTGACAGTGAATAACGAATCTGATGGGGCCTACGATGCAAACTCCAAGGACGGAACTGGCGGCAGTGCCGGCGGTGCTGGATACCGCAAGACCTGGAATGCCAAGTACACGCTTCGCTCGCACTTTGACGGAGTGCGCTCACTGATTTTCCACCCGGAGGAACCGGTACTGATCACCGCCTCCGAGGATCACACACTGAAGCTGTGGAATCTGCAGAAGACCGTGCAGGCCAAGAAGTCGGCCAGCTTGGATGTGGAGCCGCTGTATACGTTCCGGGCCCACACGGGTCCCGTTCTGTGCCTGGGCATGTCATCCAGCGGGGAGACGTGCTATTCGGGCGGCCTGGACGGCAACATCGAGTGCTGGCAGTTGCCGTCGCCGAACATTGATCCGTACGACTGCTACGATCCGAATGTGCACTCCGGAACGCTCGAGGGGCATACGGACGCCGTGTGGGGCCTTACCACCATGCAGAGCAACATTGTGTCGTGCTCGGCGGACGGGACGGTCAAGCTGTGGTCGCCCTACAATAAGGAGCCGCTGCTGCGCACCTACACGGCCTCCGAGGCAGAGGGTGCGCCTTCCTCCGTTGACTTTGTGCGCAACGAAGTGGACCACATCGTGGTGGCCTACAACAGTGCCCACTGCATCGTGTACGACACGGAGACGGGCAAGCAGGTCGTGCGACTGGAGGCGGCACAGGAGATGTCCGGCAACACGGGGAAGTTCATCAACAAGGTGGTGTCGCACCCGACGCTCCCCATCACGATCACTGCGCACGAGGACCGCCACATCCGCTTCTGGGACAACACATCCGGCACTCTGGTGCACTCGATGGTGGCGCATTTGGAGCCGGTCACCTCGCTGGCCGTCGATGCCCATGGGCTGTATTTGCTGTCCGGCTCGCACGACTGCTCGATACGGCTGTGGAATCTGGACAATAAGACGTGCGTGCAGGAGATCACGGCGCACCGCAAGAAATTCGACGAGAGCATATTCGATGTGGCCTTCCATGCCACAAAACCGTACATCGCCAGTGCCGGGGCAGATGGCCTCGCCAAGGTGTTTGTCTAAGAGAGTGTCGTCCACCACCAACACCCTGGCCGCGTCGGATCGAACGAATTCAGAATTCGGAATCCAGAGTGCAAATTGCAGATGCAGAATCCACAGCCAGCAGCTCACAGCAAAGCGATTACGAGTTCGAGTTAAATAATTATACATACATTATAAATATACTATACATTTAAATCTAATTATACTTCAACCGAGAACAACAACCAATTATGCATACAATAATAAGGAAAGAAACCACAAACAAAACAACAACAAAAAACCAATTGCTATAAAGTAAAACAAAAAAAAAATAATAAATTCAAAATGAGAAACGGCATTTCGAGTAGAGCAACAGAGTCAAGTAACAGACGAAAGTCGCGTAATCTAGGAAAGTAATTCTAAAGCAATGCATAGTACGGCATATAACCACACATAAGTGCAACACATAAACATTATGTATTTGTTAAAAATAACACCGTAGCAGTGAAAGAGTTTGATCTTGCTGTGGATCCCCCGCAAAATGGATGGGGATCAACTCAACATTGATACTCTTTTAGGTTCTAGTTTCAAAGGCACTTGCACAGCGATTGTTTGATAAAGAGTAGCCTATAAAGCAGTCCGACATCCTGTACATTTTATATACATACACAACCACATACATATATATATATATATATACCTATTATATGCCCATGGCAAAACTTGACAATGGATCGTAGGCTGGACACGTTGATAGGCACACTCGCTGTGCAAGTGCTTGGACACGTTTCCTTCCCTGCAGGGCCTTAAAGTGCGTCCTGGAGCCAGAGGAAAGTGTGATAAAACATTTACGTAACGATGTAGACGATCAAATTCTGTAGTCTAAGCAAGGCATATACATATAACCAACCATATAACCCGACCCCATATTAGCGAAAGAGCGAGAACAAGTTGTAAATTAACATTAATTAGAGGACAGTCGAGGTGAGACTAGGATGAAGTGAAGGCGGGTTTATTTATGTAGCAAACCCAAAAACGCAGCCACAAAAAAAAAAAACAGAAAACGGGATGTAAAACGAAAACCTTAAAAATTAGTACGTGCAGAATGCTTCTATTATTTCTATTGTCATTTCTAAGGGAGTACGCAATGCTTGATGAATCACGACCATGTGCAGATGAGATATAAATAATAATTGCAGGCGAGCTATAAACCGTATGCTAAGCTATTTATTTAATTTATGCATAGTATTAAACGAATGAAACAAACAAACAAATGTTGGCGCCAATCGCTGATCCAATGGATTTCGTAGTTGAATATAAATTAGATTCGCTTACCCATGGATGCGTACTCGTAATTTTAATCAAACAAAGCTACGTTGAATGATCAGATTTAGATATGTGACTTGAACGTGAACGCCGAGCAACTCAATATTAGTTTTAGTATTACCAATTATTATTATTATTACGTGAAGCCTTTCACCGACACTCTCCACACACACACTTACACCCGAAACTTGATATTCGAAACCGATGAATCAAAATCAAAAACGAAACCGATTGCGATCTGTGTACACCAAGTAAATCCTCTATTATTTTAATTACGTATTTTAATTTACGCCTTAGTTGTTACAATCAAGAACCCGAATCACCTTCTGGATCCTCCAGTGATCCAAAAAGTTGATGAGCCGATGACGATGATCACGATGGTAATAATAATTGATGTGGTTGACCAGCATGTTGGCCACTCACAGTTATATAGCAGATTTATACATTTACTATATACATAAATCTATTGATTTCTAATTTTAACTGTAAATTTTTGATTTTTTATTACCGTGTATTTTTATTTAAAATAAAGTTTTACAAAATGAAGCCGTGTGACTTGCCTCTGCCTTTTGAATTCCCAGATTTCCTGAGCAGAAACCATTCAATTGATGAAAACGTTGTAGACCAGCTGGCTCTCGTTTGCAACGGTGGCAAAGATCAATATAACAAGTTCAGAATAAAAACCAAACACCAAAACACCATTTAAAACGCCAAGAAGCTGTTGCCTTTTCATTTTGGAAAAGTTTTCGCTGCTGGCAGCATTTTGATTTCTCGAAATTTGCGAATTACACCGCATAACATGAAAACGTTTTTTGTTTGAAACCGTTACAAATCCACTGCCGTAAAATGCCGTTAAACACAAACTGCACGCATGCGTTTTGTTTCACAGAGAATGAGAATCCGAAACGAAATTCAAACTCAAACAAAAATATTACAATTCTCCTGCATGTAAGACGCGAACTAGAAAGTTGTAACAAATAACAAAATATTGAGAATCCAAACTGGAATTCGACTATTGCATAAGCCGCAAAAGTGTTAACGAGAAGAGCACGATAAGCATTACATAACTAAGTCGAAAAAAGTTCATTGTAGATTTGAGCATATAGGAAAGGTCCCAGGTCCTAACGGAAAACCCAGCACATAAGTTTATACATACATATATATATATACAAAGTAAAAAACAAAAATGCATATTAACTGAACGATACTTTTATAATAAATCGATGATGAAGTACATAATACTCGAAGAAATACCATTCACACATTTCATGTTAAGCTATAATAAAGTGAATAAATAAAATATTAAAAACAAACTATCTTGTTTTTTTTTAAATAGTTTACAAATATTTGCCAGAGAGAAAAAATCACAGTTTGATAAATAATAACTTTAATGGTTTATATATTTTTCACCTTGAAATTATTAAAATGGACTTAGTTATTTTGGGTAATACCTTTTTAAAAAAAATTTCAAACTAGGCGCGCAGTTCACTGTTTTTGGTTTAATGGAAAATACCGGCTTTTTAGAACAGCCTTAAGTTAGATCATAAATTGTTTTATTTGGGGCACCTTGCAACCCTACAAAGCTCTAAAAAAGAGTGCACTTAGACAACAAAATAATGGACGCAACTTCAGCAATTACAGGCGATGTGGACAAAACACAAGTAAATAAGTTTATTAAAAATTAAGCAGACACTTCCAAAGAGTTGTTCTTCTAGATACCGCCGCTTAATCAAAAGCGCATCTTGGCCTTTGTAAATCATTTTCTCGTCAGCACCTGCACCTTTTTGAATGAGTTTGCCTTGGGCTGTGAGACCAAGTTTGTGGAGATGGAGCGGCAATTGCAGAAGACCGAGGCGGCCCTCATTATACTGGAGGCCAAGCTAGCGTCCATACCCACCGAGCACCATGTAGCCGACGAGGACCTCAAGATTCCAGCAACATCCAACGAACCCAAGGAAGATCCAGTTGTGAATGCGGAAATCCCACCCACTGAAAGTAAACCAGAACCTGAAGCTCCACCTGAACCCCTAGGAGTGCGAGCTTGCGAGGATCTGCGATACAGAAAGTTCTTCAAAATGGTTCATGTAGGAGTGCCTGCGCCGGCAGTCAAGCAGAAAATGCAATCCGAAGGCCTGGAGCCTCTCATTCTAGAGTATGTTTAAAACATATGCCACATGAATTTTGTAAGCATTATCCCTTATCAATCATATGTATTCCAGCACTCCCGATCTTATCCTGGCGGACGGCCTTCGTGAGTGAGCAGATTGTGGAATTCAAACCCAACCTTGTGATATAGCACTTGTTGCTACACTTTTCAATTAAACATTTTGTAAAGCTTATGTCTACAAGTTAACTTGTTTTATTTGCCGCCATGCAGCGGCGTAAAAACAACTTAAAACCACTTCGATAGCAAAAAAGAGTTTCGGTTGGATGATGGAGCCTAGAACTGGATCATCTGTCCCTTGCGCTTCTTGTCACCGCCCAGCTCGAAGTGCTTGCAACGCTTCAGGGGAGTCTGCTTGCGGTATTTGCACTCAGTGCACTCCATACGCAGCACAATCTTTTTGGTGGTCTTAGCCTGAAACACAAAGAAAAAACTGTAATTAGCAAGGAGAACATTTTGATTGGAGGCTTATCTAAGTTGTCTGAAGCTGCAGGTGAGGCGCTATTGGCGAGGATGCCACATAACGCTGCTTTCTCGGCCGCACCAGCGCAACTACACATTTGATCTGGCACAGTTTTTTCCCACCAAAAAGCATAATGCTCGATGAGCGCAGCGATTTAGTTCTACGAAGCGCCATTTTTAAAGATACCACAATTCCCACCAGAACTGTCAAGACATTGGAAACTATTATTTTACTTCATGTTTAGATTAGTTCAATTTGAATGTCTGAAGCTGCAGGCGAGACGCTATTGACGTGGTTGTCACATAGCGTTGCCTTCTGGGCTGCACCGGTACAGCAACATATTTGATCTGGCACAGTTTTTTCCCACCAAAAAGCATAATGCTCAACGAGCGCAGCGATTTAGTTCTACGAAGCGCCATTTAAATGAGTATCACATTTTATGTCAAGATTGTCTGGTCCTAACAAACTCAGGCTAGGTGATAAAGATTACAGATATTATCAGGAGTTGTTATTGGCTGCTACATTAAACACCACATTCTTACACTCCGAGAATTTTTAAGTATGTAAATTTCAATGTTTGCATTTTTTTCTAGACAAAAAATAATCCTTGATCTCGACAGTCCTGGTGGAAAGATAACCGGGAGATGTTTCCATCCAAACTCACCTTCTTCCTGAAGATGGGCTTGGTCTGACCACCGAAACCCTGCTGCTTCCTGTCGTAACGACGCCTGCCCTGAGCACCCTTACGCTCCTTGGACTTCTTGTACTGGGTCACCTTGTGCAGCTTGTGGACCTTGCACTTCTTGCAGAAAGTGCGACGTTGTTTTGGTACGTTCACCTGACGAGCGGATAAACAAATTCCAATAAGCTTTAAAATTCTTCAGGCAGCGACACCGCGTTATTCTCTGGACGAACAGAAATCGTTCGTCCCACCGAATTAAAGTCTTTAATAACGCGGATGCACGTCTGCTTCGAAATTGGCAACAATCACTCACCATCTTTATTAATTAGAACACGAAAAAGATGCAAAATTGCACGTGTTCAGTTTTAAAATACAAAATTGCCCAGTTACGACCTTTCCGGAAACGTAGCGAAAAGAAAAGGAAAGAAGAAGAGCTCCTAGAGGTGAGCAGAAATTAGTGTGGCTGCACCCGTGGATTTGATGCCGATGTGGGCAAGCTGTTTTCGTTACTTTAAAATAAAACCTGAAACTTAATATTTATATATTTGAGAGTGGAATAACATTTTCATATGCTTTAATCATAATAATTTATTTTTTCATATTGTCTTAAACAAACTTCAAAGCTTTATATAATATGTCCCTTTGGTTATATTACAATTGCAAAGTGAAGAAAATAAGGTTGCATAATTACTTTCTTTTTAATAATTAAATGTAATTAAATTCTTTGTGATTTTGAGGCCAAACTATATATTCTCTACGAAATAAAGTCGGTATGGCCAAACACTTGTTGTTTCACCTCTAATTTTTGCAGTGTGGCCGCTGCTCGCCAGTAAAACATACTGTTCAAGTTTCTAAATGCACCGGGAATATACCAAAAAAAATTAAATGCGAGCAATTTCCAAATGATTATGTTTTTAATTTTTTTTTTTTTTTTTAATCATTTTCTACCCATTAGATTGTCTTATATTGAAACTAAAGCATACAATATTTTTAAAGGGCTTGACACAATAAAAATTTCCGAATCTATAGTATACATGCAAACCTTGGGAAATAAGATTCAGCTCTTAACAAAAAAAAGGCCTTAAAAACAATGTTAATCAAACTACATCCGTTAGTGATTTTAGAATGTTTAGGAAACACCGGTTCTTACCATAGTTTCCTAAATGTAAACAGTTGACTTGCGATCGTTGCCACCTCAGACAAATCAGATGTTTTGTAAGGCACTCGACTTGCAGCACTGTTTTGTTGGCCTTGTTCAGAACTGGCCCACCAACGCCTTACAACACTTTCCCCCTCGCACTGTAAATAAATCGGAAATATTTTCAACAATTTTCTGGCGAAAATAATTGGCAACAAAATAGTTATTCCACAGCCAAAACCGGACGCGTTGGTGGCCCGCGTCCAGCGGCTACTTTGTGAACGATGGCAAGAGCCAGCGAACCCTGGCTGGAGCGAGTGTGAACAGCCAAAAAACGGCAGTGATAGATGTCAAAAATTTGCATAAAAAGTGAGCGAGCAAGCAATTAAAATGCAGAAAATGTACGCGTTACTGGCAACCTTGACATTCTGGACGCTATTTCTGCGGTCGGAACAGGCTCAGCTGGCGCCGTCGGTGCCGTGCGATCGCAGCCGAAAGGTTTTTACGGAGCCCTACGGCGAGATCTCCGATGGACCCTCCGGCTTCAACTACACTCAAGACTCACACTGCGAATGGCTGATAAAGGCGAAGAACGACAGCCAGTTCATCACCCTGACCTTCCACAGCATGGGTACCGAGTGCTCCTACGACTACATTTACGTATATGATGGCGATTCCTTCAACTCGACCCTACTGGGAAGCTTTAGTGGAAGAACGCAGCCGCAGCGGCTGGTCGCCCGCAGCGGAAGTGTGAGTAGTAGTCCTTTTTTGGTTTTGCAAGCGAGGTGGAAGAGGTCTCCTTTGCCCTTCTCCTTTTTGTAGTTTCATAAATCATAGTTCAATTTTTCGTTGATGATATGTTTCGAATGTTTATTATAACTTAAACACAAAGTCAAAAGACATAAATTGTTGTTTAACCATTGTAATCAGTTAAATCACTTTAAAAAATCTAGAAACATCGATTTTTTAATAAAAATTTCTAGGGAATACTCTATTTCCAAATGAAAGTTTCTTTGAAAATTAGCTGCCAAGTATGGGATTGATCTATTTTGCTACTTTTAATGGGGTGATTTGAGCTGAACCCCTTCAAATAAATGAAGTAGAATTGGCTGTGATTCATAGAACACTTGACTGGTGATTTGAACTTCGTAGGTAGAAAGAATGGCGGAGCAAAGCAAAGAATACTCCACTCCTGGATGGCTTTAAATTTTAAGTGTTTTTATCTCACCTTTACTTTCTCCCCCAGATGCTCATCCTCATGTACAGCGACACGAACTACGTGCTGGATGGCTTCCGCGCCTCCTACTACATATCAAACTGTCTAAACAACTGCCACAATCATGGGAAATGTGTTGGCCACCAGTGCGTCTGCCACGGCGAGTGGGTGGGACCCGACTGCGAGGACGAGGCCTGTCCGCAGCGCTGTGGCGAGAGCCAGGGACGTGGTCGCTGCCAAAAGAGCATCTGCCACTGCTCGCCCGGCTTCAGTGGTCGGCTCTGCGATCTGAGCGACCATCCAGCGGGCAGCAGCTGGCGTTGGCTGGCCACCGATGCTGAGGGTATGACTCCACGTGCCGCACACTCCGCCGTTTACATGGAAGACGAAGACTCGCTCTACGTGTTTGGTGGTTACGACTTAAACAACGTGATAAGCACCCTGCAGGTAATGTTGTTTACTGTTTTCAAATATTTAATATACACATGCTCTATATAAAACTACGTCATTTATATATAATTAAAGCAAAACATGCAATATAATAGTTCAATTGTCATTGTGGAGTTTAATGTTTTTCTGTGAGCAACCTTTAATAACTTACCTCAATTATACCCTAAACGGTTGAGCGCACACTTTTAATTTTTGCCAAACGTTTTTTTGGTAAAGTTTTTTTGTTATTTTTTTCTGGTCAAAGCTTAGTTGTATAGCAATTAAGTCAACTTTATTTGGTTAAGTACAATTTTAAATTTATCTGTTAGTGGTGACTAAGATTTTTTGGTTTCCTTTTTCTGACAAAATTATTTAAATCATGTTTTGAACCGAAAGCATTTTTTTTATTTAATAAATATCTTACTAATTCTGAAAATTCCCTTTCAGATTTATCGCTTCAGCACGAGCCAATGGGAGGATGAGTGGGGCATTGCCCTGCAGAGTCGACGACACTTTTATCATCCACTAAAGATTGATCACACGCTGCTTAAGGCCGTGCTCCAGCACAAGAACGAGGACGAAGCGAAGCTCTGGGGTCTCAACAGTGACGTAAGCTTCTTCCGAAACATTCTGTACACGCTGGCAGAATCGAATCTGCACCAGCGCCGCACGCGCTCCTCCCTGCCCCTGACCATCGTGAGTGCCAACTCGACGGACGAGGAGCTGAACGAGTACTTGGAGGACATTCTGGAGGAGGTAACGGATCACAAGCCCCATGGACGCTATGGACACGCTGCAGATCGTGTGCCCGGCGGGTTCGTTATCTACGGTGGCAAGCATGCCAATGGCAGCTTCTACAGTGATCTCTGGCAGTACAACAACACGGAGAGCGGCGGCAAGTGGAAGCAGATGGCCATACGGTCGGAAGTGAAGCCGCCGGCTTTGGCCAGGCACACGTTGAATGCGGCTGGTTCATTTCTCTATATATTCGGAGGCAGTCTGGAGACGGGAGAGTTCTCGTCCAGCGTTTATCGCATTCCACTACCACTTTCCGAGGATTCGCAATGGGAACTGGTGCAACCGAGGGGAGGAAAGACCCTGGACGTTCGTCTGGCAGCGCATTCAACGGTCTACTACAAGGCCACCAATTCACTGATTGTTTTCGGTGGAATCATGACCAGTTTGGCCCGCTTCTCCAAGCTTTCGGATCGGATTTACGCATTTCAGCTGGACCAGATGCACTGGACGGAGATTCTTTACCCGCGAACTGCGCTGAGGGACACCAATATACCCAGGGAACGAGCATTCCACACGGCCACCATTTCGGGCAACTACATGGTTGTCTTCGGTGGCTACACGCACCGCCACAACAAGGACGAGATTTGCTACGACAACCAGATGTACTGGTACCATCTCAGCTGCCACATTTGGATTAATCAGGTGGTTTCCGCCGACGACAGTTTGTACCCGAAACCGCAGGGAGTTTTTGCCCATGCGGCTGCTCTGCGACGGAATCACACGCTGTTGATTGTGGGCGGCTACCATGGAAACGTGAACGCGGACCTCTTTGCCTACGAACTGCCCCAGGTGCTGAGGGTGGAGAACACCTTATACAACCCGGAGATATCCTGCAGATTGCACGCCTCGCACACCGCCTGTCTTTCGAACCCGGAATGTGGCTGGTGCTCGGCGGATAGCAGCTGCTATGGACGCACCATCGGCGCCAATTGTACCACCAATCTGCAGACCACACGCTGCCCGGGAATATGTCCCTCGCTCGGCGATTGCCATTCGTGCTTGGTGCACGGTTCGCAGTGGGGAAAGTCTTCCGGAAACAAAGCCGCATTTTCGGTGGCCAGCAAACTGGGATTGAACGAGTGCACTTGGTGTGTGCAGAATGCGAAGTGCCACCACCGGGACGACAACTATGGGATATGTGGAGACAGTTCGGGATGGTGGGGTGACAAAGGCACTGAGATTCGACGCCCTTCGCTCTGCACCAGCACCGATCGTCGGCCAGGATTAACGTACATCAAGTATCACTACCCAATTAACTACACCATGCCGGATTACGTGGGTATTGTGAATGCCACCATGGTGGATTTCGCCTCTCCCCCCGTTTACCACCTACTTCGAGCACAAACTTGAGGGAGAGATGCTGGCCAGGCTGGTGGGATTTGTGCGGCCGCAACACCAATGGAACAACTCGGCTATTCAGGTCTGCACCAGCTACTCCTCGGCAGTTTTGCGCGCTGGTCTTGGTCTCTACCTCGAAGAACTGGTCAACGTCACCACGCAGAGCTCCAACCAAAGCTATTGCAGCAATGTCCAGTTGCCCACCACGGAACAGCCCTTCACCATCGATTTTCAGGTGAGTTTGCCAACTCTAATTTCCTATTTGCATTTGATTTACAAGAAACTAAACTCTCCTTTGACTTCATTGGGGTAATTTGTATTATTTTAACTAACATTTAATCCGTTTTAGGCTCGCCGTCGCATTGGAGGCAACATTTACAACGCCTATCAGAAGACCAAAATGGAACTGCAGCACCTGCACAATGGCCAGCTAAACGCCTTCACCTTTGAATATCTGGAACCCTACTACTCCGGGAAGTGCACCCAGTACTCGAACTGTCTCCACTGCCTGACGGATGCCTCCTGTGCTTGGTGTCCCCTCACCAGCGTGTGCCACCTACGATCCGTGAACGAGACGGAAAAGTGCAGAAGGGAGGAGGCGCCGGGCCAGTTCCACTGGTCTTATCTGATCAGTCAACCCAGTCAGTGTTCGAACTGCACGAACTACGTGAGCTGCGAGGCCTGCGCCAGCAGTGGGGAGTGCGAGTGGTGGACAGAGGACGCCCGTTGTGGGAGGATCGGCAAGTCGAACAGCAGCGTGCGAGCGGTGGAGCAGTGCCCGAGGTCCTGCAGGGAACGCCATGGCTGCCAGGAGTGTCTCGGCGAGCGGGGTCGCTGCGTTTGGTGCGAGGCCAGTGCCCAGTGCTTCAGTTTCTCCGTCTACACGAGTGAATATCAGTTCGGGATGTGCCGCGAGTGGATGGACCAGGTGGTCAGTCGCCAGCCGCATGAGATCACCGATCAGAAGCTCCAGCAGCCGGCGCACTTCCCGCAGCAGCAGTGCAAGTCCTGCGAGCAGCATCGTAATTGTTCCTCCTGCCTGCGAACTTTGAGCTGTGGCTGGTGCTTTGACCGCGACAATCCCATCGAGGGCATCTGCATGCAGGGCGACTTCAGCTACAGCGCTGGAAACTGTTCACTGGCCTTGAATAGTTCTTCCCATCATGATGCGGAGTGGGCGTACGCCCAGTGCCCGGATGTCGACGAGTGCGGACTCGGTCTGCACGATTGCCACAAGGAGGCCAAGTGCACGAACACCCAGGGCAGCTACAATTGCCACTGCCGACGGGGCTACGTTGGCGACGGGAAATTCAGTTGCGTTCGAACCTGTTACGAGTTGTGCCAAAATGGAAATTGCTCGGGTCCACCGGATTACACCTGTCGCTGTGCTTTGGGCTGGACCGGAGCGGATTGTGGTCTAAGTTGCGGTTGTAACAATCACTCGACTTGCCACGAGCGACTGGGGAAATGTGATCTGTGCCAGGATTGGTCGGAGGGCGAGAAGTGCGAGCAATGTCGTCAGGGGAGCTATGGAAACGCCACCGCTCCGCATGGATGCCTGCCGTGCGAGTGCAACGGCCACGGCCACCAGGATCTGGGCATCTGCAATGTGAGCAACGGAGAGTGCTACTGCAAGGACAACACCCAGGGACTCAACTGTGAGCTGTGTGCCCCCGGTTACTATGGCGATCCCAGGGACGGCGGAAAGTGCTACTACCAGTGCGAATCCCGTGGCATATTGACCAACATTGGCAAGAGTGCAATTGGCTCGTACCAGTCCTACCGATCACCCTGGGGCGCCAGTCTGGAGGTGAAGGAGTGCCTGTGGATACTCCAGCCGAAGACGCTGCAGGCGGAGAAATCACTGCTTCAGCTAGAGTTCCAGTGGCAGAGTCTGGCCATGGACTGCGATGAGAACGCCGTGTACATATACGACAGTCTCCCGGATCTGACCGGCGCCACCCAGCAGAATCAACTGCTGGCCGTCGTATGTGCTCCCTACAGTTCGGCCAGGATTATCGAAGCCCGCTCCAGTCACGTCACGGTGCACTACAAGCAGGGAAGTGAGAGGCGACACTTTGGATTCAATGCCCTCTACTCCGTGATGAACTGCGTGGCCGGCAGCTGTTTGGCCCCGCACATCTGCGATTCCCAGCAGCGATGCGTTTGTCCAGCCGGTTATGTTGGTGCTCGCTGCGAGATTGAGATCTGTCCGAGCAACTGCAATGCCAAGCGGATGCAGGGATTCTGCGACACGGAGTACGGCCGGTGCATCTGCAGCAATGCCAATTATGCGGGCGCAGATTGTGGCACTTTGGTGCAGCGCAACCACCTGGTGATGACGGAGCTCTTCAATACGCAACTGCTGAGCGAGAGTCTGGAGCACCTGAGGAAGACCATTCCGCGATTCGGACACTCGGTGAATGCGGATCGCAGGGGATCGCTTTGGATGTTCGGCGGGTATTCACCCAATCACGGACCCCTCAACGATTTCCGGCAGTTCGACACGAAGAACAGCACTTGGCTGCAGGTCACGGTGGAATCGTCCACGCCAGAGGATCGCATGCCTCTGGGACGCTATTTCCATGCCTCTGAGATTTACGTAAAGAAGCAGATCATCTATATATACGGAGGAATCGGTGCAAACTCACAGCTGCTGAATGACTTTTGGATGTTCTCCATACAGAATCAGCGTTGGAGTCAAATTAAAGTGGAGGTGGAATCGAGTGCAGCGGATGATCAGGTGAATATGAGTTAAATGTTGTTAAATAAATAAGTTTATTTATTGATATTTATTCATATTTACAGGTTGATGTTCCGCCTCCTTTGGCAGGACACACACTTACCCACCTGCGACACCAGGATCACGAGTCGCTGATTCTGCTTGGCGGCTTGACTCTGAACAAGTCCCGACCTCTCGAGCTGTGGGAGTTCAACCTGGACACGGGTCGCTGGCAGCAACTGGCGGCTGTGGGTGCCAGGATGCCAGTGCTGTATGGCCACACGGCCGTCTATCATCCGGAGACGAATAGTCTCTACTTGTTCGGAGGATACTCGACGGAGCCGCAGAACAATCTGTATGCGTTGGACTTGCAGAAGTTGAGTTGGACGGAGCTGCCCAGTTTCCGGGAACTGAACTCACCTGCCTCGCTGCTGCCCAGGGCTCGCTACTTCCACTCGGCTGTGAGCACCGAGCACTACATGATCATCTACGGCGGACGGACGCAGCCCTTCAATGGCACAGATGTTCTCATTGCCTACGTGTACGCCTGCAATCAGTGGGTGCGTCTAACAGAGGATGTCGAGCTAATCGGAAGGATTCCTGCCTCGAGTTATGCCGAGGACATGGCCATCGATCTGGACACGGGTGTAATCTTCGTCATCGGCGGTTGGGATGGCAGCTCCACGCACAGTCACGTGACCAGGATAACTCTGCCGGACGACATCTGCCAGCTGTGGAGCAGCGGGAAGTACCAATGCCGACACTACATGGGCTGCAGCTACTGCACGATCCAGAACACCTACAGCTACAGCAGCCACTGCTTCAGCCACGGACGCACGCCGTGCGCCAACCACAACGGCACCTTGGTGGTCAACAACGGAGCTGCCTGCGATGACGACTGGATGGCGAGCAGGAACTGCTCGAGCTTTGCCACCTGCGCCGCCTGCTTGGCCGCTTGGCCAACACACCAGGAAACGACTCCCGTTTGCCAGTGGTGCGATGAGTGCGGCATCCAGGGAAGATGCGTGCCGTCCGGTGTGGATTGCGGTTGGCGGAGTGCCTGGTGCAACAAGGAACTGAGTGTGGGCGTTCTGGGCTTGTGTCCCGCGCCACAATGCTATCAGCTGAACTGTGAGAGCTGCATGCTCCAGCCGCAGTGCAACTGGGCAAGGAACGAACTGGGCACCGTGGAGTGCATATCCAAGGAGCTGGTGGAGAAGAATCAGTACAGGCTGGTGGAGAGCTGTCCGCCGCCTTGCCACACGCACGAGAACTGCAGCTTGTGTCTGAGTCAGACGGCCAACCAGGATCGGCAGGACTGCAAGTGGTCGACGATGTTGAACCTCTGCCTAACGCCCAGTTCCCAGCCGCTGCTCTGCGCCGGCGGCGTTTGTGGCCTGGTGCTGGAGTCCAGCGAGCTAGAACGCTGCCCGGAACCGTGTCACGTGTACACCCAGTGCTCCAGCTGCCTGGAGCACGCCCACTGCGGTTGGTGCGCCCGCGAGGAGCACAACGGCGACGGCATCTGCACGGAGGGAGCACTGGAGCACAAACAGGAGCATCCATCGGGATCCACATGCGATCTGATCTACGCCAGTTGGCGCAATGACTCGCACCTGACCCACGCGGATGTGGTCTCCTGGCACTACGTGCAGTGTCCGGCGGAGAACGAGTGCATCAACGGGCACCACAACTGCGACGCCGTGTCGGAGCAGTGCATCGACCTGGACACGGCGGTGGGCTACAAGTGTGTCTGCGCGCAGGGATACCGCGAGGAGCAGGGCACCTGCATGCCCGTCTGCAGCCAGGGATGCGTCCGCGGCAACTGCGTGAGTCCGGATCAGTGCCACTGTGACTTCGGCTACGTGGGCGCCAACTGCAGCATCCAGTGCCTGTGCAACGGTCACTCCAACTGCGAGTCGAGCAGCCGGTTGGACATCTGCCTGAAGTGCCACAACAACACGATGGGCGAGCAGTGCGAGAAGTGCCAGCCGCTCTTCGTGGGAAATCCGCGGGAGGGTCACGCCTGCCAGCCGTGCCTGGACTACTGCCACGGCCACAGCGACGTGTGCGTGGCCTACGATGCCGATCCGGCCGTCTTCAATATGACCCGCTCGGAACTGGAGAGGATTCTGCCGGAGGGTCCGGCCTACAATGCCACCTGCCTGAAGTGTGGCAACCACACGGCTGGAGATCGTTGCGACAGCTGCTTGACCGGCTACTTCCGCGGCAGCGAGGACCTGCACAAGGAGTGCCGACCCTGCCAGTGCCACGGCCATGGAAACATTTGCGATCCCGTCACCGGCGAGAAATGTAACTGCGCCAACAACACGGAAAGCGATGCCACCTGCACCGCCGGCGGGGGGAAGAACTCGGCGCAGCTCTGCTGGATGGTGCAGTGCTCCAAGTGCCGCGACTCCTACGCCGGCAATCCCACGGATGGCCACCAGTGCTACAAGCAAATAACCGTCGAGTCGCGCATGTGCTTCGATGCCAAGCCCATTGGTAAGTGCTACTCCATTTATGTTCATTAAACTTAATGTATAATATAATGTAATAATTTTATAATATTGTTATTATATTAATTTATCAATCTATTTCATAACAGAGGAGTGCAAATCAAAACCTGCTGCTTTGAAGCCCGGACAAACGGTGTTCTTTGTAATCCAGCCCCGCTTCATGAACGTGGATATCCGCATTATAATCGACGTGACACAAGGCGAACTGGATGTGTTCATGTCGCCACAGGACGACTCCTTTATTGTAGAGACCAACGAGACGACCGGCTTCCACGAGATCTTCCTCGACAATCGCTACAATTGGGGGCCGAAGATCAAGCGGGAGCATCCCCTCAATGTCGCTTCGCCCAGACACGACAATGCCACGATCCAGAAACTGTTTTCCCCGGAGCGTCGCATCGGAGGCGGTGGCCTCGGCGGAGGAGGAGGAGAGCGAATAGGTGCTAATAACTTTTATGTGCCACAGCTGCAGGACTGCAAGAGCCACGGAGGTCACAACTTCATAGTGAAGGATCAGCACGCAAAAGATTTGAGCACCCATGTGACGCTCAACCACTGCAACACATTGCTGCGTCTGTTTGGGCTGAAGAATCGATTGGTGCTGACCCTTCCGCAACATGCCCACAATCTGAGCGCCACCCGCTTCTTTATTGCGCTGCGGGCGAGCTCCGGACCCGAGCCCAGTTACGGGTCCGTGGTGTTCCGCCAAGATCAACTGCACATTGATCTGTTTGTGTTCTTCTCCGTGTTCTTCTCCTGCTTTTTCCTCTTCCTCGCCGTCTGCGTGATCGTGTGGAAGGTGAAGCAGGCGGCGGACCTGAGACGAGCTAGAAGACAGCATGTGGTGGAGATGTTGCACCTGGCCAAGCGGCCGTTTGCCCAGATCTTCCTGGCCTCGAACAGCCTGGATGTGGACAGTCCCCAGCCGACCTCCTCCTCCTCCTCCTCGGCCCGTGCCATGCGTCAGCGTGCCCGGCAAGCGCTGCTGCTCCAAGAGCAGACTGGCGCCGGTGACTCACATCCGGTGATGCATCACCACAGCCGCCGGCAGAGCTCGCGCATCATGATGGTGGCCATCGAGCCGACGTACGACAACTTGGCGGCCGTGGGAACGGTGTTCATCAGCCTGCCAGGTCGCTCGCGAGCTCCTCTGAGCATTGCTCTGGGCTCCACGCTCATCTCCTATTCGCGGCAATATCCCCTGAATGCCCGCCACTTTATACGCGCCCAAAGGGGTCAGAATGTGGGGCATCACCCGGCCTAAGCCGGAATCTCGGCCAGCAGGAACAAACTAAGTGGTTAGTCAATGTCTAGAAGCCGGACCTAGTTAAATATCTATGTATGTATGCGAGAAGTACATAAAGACATTCGTTAGATATCGGTGTATGTGAATAGTGTAGGTAATTTTGTACATAACATTTAGATAACTCAAAAATAACGAATATGTGTACATAAATATGCAGACAAAACGATATCTTGTGCACGCACAAATCGTCTATATATATAAAGTTTATACTTATCAGAAGATAAACATACAGGAAATGGATAAATATTAAAAAGTAAGCATATTATAGTGGAATATTGGGTCTCGAATCTAAAGCAGGATGCAGAAAACCATTCGCAAAATTCAAACGCAGAACAAACTTTCGGACTGATTTTTATGAAATTTAATTTGGCTAATATGTAACCTAAAGATAATTTAATCTAGCTAAAAATCTAATCAACAGAACAAAATAACCAAGTGAACAAACAGTAAAGAAACTTCAGAGTACGCATAAAGCAGAGGGAATTTATTATACAGTAAACTACATTTAAGGAAGTCAATTTTTTCGCGAAACAGATTGTCGCACAAGGACATTTAGAAGCCATATGAAAACAAAGAATCAAGATATACGTATTAATATAGTAATAATTAATACTGAATGTGTCATAGCAATTAGGCGTTAGTAACGCCGAACTTAAATGAATGTCATTTCCCTGTCGCTCAAATAGGTTCTTTAGATACGTACGATATATGATTTTATTCTCACGTACCTAGCTATACTTTGATTGTATAAAGTATTATGATATTCCTTTCCGGTTGGTGGCTAGCATTTGCTCAATTAGTTCGGTAGCTCTCTACTGCGCACTTATACGCACCTGTGTACCTACTATTTTAAGGATAAGAATCTATTTTTATGTACTCTCCAGTTTTCCACACACACACTCGTTATGTTTACACACAAAGCTCAGAGACACAAACGTAGCTGGATGAAATGGAGTGGAATGGTTTCCCATTTCGAGACTATTCGAGCATTTTCCGAATACAGGACATCACAAACGAACAAATCCTACAGAATCTTTCCTAACACACAACACTAATCTCAGTAACCTAAAGGTTGTAAGAAACTCTCACTATATCAATTTAGTTTACAATTCCCTCCTCATATGTGGTATTATTTATGTACAGTTTGAGTTTTCAAAATTAGCTAAATTTTTAGAACTGATGTATATTTACAAATTAATGAAATTGTCCCATTTTGCAATATATTTATAATTCTTATTATTATTATTATTATTATGATTTGTAATTGTTTTTTGCAATAAAGATAAACCTATGGTATATCCAACAAACTGATTTTTAATCAAAAGCAAACGCTGAAAATATTTAAATCCATTGTGCAAACGAATAATTTTTATTGATTAAATATTTTTATGTGATAAATATATATTTATGGTGTAAGTTTAAATATATAAGCAATCCATTGCTACGAGTTCTACGGTTTAGTTGGTTAGAGTCAACGATTGTATTTTAACTAGAGCTTGTGGTTGAAGGCAGAGCTTCGAGGATTTCCTCGATAAAACTATCCGGCTGCTCGATGAGATGTAGAAGTCCTAAAGCAAATAAAGTATAGATTAAATAAAGGAATTCAAGAAAAGCTTTTAGTGACACTCACCTGCCACATCGCAGAACTCGCCGAACGAAGTGCACGGCAGGAACTCATCCGTCAGCGTTTGCAGGATGCCGTCAGTGGACTTCAGAAGAGCCTCGTCGTTCTTGCGCAGGTAGTCGAACAGCGCGATCGGCCAGTCCTCCTCCTTGGGCGTTGTAACCTTCAACAGGTTGTTGTAGATCAGGTCCACCAGGGCCCACATCATGAGGAAGGGCTTGTACACACTGTACTCCTTCACCTGGCGATCCGCCGGCGACAACAACGCCTTGCACAGCACAGAGGGCGAGACGTGACGGGCCTGGGCCACCGCTAGCATCCGCTTCAGATGCGCCAGCTTGTGCTTGTTCCACAGCTCTCGGCTGTGCAGCGAGAGCGAAATGGTTGCCATGTACAGCGGACCGTCCACCTCGTAGCCACACTCCAGCCACTTTTCGCTGGGCGCCGCCTGCAAGTACGTGAGCAGGGTCTTGCTGTCCCTGGCCGCGGATCGCGAGGAGAGGAGCAGATAAACGGAGTAGAAGAGCAGGTAGGGCACGAAGTGCATGTTCGACTGCGGACCACCGCCGCCGGCATCGTCGTGGAAGCTTCGTTCCCAGGCGAATCGAACCAGCAGAAGCTTCAAGTCATGCACGCTGCTCGTGTACGAGATGTCGCAGCGCTGGGTGCTCTCCTGCATGTAGCTGCTGTGCCGGGTCATGCAGGCGGAGAAGGCCGCCTCACCAACGGCGGGACCCCAAAGAGGCAGCAAGCCATTGCATCTGGTGTTGGCGTTCTGCAAACTGGCGCGCTCCCATTCATCCCTGCCGCGCGTCAATCGTATCGCCGATGTGTGGCAGTCCACGTGAACCACGTTGAAGTGGGTGACCGTGGTGTAGCCAATGGTCTTCCTCGACTTGAGCTCGAACTCCTCGACGTTGCAGCGCTTGGTGAAGGTGTAGATGCCCAGAACCTTGTCTGGCTGGCAGGCGTAGCCCTCGCGGCAAATGAAGCAGGTCAGACCAGTTTCGTCGCGCAGCTTTTCGATCTTCTGCAGGATGGAACCCTTGGCAGTCACCTGGCCCTTTTCATTTGTGCGCATTCCGAGGGCATCGAGCTGTTTCTCTCGCGTGGCCATTGCCAGACGCTTTTTCTCCGCCCGCGTGAAGTCGCGCACTTGTTGCACCCTGGCTGCCGTTGCCGAATCGGTGGAGAGCGCTTCCAGGAGGTTCTCGGCCAGACTGCCTACGTGCTCATCGCTGGACACTTGCTCCAGCCGATGAATAATGGGTATGATGTCCTTGCTAATGGCCACCTGGGTGGCCTCATGATGGTTCGAGAGGCCGGTGAGGAAGCGGAGTATGTACTTCAAGCTCGGGCGTGATATGAACTCCTTCAGCTCATCGGAGTCGGTTCGCAGGAGAGTGGGTTTGACACAGGGCGCATGCTCGGTGATGTAGGCCAGGGATCGCTCCACGATGCCCAGGCTCACAATGTAGTCTTTGAGGGTGCCGCCAATGCAGTTGTGCTCGATTTGGTTGGTTAGCACGCAGAAGAGTTCCAGCTTAAACTCTTCCTCGGGTGTTCGTTCGTTGTCGAAGCGCTTGAAGCTAAGAGTGTCCTGTAAAAGATGATTATATTTAATGAATATTCTTGTTAATTAAAAACTAAAGCAAACTCACCTTAAAGTGCTCACAAAGCAGAGCCATCTTCACCTCGTTGCCATAAACCAGGGCGGCCAGAACGCGGATGAGATGGCGCAACACGGAGGGATTGTTCCTCACGTTCGGACAGTCGGTGCACGATATCAACGCGCTGACATACTCGGGTCCACCGAATGTCAGCGAGAATTGCAGGAACGAATCCAAGGTATCGCTGGCCGCCTTCGAGAGGATCGTCTCCATGATCTCCAGCAACTGCTCGGTGACCGCCGACTGGATCGAATCGTTCTCCGACTGAAGACACATTTGCAGCACCTTAAGCAACGTATTGATGGCTCCAATTTCCGGCTGGCACAGCACCTCCTGGCAACGTCGCACTTTCACGCAGATGAGGAACAACTTTAGCAGTACTTGGATGAGCTCTCGGTTACGCGATATACGCTGCAGGCTGCCAATCCTGTCCAGCATTACGCGCAGGCCGTTGCAATCGGCCAGCACGTTGGCCATGCGATAGAGTTGCTCGGTGTCCACCTGCTCCTGGCTCTTGTTGTTGAGCGTCTCGACAAACTCCTCGGTGGCGTCTCCCAGAAGACCGCGCATGCGATATACAATCCTCATGGCATCCCGATCGCCTCCTTCGGCTAGCCAAACCTTTTTGTACACATCCTTGACGGGCAGATCGAGGCTAATGATCTTGTTGTTCACCAGCAGTTCCATACCGTTATCATCTTCCAGCAGCGCAATCAGTTCGCAGTCTGTGCAGATCTTGTTCTTGACATCCCGCATCAGCGGACCCAGTCCCATTTCGCTGGAGGGATAGGGATTGCCCAACATTCGACCCTGCAAGAAGTCCTCCTGCTGGGGATCCTTCTCCAGCGTCATGTAGAACTCGCTCTCGTCGTGCTCCTCGGGATGTATGATGGAGTACAATCGCTCGAAGATAAACACCGGCGTTTTGATGTCGTTCATGCGCGTCTTCTCTACGGTGTCGATGAGGATTTCCATGAAGGCACGCGTCTCCTCCTCGGTGCCGCTGGTCATGTCCTCCAGCATCTCCAGAAGCTTCTCCTGGGCGTCGTCGATGAGTCGCGTTCGCTGCACCACCAAGCTTCTGAGGGCCAGGTAACTTTCGAGGACGGGACCGAGCATGCGCGTCTTGTAGGTTCTGCGGATGTTGGGACACTCGAGAAGAAGCCACAACAGCTCCACATACTGCCGCAGAGCATAGCCCAGTGATAAATCCGAGGAGAGCGAGTGCTCCTCCATGCGATGCACTTTGCTGATTTCAATCGCCAGAAGCTGTGAGATTTGGCTGAGCACTCCCTTTAGCACCAAATACTGCAGCCAGGGCTGCTCGGTGGCCATGCTCTTGTAGAGCATCAAGTACTCGGCACTTGCCTCGCCAGCTTCACCCACGTGCTTCAAGAACGACGTAAGCATGTTGAGAGCTTGCTGCCGCCGCTCGTTGGTCCTGCTCAAGCTGCTCAGCAAGGAGCATGCCAGCTGGCGACCGAATCTCGAGTTCGCATTGAACAGCAACGGTTGGATCCACTTGGCGTTGAAAACCAAAGGCTTGGTCACCCGTTGCTTGTCCAGCACACGCTCCCGCCATCGCTTTCCGTACTTTTCGCTCAGGAAGGCGGCCCGCACTTCTCTTCTGGTTTTTGGCGGGGCTTCTGGTGCAGCTGCAGCAGGAGCGTTCTGCTCCTTGGCGCTCTTCTGCTTGGCTTGGTTGTTGCTGGGCATCCGGCTGCTCCACGCTGCGTACTCGTGATTGCGATCCGAGTTTAGCCAGGCCCTGTAGTCCACTGTATTTCCCTCGAGCAGCTTCATGCTGCACAGATCCGTCGTGGCCACCTTCTGATTGGGCTTGCTGCTTGGCAGCACTGGGCAGATGAGATTCTGCATGATGCGGAGGCAGGGATGCAGTACCGATGTCACAGGACCACGAGGCAATCTAATCAGAAAGAAATATAAGAATATATAATATAATAATTGGTATTTCTGACTCACCTGCAATTACTAATAAACAGCTCAAAGATGACCTTTAGCTTGTATTCCCAGCAAACATCGTCCTGTCCGAGCAGGACTTCCAACAGCGTCATCTCCTGGTGCACAGCTGCTTCCAAACTGATCAGGGGAATCGATCCCATCAGTGCGTTCTTCACGCGCGTGGTTACCAACTGCAGGAGATGCATGCATGCCTCGGCATTATCCTTGGTCAGCACAACCAACAGATTGCGCACCTCCTCCTGAATCTGAGGAGTACCCCGGCGCAGGTTGTGCTCCGCCAGCTCACTAACCAGTCCCTGACTGTACAAGCCAACGCGACAATCGTAATTGTAGGCCATGGCACGCAGGAGTGTAAGACACTGCTCGGTGGATGCCAATGCACAACCGTAGCAGCGATTTGTTGTGGGATTCTCGGCGCCGGAAGTCGATCCTGGATTAATCGGTGGCTGGTCCTGTTGTTGACGATCGTAGGCCACTAGTTCGCTAAAAAGTTTATAAACCCATCAGCTTAACATACATTACATTTTTAAGTAAAGAATAAGAGAGCTTACCTTCGACACGCCTTGACCTTCTGCACAATCTTGCTAAGTTCCTCGAAACTGGTGCGTGATTCCACGCAGTATTTCTGGGCCAGCAGCTGTATGATCTTGTTGACCTGCGAGGTGCTGTGCACGCTGGCCATGTTGTCCTCCACCATGCGGTCGCTGCTTCGGTGCTCGGCCACCTTTTGGATAAGCAGTTCGAGCATTTGCTTGTTGGTCAGCAGCTGGCGGTAAATCCTATCCGCTCGCTCCAGTGAGCTGTGTATTAGCGAAACGGTCTTCACCCGATCCTCTGCAGATTCTATGGGATCCACGGCGCAGCAGACGCGTGCATACATGCTGAAATCGAACTTGGCGTACTTGCAGAAGCCGCACGAGTGGCACAGGAACGGGTCCTTCTCGTCGTAGTTGATGGCCCGACATTTGTGGCACTGGAACACATTCTCTCCGCAGTTTCCGCAGACTCCCGGATAGGCGGGTACCGCTGCACTGCACCTGGGACACTGGAGATTCTCACTGGATCCACTTACAGTTTCAAAGAAATCTGCAAACTCGATCATTAGATTACAAGCTGTGATCGGCAGCGGAAAATCGATCTTCAATTCGGTTTGCGCGGATTGCAGGGAAACGGAGCGAGCCTTGTGCCACAATGCTGGACGATTCTTGAGCTCCACCACCGCCTGAACACTTCGGTTGTTGTAGTACACATTGATGGTCCTCACCATCTTGGTTCGCTTCAGGTCAGCGATTCGTACAATCAACTTGGAGATGGTATGGCATTGCACCAGCTTGTAAATCATGGTGGTTGTGGTGTACTTCGAATCCGACTTAACGGATGGCAATTTGATGTTGGCCATTGGAACCTCCGGGTTGTTGCACACCAAACAAGGCTCCGATTCCAGGTAGTAGCCATTTACCTGAAGAATGGACTCCAGAGTAGTGTATATCGGGGCATTTGGATGCTTGCAAAGCAACTCGTTCTGCTGGCGGAGAACATCCACTGCACGCGACACAAACTCCGGCAGACGCTCCGTGATGCTCCTGGTGCTCAGTGTAAGGTAGCCTAGGAGGTCCACAAACTGCGCCGTCCTCCGGCCATAAGTGGGTACCAGTGGCCACAGGTTCCAGAATATATTCAAGAGCTTTTCGCGCTGCCGCTCGTTGGCGTGCTCAAAGAGTCCGGTCATGAAGGAGTGCGCCTGCCACCTCAGCTGGCTGATGTTGTTCTCCAGCAGGAAGATCCTCACGAATCGGATGATCAGCGCATCGCACGCATACCTAAAGATCTGGTGCACAAATGTTCCACACTGGGCGGGATCGAATTTGGAGTAGTAGGCGTCCGTATCCTCGCTCTTCTCCCGATCGGTCCGAAGTTTTCCCGATGACGAGGTCGAGGGTTGAGGCTGTGACTGCTTGGATCCATTGGGAGCGGGTAAGTTGCAAACAGCCGCCTGCAGCAATTGGATAATAATCGGGGACACGCCATCGTCCAACTGGTAACAGGCGATTTCCATCAGCATGGCGAGGGCATCTTCGTGGACGACACAGAACTTCTGCCAGTTCCCAGTGCGCATCTGGCTGATCTCCTGGCAGGTTCGCAGGTGTTCCGTCAGCTCCACCAGTGCGTCGTAGGTGAGCATGGGAGGATTGGCATTGTAAGGAGCGCCAGTCTTCATGCAAGGAAATAAAGTTATTAGCAAGATTTCGAAGAGTATGTAATGAGTAATCCTGAACTCACCTTGCTGCTGACAATGTTGCACACTCGTTTAACCACTCGGAAGTGGGCGTCCAAAGAGTGACCGTCGCGGTACATGCGGAACTTCTCCTTGCTGCCGCAGATGTACATGAGTAGCTTCCTCACCTGCCGCCGAAGCAGCGTGTTCAGGTTAAGCATCATGTACTCGCACAGAGTGAAGGTCATGGCCTCGCAGAAACCACTGTCGTAGTTGTCCGGGTGGGCGCTACTCAGGCGCAGAATCTGGTAGGGTAATCGCACAATGATCTCGGTCAGCAGGCCATCGTATGACTCGAAGATATCCGGGTAGTTCTTCAGGTAGTTGTGTGGGATCAGAATGGAGATGTCCGGTTTGGGGCCATGTTTAATGGGCTTCAAGAGCTGAACTCCGGGGCCTGAAGCTCCAACGGCAGGTTGGGCTGATTGTGAGGCACCCGTTCCACCACCCGCTGCATAGGGATCTCCCAGCACATTCTTCCAGTGCACCAGGAGCGTGTTGAGGGCCTCCAAGGCGTACACGAACGCTCCGCTCTTGCTGAGCACATTGGCCGTGGTGCTGGCCACAAAGGAACTGTTGTCCTTGAACTGATGCGGCGGCGAGGTGGTTCCCGTCTGCTTTGACTTGGTCTTGCCCATCATCACCCCGAAAAGGGACAGCAATGCCAGTCGAACTTCGTTGCCAGGACACTTGGTTTCCATCTGCAAATAAATTTACATCTTAATAAGCATTCTTTTTAAGGAATATATCTTATTGCTTACCCTTGAAGCCGCTCCTCTCTTGCCAATTTCCACATAGTCCACCAGAGCAGTGAGCAGTTCTTGGAGCACTTGTTGATCCCGCTCGTTGTTGCCATTCAGATCGGTGGTCAGCATGAGGATCACCTGGATGAGCGGTATGGCTTGAAGGCCATTGCACAAGTCAAAGGTTCCCAGGTGTTGGATAATGCTCTCGAGCACAGCAATCCTACAAAATAGTTTAAATTAGTTTGGAAACCATTGATTAAGTAGTATCCTTACCTTAGATCATGTAGCTTGCTAAGCTTCTCGTCCTCGTTAATTTCGTTATCCTCACTACTGCTCATGGTGCTCAGGCCAGCGACGCCAGTGGAGCCACACAAGCCGCTGGGACCCGGTTGCTCCTGATCATCTTTGGCGGAACCCTGCCGCGGCGGCGAGGCATTCGGGTGGTCGCCAAAGTTGCTACTGCGTGCAGACGTACCACCAATGCTCTCCACTCCACTGCCTCCGCTTTCGGAACCTCCACTGCCCGCTGGTTCCGCGGGGGAAGTGCGCAACGTGGAGCCATCGGTTGCCACATTCGAGCCTTCATCGTCATCCGAACCTCCAGCGGACACACTGGCCGCCGCACTCACGGCCGCTTCCATGGCCTGTCGGATGCCCTGGAGATTGGCCAATCCTTGCTGAAGGGTTTGCAAAGCGTTCGCATCGCCACCATGTTGTTGCAGGCTCAAGGCGATGGCAATGTCCATGATGGCCTCGTCGTCGGCATGTTCGGGCAGTCCGAGTAGCCGAGGGAAGCCGCTGCTCATGAAGGCCTCCAGGTTGAGCATCTGCTGCTGACCCACTGCTCCACCTACGCCAACTACTCCTCCTTCGGCGTCCGGATTGGCATCGGGCAGTCCACCTCCACCCCCGGCTCCCGCATCCACAGCGACGGCAGCCGCCTCCTCGATGATGTCGCTGGCAGCCGAGTCGGCCACCGCTTGCAGCGCCTGCATGGCGGATGTGGACGGTGTGGGTGTGGAGCAGGCGGGCGGTGTGACTATGGCCACCTTTCGGCGCTTCAATCGCGGACTCAGCAACAGGATCAACGCCTCCTTGGCACTGTGGCTAATCACACTGGCGTCGTGCTTCAGCAAATCAATGAAGTACTTGGTCATGCGGCCAACCTGGCCGGGATCGGCGAGGGCAAATCCGTACATAATCTCCACCAGGCAGTGGACAATGGTCTCCGCCTGGCACAGGCCTCGCTTCACAATGTTCATCGGTTCATCCAGCGCCGGTGTGACCTTGTGCAGCTCCAGGACGAAACCCATCAGAGTTGGCACAATATCGTAGTTGTTATCCGCGCAGATCTTCGCCAGAGATTGCGGACGGGCGTTGGCAATGCCACGAACCAGGAGAATCAGGCGGTAGAAGGCCTCGGGATCGATCTCCTGCAGAGACTCCAGTTTCTCGAGCTTTGGCTGCATAGCCTGCAGTTCTCCATGGACGAACTGAAGCAGCACGCCGTCCTTGTAGTTGTGGTACGCCGCCCTGGTTCCGTAAAGCGTGGCCAGGACATATCGCGCCTGGGTCTGGACAGGATTGGGTGTGGGCAGCAGCAGGAGGGCACTCGCTGTCTTCACTGCCTTCTGGCGAATGGGAGCCGGCACTCCGGATCCCAAAAGGTGCAGCGCACAGTCCATTACTTCCAGCAGGTGATTGACCATCCGGTCCAGCTGCGTGATGCAGTTGAATCCCTCGCCGAAGTTGGCGCTGCTCGCCTGGGAGGAGGACACTGGGGGCACACTTGATCCCGGGGCAGCGGCATCCTCGCTGTCGTCGGGCCAGCCCACGAGCTCCTTGGACTTCCCGTACACTTCGATGCAATCCAGCAGAGTCACATTTTCGGGGTCTTGGGACTTGGCAAACACCACTTTCAGCAGCTTGTCCGACTGGAGCATCTCCTCGCGGATCAGCGGGATGTCGAACCAGCGAGCCTTCCTCACAGGCGTGGGAATAGTGCGTCCCAAGATCGTCACCGACTGCGGAGCACGCTGCACGTCCTGGGTGCCAATAAGCACTCGGATGCCAACGATGACCACATTGGGATCGTTGTTGATCACCTCCAGGGTGAAGCCATTCGCTCGGGTGCTGGCCACGAACATTCCCGTGGAGAAAAGGCGCGTCTTTAGCTTTTGTTTGTTGTAGATCTGGAGCAGATCGTTACCTCCGAACTCCACGTCGGCCAGCATGTTGCAGTGCTCGAAGAAGTCGATGGGGAACACAACCTGTTCGCCAGCCGTCAGTTGCTTCTGCTGCTGACTGGCCTTTCTGTTGTTCAGCTTCCCGGATGCCGCATTGGATTTGCACTTGGGCGTGGCGGTTACTCCGCCCTTTGCCATCAGAGTGGACGAGTACAGCTGGTTACCGAACGGCTGAACCTGCGGCGACAGCCAGAAGCTAGTGTGCTCCGGCTGAGCGGAGAAGATCCTCAGGCTGCCGTCCTCGCAGAGCAGAAGCAGAGTGGTCTTCTCCACTCCAGCAACTGCATGACGAATGCCCACCACGTCCATGATGCGCGACTTGGCCGACTGAGCCTTGATCTCCTGCAGGTAAATCCGCTCGGGGGTGATCATCAATATAATCGGGTTGTTTGATGTCTGCATGCTGGCGTAAACCAGTCCGGGGTGACCGGTCACCTCCGTCCACTGGACCAGCGGCTGGAGAGGTCCCTTCGAGGAGGACTTGCTGGCCGGATTGGTGTCCAGGTGGTAGATTCCCTTCACACCCTCGTTCACATTGGTCAGTGGCGAGAAGAAGCTCCTGCCCGAGGAGTAACTGTAGAAGAGCAGCTGCAGCGTGTGGGAGTAGTAGATGGACACTCCACCACCGCCAACTTGGCCACTTATGTCCTTGATATGCTGGTGACTCAGCTCCAGGGTGTTGGTCACGTAAAAGTCGCCGTGGATGGCCAAACTTTGTTGGTCCAACTGCTGGGTGTATATGTATCCACTGCTGGCGAAGCTCAGCATGTAGTAGTTGCCATCCTGGTACATGAACGTGCAATCCCTAATCTTGCCCACGGCCACCAGGTAATAGTACTTGGGGCTGTATGAATCCACGGCCAGATCGTAAATCTTTACATAATCCGAGGTGACAATGGCCAGGAGAGTCTGGGAGCCAGGCAACCAAACGGCTTTCTTGATGTAGTTCCCATTCTCCAGCTGGGGACTCACCACAATGTGTTCATTGGTGCTGCCACTGCTCGAGAAGGTGAGCACATGGCACTCCTTGAGGCCGCAAACGGCCAGGCAGTCCTCATTGCAGGGATTGGCAGCCAGAGAGAGAACGGTGCAAGCGATGGGAGCAGAACTCAGTTGGGTGAGAGTCAGCTTCCTCTTGGAGGCGTCTGCCTGCTTGAGCAGCGCCGACAGCTGCAGGATGGTCACCTTTCCCTTCTCATGCGACACGGCCAACTGCTGGCGACGTCCATGCGGCGAAGACAGGCAACAGAATGCCACACGTCGCACAACTCCGGAGGATATCAAGTGCTTTATGGTCTGGCCCTGGTCGCCCGAGTAGTTCATTCGCACATTCTCGAAGGCACCCTCTTGTGATCCCAGAGTGGCGAACATCAGCTGATCCGTCACCTGGAAGCTCTGCTCGAGCTGGTGCAGACGCTCCAGCGCAGCGGTTGCCCTTTTGTGGCAACCCACAATCGAGTACAGGGTGCAGTTTTCCTTTATCGAGGGAAGCAGCACGTCAAAGTACTCCAGAATGCATTTGACCACCAACAGCCACTGATCCTGGTGCTGCAGGGTCTCGCGATAGGGTTCCAATAGCTTGCTGAGCACCACGATGCGTTCGCTGGTCAGCGAATCCTTTCTCGCAGGAGCAGGCTGCGTAACAGGTGGGCTGCTCCGCTTCTTTCCGGCCAGCAAGCTCATGTGCGATGGCAGGTAGCTTCCCACTCCAACTGAATCCCTGGCCTCACTGCTTCCAAGCCGCCTGCTCAACGCCTGGCAGGATCCATCCTCCTTGGCGCCGCAGTCGCAGAAGAAGTTTCCGTACTTGGCGTAACTCACATCGTGTCCCTTGTGGCAAACCCTGGCGCACACGGAACACACGCCAACGGTGTTGATCATGTTGCACGTGTGGCAGTGGTACCAGTGCTGGTTCATAAACTCTTTTTGCGTTTGCGAGAAGGTGCACAACTTGTTGTTCAGCGTGTCCTCGTCGGAGTCGTCCCGCAACGAGTCCTGCTCACCCTCCTCAGCCAGCTCGTCGTACAGATCATCGATATCGGTTTGCAGTTCGTCATCCCAAGGTGGGATGTGCTGGCGACTGCCTCGGAAGCCAATGCTCTGCAGGAGTTCGCTGAGATAGCGCAGCTGGGCGCTAACATTCTCCGCATGCTTTAGATGCTTGTCCGGCAGCTGCAACTTGGCCAGTTCCAGCCAGAGGAGCGTGGTATTGAACAGCGCCACATGACCACGTGCTGGGGTGGCGTCCGCCAGGGTGATCATTATCTGCAGCACATCCGCAAAGTCGCACCCATCTTGTGGTGGGGAAATCAATGTCTGTCCCAGCTGCAGCAATGCTTGGAAAAGTGGTGGAGCTATCTGCGCTGCTTTGTTCTGATCTTTCACCAAGGATTTGACGAAGCTCAAGAGGAGTGCTCCATTTCGCTCGCCTCCCGAGTGATCACATGCCTGGGAAGAGTCCTCAGAGGGATTCGGTTGCGCCGCTTGCCACAAGCTCAGAATCCGAGAGGTGTTGGCTGCAGCTCCTCCTGCACCTGCGCCGCTTTCGCCACCTCCTGCTGCAGTGCCGGAGTCGTAGTCAATATCCATGGCGTCCAGCTGGTCGGAGATGCTTGGCATGGCCGAAACGGTGGCCATGTTCGTCGGGGTCTGGGCATTGCTGCTAGAACTGCTCGATGGCTGCAAAATGCTCGTGAGCATTCGGCAGGTGGTGTCCAATGCCTCAGAGGTGCTCACATCCGTGCTCACATTGGGACCGTAGATAATGTGGGCCAGCCAGAGCTTTAAACGAGCCACATCGACAGTGGCCAGCTCGGAGAAGCACTCAACGAGATCCTCGTGCTGGAACTGCGAGTCCGGTTGCAAGGATTGCTGGAAAAGACGCTCAACAAACTGCAGCATCTTGCGGGCGTAGCTGACGGGTAGACTAGTGCCCGTGAAAGAGAGAAGCAGGGTGGTAAGACTTCCAGAACGCTGATCCTTGAAGAACTGTCGCATTGCCTGCACGGCCACCGGCTTTTCGAGCATCTTGATCATCGTTTTGAGCACCGCAAACAGCATGGACTCATTAAAAATGGCCCGATCCTGATCCAGAGGAGCTGCACCTCCGTCCTTTGGCTGTCGGAGATCGGCTGCAAAGTCTTTCAGCATGCGATAGCAGTATCCAATCATGTGCTCATAGAGCAACAGCTTTTGGGCCTCCAAAGTAAGACCACTGAGGATCTCCCGCAGGCACTGTTCGCTTTGTCCCTGCAGGTAATCAGTTCGCATGTCCAGCATGGATGCAATGAGCAAGAGCTTCAGCTGAGCCTCTATCTCCGTGTTGCCGGAGCAGTGTGGTAGCAGCAGCTCGAACAAGTGCAGGATTGACTTCAAACAATGTTTCAGAGTGTGCAGGGTGGAGTAATTGGCTCCTCGCGTCAATTCCGTGATGTGTGCATCTATTACGTTCAAGGTGTATGGCTCCACTGGATGCTGCTTGCCATCGAAGGCGGAATCGTTGACCATCAGGCATTTCGGCCACTCGTTCGCTATCAATTGTTTGTCCTCGTTGGGCAGGAGTTTCAGAAAGGCCGCATGCAATTCCAACATAATCGCAGGCTTATCGCTCACAATGGGCACAATCAGATTCAATGCTTGCTCGGGAGTGGAGCTGGATAACTGCTTCAGCATCTGGCCACGCACAATAACCGAAAGAAGGCGGTAGGAACTCATTAGCTTTATCATTAGCTCGTTTACAAGTTGATTATGCTTCTGCAGATCACTGGGCAGCCTTCCCTCATCTTCGTGTTTTGATTTCTGCTCATCAATGGACTCATCCGAGGAGTACAGTTCCAGATCGTTGGACGAGCTAGTTAACGAAGTTCCATGTGCTGTGGACTGCTCGCTGGAAGCGTCATCGCTCTCCTTCCGCGGCCACTTGTAACCCTCCTTGTTCGCCCAGGCCACCGCCTGCATGTGAGCAACCAAAGCATCGAATAGGATGAGATCGGAGAGACGGGGAGTTCCTGCAAGAATAGGGAATATATATTATTCACTTCATTAAAAGAAAGAAAATAACAATGTCTTACCGTTACCGTTCATCTGGCAATTGAATGTTTCAACACCAAGAATGGTCTGCTTGAGACTATACTTCATATCGGCTGCAATATCGCCCACCTGGTTCCACAGAGTTTCGGCGTATTGGGTATACATTCCCTGCTTGATTAGGCTGTTGACCACCAGGTAGTGCGAGCTGGCCAGGGGGCAGCGTATACTCCAGATCAGTGAGTGCAGGTTGGGTGAACGCTCCACCTTTAGGGACTCCACGTGAGAGGTGGAAGGCGGCAGACCCAAAACCAATTTCCAGGCAATGCCAAAGCAGTACTGCATGGCGCACAGATTGTGCATGCTGGCCTCCTTCTCCTTGTCTTTGGAGTACACGGACATGTCGGCGATGGAGAGAATGTCGGTGAGAGCATCCACCAGAAGCGGATACTTGAGCTTGTCCGGCGTGCAGAGAATAAAATTCCAGGCCAAGCCATCCAACTTGAACTCCTGAGCCCAATAGGGTTTCTCAGGATCGCCCATTACCAGGGAGTAGAACGTTGGACGAATGGCTGCAAAAGATAAAATCATTTAGAATTGAATACTTATATGTATTTAATAATCGAATCACTTACCCGATCCATATTCGCCAGCCGACTTGCGGAACTTCTCCTCTATATCCTGACGGCAATAGGAATTCAGTTTGGTACGGCTATTCAGTAGATCCGTGATCTTCTGGGTTTCCGGCATGCTGCTAACACTGAAGAGATTCCAGCGCACCTGATCTAGCAATTCCGGAGGAGCGTTGTACAAGTGCTTCATAAGGTACTCCAAAAACAGCAGCAAGCGGGACAGTAGCATCATTTGACTGTTCCTTACGGGCCGATCGCCGCGATCACTAATTCCGCGACAAACTTCAGCACAACGGATAACTCCTCCAGCCGTTAGAAGCAGGATGGATTTCTTTTGCATTAGATTGAGCGAGTGGAACAGGAAGAGCAGCAGTTGGGCGTGCTCAATGTTCAAGTCCTCGTAATCCGAATCACTGGCCGTGCTCCAAGAGCAGACTCCCTCGACCAATGTATTGATGAGACGGTGCCAAACGGACAGGCAGGCGGCCTCCTTCTCTTGGGTGGGCTTCAGCAAAAGAATTTGCACCAGCACGGACAAGGTACTCGGATAGACCTGAAGGGGCCAGGTGTTGGTATCGGTCGACCAAGGCGATATGGCCAAGTGTTGCAGCAGATTAGATTGAAGTTGCTCGGACAACAGAGAGGTTGAGATCAAGTTGTGGATGTAGCGTCCTGCAGCTCCCGAAAAGCGAATCATCGAGGTCTGCCACTTGGCGGAAGCCACTGCAGAGGATCCCGCTCCTGCATTGGCAGCCGAGGCATTTCCCGACACCTGTTCGCTCTCGTTGCGCATGACATCGCGGTCGAAATCCTTGATTATGTTGGCCATTAACAGCATTTGCTGGTCACTGACTCCCGCCTTTACATAGCGCTGCATGTAGGCGTGCCGATTCGCCAGAAATTGGTCCAGGAAACAGAAGATGTCCGCCGCCAAATCAAGATATTCATGTGGCTCATCCAGTTTGGGCACCAGGGCGCTCTTCTGTTCGCCACGCTCTTGTGGGGATGTGTTTGCATTGTCGTCGTGCGTTTCTGGGGAGAGCGTCTCCTTAAACCAGTGCCCCAGGTAGCTCTCGCTGTCGTCCTCCTCGGAGTTGTCCGAGCACGAGAGAGAGTCGTTATAGTACGTCGTGGAATCGGAGTAGCTGATGGGTTCACATTCCGTTCGATCCTTAGCAGAAGCTCGCCTCAAAGTGCAGGCCTTGCGATAAGCCACTGTGGCCAGGAAGGTAAATAGTTGGTGCAGAGTGGCCGTGTTGAGAACCCGCACAATCCTCTCGAGCGAACTATAGTTCTGTAAGATGTCGAACTGCGCCGGCTCCGGCAGCTCCGTTGACTCGGGACTCTGTCCACAAGCGGACTCGATCTTCAGGTCGTCGATTAACTCTGAAAGCAGTTTGATGCTGTGGTTAGCAATGGCTGCATTGAGTTCTCCGAATCCTTGCTGAACTTTAAATAAGTTGACTCTGGCTATTGGAGTGGTGGGAGCAGTTCCTGCTTCACTTCCAGTTTTGGCCGCCTTAGAGGCCGATTTAGACGAAGACTCCGAGCTGGTTCCACTACTTCCGGAGGCGCCCATTGCACCTTGGATGCCGCTTATGAGCAGCCAGCTGCCATAGCAGAGATGGTTCTGATACACATGAATCCTGGCCGACGATTTGAACATATCGCCAATGTTGGAGTAGATCTCCAAGGCCTTGTTCACAATGTTGCAGGCCTGCTCTTCGAAGTCGTCATGGTCCTTGTTAATCTGTCCAGTACTTGAACCACCTCCGCTGCCCTGACTGGTGGATGCAGTCTGCTGCTTCTGGGAGCTCCCCGCCTGGCTCATCCCGAGTACGCTGGTGGCAATCGAAGTCAACACGGCATTGTAAAGGGCAGCAATGCCACACATGGAGAGACGTTCAATCCGATTGGGAGTGAGAGGCTGCAGCACAATCAAAGCATGAGCCTGACTCAAAATGGTGAGATCAGTGAGCATGTGATTCATGCTCGACTTCACAGTGGTGGCCTCCACCTGCGTTAGAGGCAAATAAAGGGGTTTTCCGCCATTGATGGTCTCCATATATTTGGAGCGGTAGCGATTCAGTATGGGCAGGCTAACACACACGTCCAGCAGGGTATCAACTCCATTTTGCTCTTGGAAATACTCCACATTGGCCGCCAGAAGTTGTTCCTGCAAGGAATAAACATTTAGGATTAAGTTTTTTTAAAGATAAGTTTTAGAATCAGCCCTGATCGTATTAAAAAAGAATAAACTTAGAATGGATGAAAGTCAAATGCTTTAGTTATTGTCCTAACTATTATTTGGCATTTTGTAAGGAAGAAAAATATTAATACTGTTAATCTTTTTAGCTTTTATTTTTCTGCGGCTTTTTGTTACTTGGCTTTCCCTATGTAAAGTGTTGTTGTCTGCCGTTTGTATTACAAAAATATTTCCATGCAATTCAAATGCAAAAATCAAGATATATGAGAGTCAAGATTTTGATACCAAACCGGGCGAGGCATGAATATGGAATGTTTTAACTTTTCAGAGGTCTTAGAAAATAATAAGAACCAGGGCTGAGTCTTTAATTATTTTGCTTACAGTGCAGTCAGTGACCTCCTCGCTGAGCGGCACCCAAGTTATCTTGCCCGGCTCCAGAGGAGCAATCAGTTGTTGCAGAATAACCGAGGACAGGTCCGAGCGGGATCGCTTGATCTCCGACTTGGGTGACTCCTTGTCGTTGCTGGCGCCGCTTCCAGACGAACTGCTGCTGGGCAGGATGCTCTTGGTGTTCGACTCAGGATGCTTGCAGCTCTTCAGGACATTGGCCACCGCATTGTAGTCGAACATGGTCGTCGACGTAGTGGAGGAGGAAGATGAAGGACTCTCCCGCCCCTCGCAGAGCATCTTGAGAGCGCCCAGGAGCCATTTTGTCTCATAGACCGAAACTCTGGGCAGCCTGTAGATGATAAACCGGATGAGCACGGCGGTGGCATCGTGTAGCTGACAAATCTGCGTCTGGCAAACTAAGAAACCGAAAACATTACATATATATAGCACACAAATATCACGAGTGAATCACTTATTTCTTGGCCAAACATTTCTTTGTTGTGTGTTTTCTTTGGCGAAAAATCATTAGGGGTGCACTTACTCGATTTGATTTGCATAAGTTTGTCCGCCGCCAGGGCCGCAAAGGCCGTGTAAAACTGCGTGAAATTGCTTTCCTCCTCGAAAAAATCATGTTCGCTAAACAAAATACGAAATAGAATACAGCATTAGATCCTCAAAATAAAGAATTTTCAAAGCTTTTTGCTATTTCGTCACTGGGGCGGCCATATTTAATTTTGCAAGTCACTTTTTGCACTTGCAGTCCCAAAATATTTTTTCACTGCGCCATTCGCCAGGAAAAAAATGTGGATCTTCTTTACTTACCAACGCGTTATTGCTTTCAGCAGGTTAACTACTTCATTTTTGTTGAGAGCTCCTGTACGATTAAGTAGCAGAGCTTTTACCACGGAATTCCAATCCGTTCCGCCGCTGTGGGCCGACATTATTGTTTAAATTTGTCGTCAATTTGACCGAAAGTATTCGGCCTACTGTAGAGAGTGTGACCAAGTTTATTAAGCGGATAAAAACCATTTGCCTAGGGATGAAAAGCCATTGCCTCTGGTAATAAACAAACATATGACTTTAAAAATGATTCTAACTATTAAAGACTAGATTTAAATTATTATATATGTAAATATCCGAATAGAATATTTCACATGCTTATTATAATCATCATCGCCCTCAAACGTCTAAATCTTTTGATATCAAAGTCTAAAAGCATTTAAAAAGTTTTCCACTATATTCTTATTTCGAAAGATAAGGTATATATTAAGACACAGTAAATACTTGCGCATGTTCTTCGTAAACATTTTTACAATGACAATAACTGTTTTAAGTCAACTTAAAATACATACGAAACAACATATAATTTTTTTTAGTGCACTTTGAAATACCTAACGCTTCCAAAATAAAAATACCAAACCGGCAAATACTAGTTTTACCCATCAATTCAATAGGGCAACACTGGCCACGTCGCATGCTGGACTTGTTTATAATTGTTAACAATGCAGTTCCACTTTAAAATCGCCGATGCTGAAAGGGATAAGGATAATGTAGCGGCTTCCAGCAATGTTGGTGCCAATCCACATGCTGCCCTGCAACCACAACAGCCGGTGGCGCTGGTGGAGCCCAAGGATGCACAGCACGAGATCAGATTGCAGTGGGTTGACGACATACGGAAACTCCTTATGAAATTTTGACAGAAAGGCATTGATAATCTATAATTTCCAGAAATATAGTGGCCACTTTCTCAGTGAACTGCGAACTGGACCTCAAGGCCATAAACTCACGCACCAGGAACTCGGAATACTCACCCAAACGTTTTCGGGGCGTTATCATGCGGATGCACTCGCCCAGGTGCACAGCGTTGATTTTTCGGACGGGCAAGATTATCTGCACGGGTGCTCGCAACGAAATCGAGGCAGACATCGGCTCTCGAAAGTTTGCTCGCATTCTGCAGAAGCTGGGATTTCCCGTGAAGTTTATGGAATACAAATTGCAGAACATTGTGGCCACCGTTGATCTGCGATTTCCTATCCGTCTAGAAAACCTCAACCAGGTGCACGGCCAGTTCAGCTCCTATGAGCCAGAGATGTTCCCAGGCCTTATATACCGCATGGTCAAGCCACGCATCGTTCTCCTGATCTTTGTAAACGGTAAGGTTGTCTTTACGGGTGCCAAATCGCGCAAGGACATCATGGACTGCCTGGAGGCAATATCACCCATCCTACTCAGCTTCCGAAAGACGTAAAAAGATCTACTAATTTTTTTGTTATCCACTATACATTTACTTAGTTAAGTCCACATTCTTACGAACAATTAACTTTACATGTATAGCTTTTTTTAAGTAATGGGAAGGAATTCTATGAGACCAGGAAATTCCGTTTTTACAAATAATTTAAAATAAGGTTTAGTTAGTAATTCAGATATTGCATGTATACAAATAATAATAACTTCACGCAAATGAATTTAAAAAAAATGCCTTTTTATATTGGTTATTTGGAAATATTAAATTTTTTATTTTCCAGACTTTAGAGAACACATTATCTCTGCAAAATAAAAAATTATTGTCAAAAAAACTTATGTAAGTTTCATTATTCAAGTTGATTATTTGTAACCAGCAAATAAAAGTAAAACCCCATTCCTGAAACATAAGTCGTATTTGTTTCTCAGCAAAGAAAACACAAGTCGTAAAACATTACTTTCATTTATTCTTAGTTTCGTTTATTACAAAAGAAAACACAAGTCACTTTATAAAGAGATTCGATTCTTATTTTAAGTGAGGGATAGATTCTTCAAAACTTTTTACGGACGGAAATATTTCCTTAAATTTCTCTTGTTCAGCTTCATGTACATGGCTATGTGAGATTTGTATATAGAATTTAAAAACTAATTGTGGTTCATTGTGAATGGGTATATACGTATAAAACTTACAAACTATGCAGATTCGTTATTTGCATAAATTAATTGGACGGTTTCTTCAACGTTTTTCGCTTAATTTCGTTTAAGATTAATAAAGAGTTAGGTAATACAAATTAGATAAATTTTCATTCGATATGCATGCAAACATTTTGTCAAGATACATTTGCTAATGATTTCTAAAATCTATTAAAGGCATTTTGTGAAAGACACATTGATTGATTTTTCATTCCGCACTTGGAGCCCGCTCTATGATAAGGCATAGTATGGTTCGTTAAGACTTACAAGATACATACATTAGGTGGCTACATGTGGTCTGCTTTGTGTGCAGCAGAAGGTTCTTTGTTCAGCAATAAAATAAAAATTAATTTACGATTAACTGCTGCTTTGTACATTCGATTCTACAGCGGATCTATGGTGAACTACGGAAAAGGAAACTAAAAATAAAACCAAAATGTTAACCAGCATTTTTGGACGGAATGCAATTTCGTTGGCAAACAAAAAAAAAACTAAAAACTGAAAACAAAAACTAAAAATCAAACGCACAATAAATGAAACAAAAACACTACAAATCTTAGCAAAGTGTTTCAATGGTGACTTTGTGGATATCTTTCATTCGTTCCTATGTGAGCAGTTGCATCATGTTTAAGACCAGGTGCGTGCGACTCCGCAGCAGGTAGATAAATACGCTGAAGAAGAGCAGGGACATGGACATGGAGGCGCGCCAGCCCATGTTGTAGATGGAACAGTAAGGACACTGCGAGCTGCCGCACACCTCGCAGATGTTAAGGAGATATGTTGGCAGGGCATCGAATATAGATTCATTGAACCGTTCTGTAAATTGGTAAAAGTTTTAGTGGATTTTCTAGGATATGAAAATTTTATTTAGAAACTCCACTTACCCGGTGCATAGTAGTCGTAAACCCGCACCGGCAAATAGCGCGACATGTTGGCCACTGGATACCAACGTTCTATGGTGAAGTTCACACAGATATCATCTTTATCAAGCTGTTTAAAAGAGACGAAAGAACAATTATTTTATTTTTTTATACAATTAATTTACTTGCAACTTACATAGTCAAAGTAAAAGACAATCTTGCGTTCCAGATAGCGAGCCCTTCTCAGATTCCTGACGCGGTTGCTCAGCACATAGCTGTCCAACTTTTGCTGCTGTATCCAGTAGCCCGTGGGTATGGCCACATCCAAAACAGCCATGCCAGAGCGCTGCGACTCATTGAGGTTTATCCAGCTGTGGAATACAAAAATGTTTTTAAATTGTTATAGTATTTTAATGGTTATTAAACTCACTTCTGACAGGCTACATAGGAGATGTGCGACTGATTCCTGCCGTGGAAGATGGCCTTGGTGTGGAGTCCAAAAGCTGGCACTGGCGGTTTCGTCTGGAACTTCTCAATGTCCACATTGTACTGCACGTGCATCTGCAGAATGGCATAACCAGCGCCCTTGGCTTGAACCTTAATGGTGCCCCAGGCGTCAGGAATCTGAAAGATAAATAATACGTTTAAGATATCTTTAAAGTCCAATGAACAGTACAATATCTTCTCACCTCGATACTCTGCAGCTTTGCCAGATTGGTATCATCGATGTACAGGGTTTGCGTTTTGCCGCCTTGCGAGGAGGCCTCGATCTCCACAGTCAGTGAGGAAACCTCGCGCAGCCTCGATCGCACTGTGTACTCCACGAGAGCCTTGAGTGCTGCACTGGTATCCTGGGTGGAGGCCCAACCGCCATCATTTAATCGCTGCGAATTGAGCCACCGCACAATGGGATCCACAAAGAACTCACGACGTGCCACATAGACCAATAATGCATAGGCAGTCGTCTCAATGTTGAGGGAATCGTATTCGTAAGGCAGGCGGGGCAGAGAGAACCACTTTTGGTTCTCCAGTTTGCGCGGCGGTTGCGGAATCTCCTGGTTGCCCCAGTACATAAAATCGCCTATCGTCCTGGCGTGTCGTCGCAGAATGGAGAACACTTCCTCGGCGATGGGCGAGTTGCAAAGCTGAAGGGCATAGGCTGTGATGGCCACATCATACGGCTGCGCTTGGCGCTTCAAGAAGTCCATATTCCGCTCTATGTAAGCCACCGCCCGTTGTGTGGCCAGTGCAACTCGAGATCCCAGCGTGCCAGAAATATCCTTTACTGTGGCCAAGGTAATAAGTACATGCGACGTCAGAGTGATGTTCTTGTCAAAGTTGGTTCGGTTCAGTTTCCTGTCCGGCAGCCAGGTGACCTCGTAGAAGGATCCCTGTGGCGTCTGGTGCTGCAGCAGCCAACGCATGTTCTTCTCCACGATGCTGGAGTCGATCCAAATGAAGTTCTCCCACTCGTAAAAACTGGCCTCCTGGAACACCCGCAAGCAGTAGCTGGTTAGCCAAACGGAGGAATCCGAGTTGTTCCAATCGGAGCGGAAGAGTGAGAAACTGCCATCCGGTCGCATGAAACTCAACTGCCGCTGGTAGCCAATGTTCATGTGGTAGAAGGCATTCTTCTCCAGGGTTTTGTTGCGCTGATTGATCAATCGCATGTACATAATGGTGTAGAGATTGGCTGCGAAACTGAAGGCGTTCTGCTCGCCCGATTCCATGGGCAGGTAAAGCAGCGAACTGGCATTCACTGGCATGGTGGGGAAAATAGGACCCACCACATCGCCCACCACCGATATCCTGGCCTTGTTCGATCCGTACACGAAATACCGATCCACCTGGTAGGGGATCTCCGGTGTTTGCGTAACATTCACGTGCATGTACTCCAAGACGTAGGCGCGGTTCGAGAGATCCAGGAGCACGGATTGATGGCGATACTGTGGCAGACCGTCCGACTCCACATGCAACGTTCGGGTGATGGTGTCTGTTCCCAGCAAGGTGGCCACGTGCAGAGTGACATCCACATTGCCCAGGCGTTGCGGCACCACCGGCACATAAACCACCGTGGTGCCTTGGGCCTCCAAGTAGATGAAGAACTGGTGCTCGCCGAAACTGGTTCTTGGGTTGTAGGACCTCACAATGCCGTCCTCCTCCACGTGCACGAACTTGTACTCCGGACTGTCGTGCAGCACCACAATGGCCTCGATGGGCGTGGTCATGTAGTTGAACACGGTGACACGAATGCCCACCTGCTCTCCTTGCCTGCAAGCCTCCGGCATTTCCACGTTGATGAAGAAGGGTTGCACTCCGACGTACTCCAGAGCCTTGTTGATCATTCCGAAGCCCTTGGATGGACTCACACTGAAGGCACTCACCATCCAGTAGGCCGGGCGATCGGGAACCTCCACATTGAAGATGTAGCGTCCATGGGGTCCAATGTTCACGTCCTTCCAGAGCCAGACGTTCTCGTAATGACGCAGCACGCGATTGAATCGATACTTTCTGTAGTTCAGCAGCTCTGTGTCGTTCCTTACATGACAGTTGATCTCGTCTGTTCCATCGTCACAGTCGAACAAGCCATCGCACTGCTTCTCAAGGCGGTAGCACCGTCCACTCAAGCATTCGCCGAAGCCCAGGGTGCGATTGCACGTGTCTTGCCTCCTGGGCACATAACCGTCCGTAAAGACCACCAAGCCACTGTACTCGAAAGTGCGATTCGCATCGACGCCAAAGGACGAGGCGGGGAAGTAAACCAGCTCATCGGGATTGCCCTCGTGGGAGTACCAAATGTGCTTGTAGGTTCCGTTGGTCTGCTCGTCAAAGTTGGACATCTTGGTGATGATCTTGGCGTAGGTGAGCTCATTGCCCGCCTGCATTGTGTAGAAGGCGCTGTCGATGCCAGAGAGACCCACGTAGGATCCGGGTTCTCCAAAGATGGCCACCTCCACCTTCTCGCCAGTTCGCGCCTTGCGGTTGTTGATGTACACGGTGAAGTTGTTCCGGGAGATGCCATTCACTGGGAACGTGAGGGAATCTGCCACTACCTGACCCTGTTGGTTGATCTTCCACACCACAATGGTGGCAACTGGCGCCATTTCGGAACTCAGAACCACAGCTATCGTTTTGATACCTTCCGTGATGGTTTCGCGATCGTTGACCAGGATAACACCCTTGGACATGATCAGGTAGTTGAACTCCTCGAGGTAGAAATTCGTGCGGATGTGGAAGATGATGTACTCGCCAACCACAGGCTTCTCCGTGCTGGTGGTAACCTTGATGTGCTGATTCCGGGGGAGTAATGCGACACCAAAAGCAGCTCCGTCTGAATGCGCTCGCCCCGCGGATCCACAAAGTGTGCCTGCAATCGCATGTTTTGGATGCCGTTCAAGAAATCCCGTGACTGTGGGCGATCATCCAGGTTGAGGTCATTCCTGATGTCGATCTTCACCTCCCAGATGCCGTCGCTCTGCTGCGACATCGGCAAACGCTGGGCGGGCCAATCCCTCCGACCGCCATTGCGACTCTCCACGAAGCCAGTGACCTCCATCAAACCCTGGCGCAGTAAATTAGGATCGATGGGCGAACCATCGTGGTACTCCACAGCCAGATAGGTGGTGAACGGCATGGCGGGCTTGAAAACCTGCGGGGAGTCTCCGAGGAAAACCACTCTCAAGCTGGAGTTGTACACCCGGGCAACGGAGTAACCACTGATGATCTCGTCGTAGAACTTTTCTCCCACAGTGGCCGTGATCAGCACTTCCGAGTTGGCCAGATTGGGAACGAGAAGCTCCAGCTCCCTCAGTGGCCACTTGAAGTCGAAGGTTCCGTTAAAGTAGCGCAGGTACGGCAGTGTCTTCCGGTACGTTCCAGTCCACGATTCGTAGGTGTCTTGGTATTCGGGTTTCCTCACCCAGAAGGGCCACTCCTCATCGAACTGGTAGTGTCGCTCCACCACATACTGATTTCTGTACAGAACATCCTGGGATAGATCCGATCCATCTTGTGGTATCTGACCGGGAATTCCATACTGTACTTGCGGATTCTGGTTGGGGTTGTTGTAGCGCCATCGCTCGTTGTACAGGTTTGTCTGCTCCAAGGGCGATCGTCCCAAGCGATATTTCTCGTTCAGAACCTGATTGCTAAAGTATCCAATAGGCCGTATCGTCGCCTTGAGAGTCAGATTTCCTTTCACCGGTAATCCACTGGTGAAGTTGGCCATCACTCTTCCGTAGATGAACGGATCCGTGGTGAAGAAGTAGGCCGGCATGGTGACATTCACTTCGAAGCGGGTCTGGTAGTATTCCTCCACCGTGAAGTGACTCTCCTCCTGCTGACCCTGAGCAATCACTCGGATGGTCCACTCACCAAAGGTGGGTTGATCCGACAGTTTGTACTCCAGCGAAACGGATCCCAAGTTCGATTGGCTGGATATAAAAAATGAAGTTTTAATTAGTTAAATTGTTTAAGGAATAAATACAGTATAAGTTGGGTAAAATTCTTGGTTACTTTGTGACTACACGAGTGGAATATTTTCTTTTCAAATTGCATAACATCTATTTTTTGCATTAATATTCTTGGTAACTTAATAATAGTTCTTACCGCGACAGCCAGCGCTTCAGAATGTGTCTGTTTGGATCCAGCATGTACACATCCACGGGATTGTCGAATCCCTTGAGTTCTGTGGTGATGGGAATGGTCCTGAATCTCACCGTCTCTCCTTGCATGTAGAGAGGCTTATCGGTTTGAACGAAAATCGTCATGGATCGCTGGGAGAAATCCAGCCTGGTTTCGTTGAGGAAGGCCAGACCACCGAAAACGTTCTGGTAGAAGCCCTCTACTCTCAGCTTATAGCTGCCAGTCACGCTGGTCGGTGGGATCCTCATGAGCAACGTCTCCGGCACGCCCTCCTTGACATCCTTGTGGTCCCCGCTGATTTGCACTCCATCGCAGGCAATGCTGGCATGCACGGTAATCGGGTATTGAGCTTGGAGAATGGACACCGACACCTGGTAGATCAGACCGGGTCTGACCATGCGAGAGGCCACAATGAAATAGGTAGGCTCCCTCGAATGCAACGACTCCAGGAAGGTGGCCTTAATGTTATAGGATGACTTTCCTCGAGTCAAACTCGGCTCCTCGTTCTCCTGGTATCCCTGGCCAACTCGTTTTCCATACTCATCCTGTCCGGTTAGATCGTTAAAGCTTCCCGGCTCAGTTCTATACGGTGGTCGATCGTTGGGATTGGACTGGCCATTATTGTTCAGATTGTTGATTCCATATTGATTCGTCTGAGGATTGAGGCCCCACTGCTGGTTGGGCAAAAGCGGTTGCTGTGGATTCTGTTGATTCTGGTTCGGGTTGTAGTAGGTGTCGCTCTGACCGACCGTCGGCTGCAGTGCATCCAGAACGGCGGCTAACACGAGCAGGGCGCGCAGCAAGTGCCACATCGTTGCGCTGAGGAGAGGACAGAAGTGAATGAATTAGAAACGTTGCGTATAACGCATCTTCCACACATGCACTATTAATAGAGGGCTCTGATTTGGCCGTTCTGTTTGTTGTTTTATGCCTGACCAACAGGGTGCTTCAAGTTTACTCAAAAATCTTTTCTTTTCTAAGAGTTAGATAAGATAGAATTCGTAAAATAAATTAAAACTAACTTAGAAGACAAAATATTGTTATGATAATGGTACTTAAAAAAAAAAAAAAAAAACTGCTTCTAATCATTTAAGGAAAATTACAAATAGAGCTCATATTAAGTTATTATTTTTTAAGCTAATTTTGAAATCATTCTTGACACACCCTATTGACCAAATAATGGGCCGCAACTCATGTTCGAGGATTGTTGTCGGTTGGTTGATTTCCGCGTGCTGCGAACAAGTCGTTAATGAGGGCGCCGACTTTGGTATTAATAGACTATATACACTCGATCTGGCAGTAGCAATGAACGTATCTTCAGGGAGATCTTGTGAAGCGGCAGGCGGCACTATTGAAACTATGTCAAACATTAAGTAAAATGTCATTCAAGTGGGTGTGCAATTAGTCTTGGACGACGAGATGTGTGCCAGGCAGGGATTTGGGGCAGCCAAGTTTCCCGCCGAATGCGTTTTAAATGCCTCCGTTATTTATGGTTGATTTGGAAGAGATTATAAAAAGCCCAGCCCCACAAACCGCTTTGATCACAAATAGAACTATGCACCCAATAAATTGTTTATGATTATATTCCTATAAACATTTTAAATTGGTTATCATTATTGATGAGAACCTGATGTGAAGTTGGAAAAATGAAAATGTTTTACTTCATTTTTGAACTTAATGGGCACCTATAAAAGTAAATTAATTGTACAGTATATTTTGTTGAAACCACCTAATAATTGGTTATGGCTGCCTTAAAAACCAATAATAATTATCAAAAAATTTAGGAAATGTTCTCCCTTATTTCATTATTTTTTCCAATTTGCATATTATATACATTTTATCGCATAATAATGGCTTATTATATTCTTTTCGCGAAAAGGCTGGTGGTGGAATGTTTCGAAAATTTAAAAAATGCACATAATTTAAGGACCGTGGCTTATCAGCACACAATCAACCGGGAGAAATTAAATATATTATTCCAGCAAGGACTCTACTCAGGTATTAATTCCATAGGCTAGGTAAAAAAAGTCAACTTTGAGGCAACAATACAGAAAGGAACAAAAACCGGCAGTACAATGAGGCACCGACTCCTACCTTTAATGTAGAAACACGGATAAGGTGAACTGAAACTGTAGAGGGAGTGTGTCTGCATTTGAAATGCATTTACCGGCAAAGGAAAAGGGGAAGGAAAGGGAAAAGTAACACACTGGAACTGAGCGAAACACGCAAATAAAGCGGCTGCTACCTGACCATAGATATAGGTGTCTACATGTGCCCGAGCGAGATACTCTGTGCACTGAAGCAGCAGAAGTTACTGGCCTATAGGGGTCTCTACTCTCGGCAGTGAAAACAAATACCGAACTCGTAATAATTTCAACAACGCGACTTGTAATCCACCCTTCGCACACACCTACACAATAAAAAATTAAAGCCAATTAGATACTCTCCGCTTTAGTTGATGATAATAATTCTAGTTTCTAGAGCCTGTATTTGCTAACCCTTATTAACTATTGTCGATTTTTCAATTTAAAAGTTTTCGAAACTTTTTTTACACATTTAATTCCATGGTTAAAAATGTGTTAATAGCTAATAATAAATACCAAATTCTTTTTCTTTTATAATTCTTGTTCTTACACAATTGTTTCTCTCAGTGTACAAAGCCACACCACCACAAGCGTAGTTGAGTAAAGTGGGCATTAATTAGCCGAGAAGACCCATTCAAAGTTGAGAGGGCAAAAGTGCAATTGAAACGGCAGGCAGGACATTTTGGGCGGTAAAAGGAGCAACTGTTGGCGAAATTTGAGAGCCTAACAGCGAAAAAAGAAAGAAGACGCCGATATCCAATTGGGCAGCAGGTGGCTTAAAATGCCTGCTTCACAATTCCTTGATGAGTGCGAAAAAGCGCCTTTTAAGGATCGCACTTCACTTAACTAAACCCTTTTTTGTGACAAAACTAGCATGCAACCAATATTTTGGACACTTCTTCAATTTTCGGTCAACGCCCATGTGCCAACAACAACACAATAACACTGGCTTAGGCATTTGAGGCAGGCAAACACACAAATTGGGCGGGTCGCCAAGTGGAACAGCTCAAAAACGCTCCTTTACTCACCTTGTTAACAAAATCAATCTGCTTTCGGTGCTCAGCAAGCCACACACATTGTATTAATCAACAGAAAGGTAAATAAAACTAACTCGGGAACTCAAATATTCGAAAAAATTAAACAACACAAAACCAGCAGCGATCCACACCCGCTTGATGACTTATGCAATGTGACCGTGCTTTAAGCGTGGAAATATACCAGATCTCAGGTGTGGCCAAAAAGTGTGAAATAACGGTTTTTTACTATATAGAATAGGGCGAAAGGACATTTAATAGTTCATTTACTGAAATAATGGGCTTTATTTGTTTGTTTTTTATTTTACCTTGCTACTTGTAGGTAATGCAAAAAACTAAATTTCCATCCTTGTAAGTTCAGAAAAAAAAACTTCACGCATATTTCTACAAGACAGCTTTAATTACTAAGTTTATGTTTAGGATTTTAAATAATCTATTGCTCTTCATCTCTGGTATTTTACGAACAAATTAATGTGTGCATTAACAAATAAATTTAAAAAAGTTATTACTTATTATTTTAAATAGATAAATTGAGCTTCGCACCATGAACTGGTGGTCAATTTTTTCAACAAAATGTTATATACTAACAATATCATAAAAATACATACATAAATCAAATTAATTTTTGAGACCCCCGAGATTCTAGGCATTGCCAACAAACGAATGATTAATTACACAAATATTATAAAATAAAATCATTTTGTTATTGTAAATTTAGTATTAACTTGGCGGCTGACATTTAGAGAGAGAAAGATGGAAGGCATCGGCAGCTGCCGATTGAGATGGCAAAAGCTTAACAATATTTTAATAGTGTTGAATAATGGCGCGGTCGGCCGTTTTGGTATGTATCGTGCAGTATTTTTGCAGGTATTTAACCACAAACTTTGGTCATACCGCCGCTTCAGTTGTCTGTGTGTGTGTGTATTGTATGCATGTGATGTAAGGTCATTCGCGTGAAAATATCAGCGAGGAAAAATCGAATTTTTGTGTTTTGTGTGCTAGGTAAATGCAAAAAAGAGTGCAAAGTCGATCGGTTTAAGCCACAGCCCGTGCGTCAGCGGTGAAAGTGTTAGCCCGCTCGGGCGTTTAACGTGTGAAAATTCGCCTAGAAGCCAAAGGTGCTGGGTTGCCCAACGCAAAAATTATGACGAAAAGCACACCAGTACAGTGCCCTCTCTCTCGCACACACGCACACACAAGCAAGCAGTCGAGGAGCTGGGAGAGCTAGAACCTAGAGTTGTCAACGCTCTGCGAGGAATTTCGTCATTGAGCGGTGTACATGTGTCGAGTGTGTGTGCGTGTTGTGTGTGTGTGGTGCGTGCCTCGCTCGATGTGTGTGTGCGAGAGTGCGTGCGTGTGTATTGGTAGTTTGTTCTCTTCTTTGGTAGTAAAACACAAAAGAAAAATCATCGGGGAAAAATGTGAAAAATGTACATAATTCGTAACCCAGTCTGCGGCAAAGTGCTCGCCAGCCAGAGCCCGAAAATCGTGCTGAGATGAAACACCGCGCAGCGATTGAAAAACTATTACATAAATAGTGCAAAGTGTAAATGTTATTGAAGGCAAAAAGGCAGAGCAGCGTAGGGAAAAAGCGCCGCGCACGCTGTCGTCATCGCTGCTAAAAAAGCAAGAAGAAAGCGAAAAAGAGAAAGATAAAAAGACACCCCCTACCCAAAAAAAAAAGAAATTACTTAAAACCCCAACGCGTTACTATTACTATGCCGAAAAGTGTTCAAAAATGTGTGTGGGTGTTTGCCGTGTTCTTTTTCGTACATACTCCAGTGTGATGTTTGATGTACACTATACATACAGGCCAATAACTTTTAGTTAATACTGTAAATAAACTAATAACATTTAATGCGTGCGAGTGTGTGGGTGTGCGAGGAGTACGGCCCTGCGCCTGTGTGAGTGACCTCGTGTGCGTGTGTCGCGTGTTTCGCTGGTGTTGGTGTATCTGGCAGTGAGTGTGTGTGAGTGTGCGGCGGCAAGGAGTGTCATGCGTATATTTTTCCTCCCACAATCCAGCCCGACCCCCTTTCGATCCCTTTTTCCCTTCCCCCTTTTCCAACACTGACCCACTGGCTGAGCCTATCCAACCAACAACAACAAAAACAATAAGCAGGCGGCAGCAGGCTCCTTTGCTCCAACGAGTTTTATCTTGTTTTGCCGTTTTAATCATATGCGGGCGCAGAGAAAGGAGAAAGCATTCAGAGAGAAAGAGAGAGGGAGAGAGCAAAGAGGAGACAATCACGTCATCCAGCTTGCCATGACACACCAACATCAACATCGATACAGTGAGGGCTCTCGTTTAATGAACGGCTTTGCAATCGCTGAAAATAGCCAAACTCACTCCTACTTGCGGTTTGACCGGTGCTTTTTGTCATCCAAAATTCCATTGCATACTTCGCGGATTACGAGCACAGTGAGGAAAAGTCGTTAACCAAACTGCGTAACGAGACTTCAAACAATCAAGTTAAACTTTTGATAGGTCCTGTGACTTCTCTGGGCTTGCATAATCTCAATATTTAATATATTACTTTTCGCTTAAGATGATACAAGATATATCCAAATTAAAAATTTTGTAGCATACTTTGCGGACTCAATGGGCTCTAGGTAAATTGAAAATATTTACTAAAAGGCACGAAAAATCTTTCTTTAAAATTGTTTAGATTTTATAACAAAAAGTACATTGCTTTGACCTTTACCGTAATTTGGCCTTGGGTATTTAGGGTGCAAAGTTTATCTCTAGTCCTTAGTGGAAAAAAATAATATTCTTAAACCCCTTTTTAAATGGTGGTTTTATTTCAACCATCGATTTTTACTCAAAGCCTTACTTTACTGTAGCGGCCATCAATGACTACACCAACACACACTCATTTGAATGAACTTTATTGGCTAAATAAAGAAGAAGAAGCCGAACGAGCTCGAGCGCGTGAATTCGATTGTGATGGAACTCAGTCATATTTTTCTAAGCCTTTTAATTAAGGCAATTAAATTGGCTCCACACCCCCGCAAAAAAAACATCTTTTGCCGTCAAGTTTGCACTGCGCTTATTATTTAATTTATATTTGCTTTTCGGGCATCTTAGGTTCGATTTTTGGCCTGAGCTCAAAACAGCATCGTTCGTGTGTGAGCGCCGCTTGGGTGTGAGTATGTGTGTGTGAGTGGGGGGCTTGAGTGAGTGTGCGAGAGAGCAAATAAACTGAGTCATGGCTGACGATGACGTTATGCTGCTGCTCTTTTCAGTTCTATTATATTACACTGCCCAAGTTGCGGTTAAGGCAATTTGTCTCCAAAGTGTTTATGCTCAAAGTTTGCCAATAAAACGCGAAAAAGAAGGAACAAAACTTTGGCACAAATGCCCACACACAACTACCATGGCATTTAGCATTCGATTGACCTCGAGGCCAACAGCAGATCGATAGCATTGTTTTTTGTTTCTCCTCCGAATCGATAACATGCCGCACACACCACCACCCCCACCCATCTGCCCCCAAAAATTTTGGCTTTAGAAACGGAATAGTTTGTTTAGGATGCTCCTACTCCGTCATCTGATTTTACTTCTGAGTAATTTGAAACTAAAGGAACCATAGAAATTTGATGAAATCACTTTTTCTGTTTTTTACTGGAGGGTTGAATTTTATCCTTTAATGTTACCCAAATTAAGCAGCTGTTACTAACAGTATTAACTCAGTCAACACAATGGAAACAATGAAATAAAATATATAGCCGTATAGAAATTGTATTTCATTGGAGAATGAAATCATCTTTTATAATGTCATAAATTTAATTTAGTGTCATTTAAAAAGAAATCAAATTACCAAAGAAATAAACATGATTGGGTCGGAGAGTAAGATAAGATCATATTTATTTAATATTTAAATTAACACTCCCAATCCTCAATCTTTATGCGTGCACATTTAAATGAGTTATATAAGGAAATAACAAAGTAAATTATCACACTCAGTGAGTTATACATGTTTAGCTATTTATATGTTATCAATTTCCGATGGTTTAGGAAAATTTATTAACTTTACAATAGAACTAAACATTGCCGTCATAGAAATTGACTTCTGGAAGATAGATAGGAGATATCGGCAGCTCAATCAAATGAAAGATAAGAATTGAATAGCATTAGCAGAGCCCATAAGAAATATAATTTGTATATTGTTGTTCAATAAATCTTTTCAAGTTCCACTTTAAATCTGCTAGCATTGCAAAATCTTCAGCATGAGTGTAGCAAACACCTCATCAAATACTATATACCCTTGATCGTTACGCTCAGCGGGTAATACTAACAGCTGATTTCATATTTGTTCTCGCAGATTTGTAAAAATAAATACGCCTGACCAATAATAAATGCGACGAGACGACCGCCCGTCCGCCCGTCCGCCCGTCTGCCCGTCTTTTGTTCCGCTCCCCCCTCCCGGATACCTCTGATCCCCCTGAAAGCCCCCGGATCCACCACCCATGCCGAATTAGCAAAGTTCCCTGCCCGAAAAGATGGATATATGTGTGTATGTGTGTACGTACACTAATGTGCGAACCGCACAGAACCGCCCCAAACCAGTGCTGCAGTGCGAGCGGGACGGCAATGGACCAGAGCGGTCAGTTTGGACGGTCTGGGTCTTTGGGACTCTGCTGCGACTGGGCCGCGGACATCTGACGTCGTTGTCGACCATGCTCCGCTATAATATAATATAATATAATATTATATCATGTGGCCGGGGTTTTTTTTGGTGCTGGTGATACGCCTGCTGGTTGTACGGGAGCCCCGTATTTGTTCAAAGTACTGCATTGGGGGCTTTATCTTAATGCGATATAATGAGCGTCTGATTCGTGACACGTTACGGAAACATTTCTACTGGCGTTCCATCTGCCTGCCTGCTTTCTGCTTTCTGCCCGCACGTCGTCTGGCGGTAAACAAAAAGCGTCCGCTCTATGATTTAGCGTTGTTGGTTTGATGGCTTTATTGCCAGCGTTTTTGGAAATTTGTTTTTACTAGTTTTGGTTGTTTTTTCTGCATCGAACAATTGTTTGAAATACAAATGTGTACTTGTTTTTATGGTTCTTTTTTTGCGGAAGAGAGGAATAACCAAGAAGATACTATTTGATTTATAACATTTCACTTATTGTGTGTGAAATTCTTGTACTATGTGGATTTTAAAAATCTTTACAGGTGGGATTCCTATTGAAGGATATATGGAAGTATGATCCGAAGTATGATGTTCTAAGGACAAGTTAGGGCAAATAATAAAATATTTCTTTTTAAAACGTGTAGAAATATCTTGAACTCTTCAACGTGAGGCTTTTAACAGAGTTTTTATTTTTTTTCATTGAGAAAGTGCTTAAAATAAACGCGTTATTTTTGAGATATTTTAAAACCTTAAGGTCGGCAATACGGTAGTTTAATCAGCTATGTATGCTCTCTAAATCTGACAACACAAGTTAAGCCGTTTGCCCATTTCTATCTTATCATTTTTGCTTAGTCAGTGCCTGTCTTTCCGCACTGATAACTGTGGAAATAGTTGTTCTGTCGACGCATCTGCAATACGAAATTCTAGAAACAATAGATCTTCGGTTAGCTAACTGTTATCAGTGTTTATGCGGATGTCATGCCGTGAGGCAATAGGAATGTTATTTTCGTTCGATCATCAACTAATTGGCCGTAATTACTCTTAAACGATCAACATACAATCGTGGTGATACAATTCGTGGTAAAAAATCTAACGAAATATTTCAGTTCCAAAGTCCATTTTCTATGAATAGGTTAAAGGGCTTTCCCAATTCTAGAAATTTCTGAAAAAAATAAATACTTTCCAGGGTATCAAATGTTATAAACATTTTTATTGATTTTTTATTGAAAATAATCTCTTTTCGCCATTTTGTGAAGCACTCGTAATCGGACTGGTCAAGATAACAGTCGAACTGTACAGATAAGCTGACGAGTGTATATCAAACGGAACCCAAATCACTGTGCGTCGACGTCGCCGCAGCAGCGACGCCGACCGAGGCAGCTACGCCAGCTGCTGCGTTGGCAGAGGCAAGTGGAAGGCGGCTACTCTCGTCCGGCGGTCATGTGTGCGGTTCAGTCTGCTCACTGAATTCGCCGCGTTCGTTCCGTTCGCTCCGTTCGCTCTGTTCTGTTCGCCTCGTTTTGGCCCGTTTGCCAAATTTCGTTCGCTTTTTGTGTTCCCGTTGTGCAACAACAACTAAATAGTACAAGTACGAATACTACCTTGCGGGATTAGCAACAACAATGGCCATTGGCTAAAAAAGCAGCTAGAAATTGTTGCTTTTCTCGTGTAAAACATAATTATTTGCTCTCGGTCTCAAGAATCTCTCTCTACCTACTCTCTCTGTCTTTCTCTCTCGCTCGCTCTCTTTTTGGCCGTGTCTAGCCAGAAAAATAGTATTTTCGTCGTCAACGTGCCATAATTTCTTTTTTCTGTTTTGGCAGCAAAAAAATAGAATTTTTGGACTGGGACAAATTTGGTGCGTGTGTGTGTGCTGTGTTGTGTGTGAGAGCTTTTCCGAATGTGCGTGAAAATAAAGCTGATAAAGTTAACGTTAAATTAGCAGGCAGAACTGGCCACCCATTCCCACCCCCTCAAGTGAACAGCACGTGTTTAGCACCAGTAAAGCAATAAAAGCAAAAATAAAATTAAATAAGAACAAAAATGAAAAGTTTATATTTAGTTGAATGTTAAATGTTGTTCGTTCGGCTTTCGTTTAGATTTTGGTCTTTTCGGTTTTGTTGCATCCTTGATTCCACTCCTTCCCCTCTTTTACCTTCTTAAATTTGAAATTTATGTATTTTGAAAAGTTTTCGCTTTTTTTTTTCCTTTCACTGATTTTTCTTCCATTTTTTTTCTTGCAAAAAGCATACAAATCCGAACGAAAGACACAACAAAAAGAGGAAGGCGAAAAAGAAGAAGAAGCGCACGAAAGTTTGCCTTCAACGAAAATAAATGCAAAATGAGAAATTTCTTAATGTTTTTATTTGCGAAAATAGCTTCATGAATTAAGAACAAAATAGAAAAGCTGGAAGAGCAAGGAAAAGCTGGTTTAATTACTAAATAGGAAATTCGCATTCAAGCAAAAACACCAAAACGGAAGATCCAAAACAAACCAACCAACAACAACAACATCAACAGCATCAACTAATATCAAATTAAATAACTAAGCCTAATAACGTATACATTTAAAGATCTATTTATAAATTAATATTTACCATAATGATTTAGTAAGTTAAGCTTAAAGTACAAAACAAAAAAAGAGAAAAGATAAAGGATACACCACAAACCAACAACAACAACCAACCAACAACCACAAATAATTAATCAATCAATTAAGAAAGTAAATTCACAAACTATTATGCAAATGACAAGGAAATAACGAAAACGACAACAACAACAAGTCACCAACAACCACACATCGGCAGCATAATTAATAACAACCAACAACAACAACGGATCAATACCAAAGATGGAGGCGAAATTCTTGGCTAGCGCTCTTTCATTCCTCTCGATATTTTTAGCGATTTATGCTCAATCACTTGGTGAGTACCCCCAACCTTAACCACATCATAGACAATAAAGCCCTCTACAATAAGCATAATGATAAACAAAGAAGGCCCTTTTAACCTATAAGTTGACCCCCCACCCCCAACCCCTCTTGAAAACCCCTTTACACATATGTATGTATGTACGTTGCACCGGAGGATAAGGGAATACAAAACAAAATATATAGAATACGTATGGGTAAACTGCAGCTGTGAGAGCAGAAATTGCAAAACAGAACACAACCGAACCGAACAAAGCAAAACAAAGCGGGAAAAAAACGAAGGGGAATAAATAAAAACAGCAGATTGTTTGTGGCTTACTAAAACACCCCCCACCCCTAACCTTATATCGCGCCCCCTAATTGCCCCGCCGCCTAAAACACTGAACTACGCCCACACTGGCAAGGGCGAGGGTTTTCCCACCCGACTTTTCCCCTTTCCAAGTTCACCTTACGCCCTGGTACACCAACCGCAACAACGGAAGCAAACAATTTTAATAAGAGGTGACACGAATCGATGACGAAGTTATCGAACATGTCAGAGAAATCGCTTTAATTCAGCAGGAATCGATTTTTATTAGAACTTACAGTTATATCTAAACCAAGTGGAATATAGTCAGGGATGTTCGATAACTGTATAATCTTATAAAAATATATTTTCGAAAGTTGTTCGAGATTAAGAATTTTTCATTTATATTTTAGTTTAGTAAAAATATATATTGAAAAACATTTTTACTACGCTAGATATATTTTCTATCGATGTTTTTCATTGAAGAACTACTTAAGAAACGTTTTGAAATAAACGTTTCTTTGAGTAACCCTAAAAGTAGTTTTAAAATCTCCACATTCAGGCAAAAGCTTTCGAAATTCTTTGCAATAACTATTTTTGTGGCTGCACAGAAGTGTTGAATGAAGATTTTAACCCGCTACTTTTGAGTGGCAAACTTTTATTTCGCCAACGTTCGCAGCTGTAAAGAGAGAGAAACAAAATGGACAATCACATTTCTTCTTTGCCTGGCTTTATGTATTCTCTTTTCATATTGCAAGAGCCCCCTTACCACCAACCCATTCACTCCCACTCCCCCCACCACCACCCCCACTTTGGACAAGGTCTCTTCTGCATTCTACTGTTTTGGCCTTTGGTTAAGCGGACTTCGATATTTTCGTGTTGCCTTTATAGTTCATATTGTTGGCTCGGTTGGACTTGGGATTGGATTGCTTGCTGGGTGCTGCCATATCGACATTGTTGCTTATGTTGTTTTCCCTCGGACGCTTCTGCTGCTTCTGCTGCTTTTGCTGCTTTCGTACATTTTCCGTCGCTTTTCCCCTTCGCGCGACCGCATTCATTTGATTTTCAATTTTCCACACAATTGCTAAAAGAGAACGGCAGCAGCGAATGTCGGAGGAAAAGCGCAAAGGAGGCGAAGAAGAGTATCAAGTTCATTTCGTTTGTACTGAAGGGGGCAATCTTTAAGAATTTTTTTTGTTTAGCTTTAAGGCGATTTTACATGCGGTCCAATAATTACGGTCTGTCTCTGCTTTTTGCTTGGCCTCCGCTTGTTTATATTAACTTCAGTCGACCCGAAGCGAGGCAATCTGAAACGAAACGATACGATACGATTTACCGATTTGCCCGTTTACCGATACGTACCCGATACGAACCGGTGGCGGCCTGCATTTTGTTTACAATTGGAACTGGCCAGCGCGAAACCGCCTCCCGTTTTCCCCTCTTCGGGGTTTATCTCCATCTATTTATTATTCTATGCATACTATCCATTTACCATTTACCTATTCTACTTTATTCCATCCATCTATCCATTTTTTTTATCCGTCCGGCGGAAAGTCCGTCTGGCTCACTACCAAAACCTACGTATGTTCATGAATTTTGATTTTTTTTTTTTTTCGCCGTTCGGTTCGGTTTGGCTGGTTTTGTTTTGTTTCGTACATTATTTAGCCCCATGCAGCTATTTTCACATTCAAGGTGTATTAATTGAGTTTTTTCTCGTTTTTTTTCTATTCATATGCTGGCATTTATTCATAGTTGATTGAGGGTATTCGTGCCATAAGCACAGAGGATCTGTTTAAAGGCAGGGCGTAAATAATTTAAGGTTATTTTCATGTCTTTATTAGGTTCTGTGATTGATTTATTCAATTATTTATACATGTGCATGGATTGGGGAGCGCTGAAGAGTTTTGCAGGCAATTACCAATGAAAAAGGAGGCGAAATTTTAAAAGAGTTTTAAGGAGTGCACACACTCTTCGGTAGAAAAGTGTTTATAAAATATAGTCTAAGTTTAGGATACCACCATTTTCTTAATTGAACATTACTTAGCGTTTATTAGTCTTTTTGTTTGTGTTTTTTTCTGCACATGCTGTATTTTCAATGATTTTTCAAATTGTTTACGTAAATAAGCAGGCAAAATAAAAGAACTTTCCAGGCACACACATCGAAGGAAAATCCGCATGGAAAAAAGAAGAAAAGCGATGCCTCCAGGGATCGGGGAAAACAGTTGTAGGTACATATACATATGTTTGCACTACATGAATCACTTTGTGTTCTGGGCCGAAAGAATGGCAGACTGAAGCCAGAAAGCCAATATGAAGAAGCATTCCTTTGTCTCCCAGCCGAATTTTCCCCCACACCACTTCAAAGCAATTTTCAGCTAGTGGCGGAAAAACCACGTGTTGTCCAGGTGTTTGTGCTGCGGACGAATGTGCGAAGAGCCAAAAAATAATGCTCGGTTCTCCCGCATTTAGGCCCCCTGTTTTTTTTTTTTTTTTTTTGCAAATACTCCCTAGGTCTTGTCACATATATTTTTCCTTCTGTTTTTTTTTTTCTTGCGGAATATCCAAAAGCAGGTGGAATGCCTTGGCAAGTGCCTTCATTTCGGCTGTTGACTGCGCACATTCGGCTAACCAGTTTCATTCTGCCATGTTTATTTAATGACATTTTCATTACATTAATAAATGTCAAATATTTAAATTTCGGCTCACCCAGCAAAAGGAAGCTAAAGCAAACAAGGAGCGTAAAACGAAACCGATGCACAGTGGGTTGCAAAAAGGTTTAAGCGTGTACAAAATATTGGTTCTTTTGGTTTTCAATAAACAAAGGAAAGTTCCCCAAATAATTAATCTGGCATCGTTTATGAGGCATTACTCTTTTAAATATTGCAAGGCTTTCAGAGAAAGGTTAATATTAAATAAAAAAAAATATCTCCCTATTTATTTATTAGAAAGAACTCAGTTCTTTATTTGGTACAGACTGAAACTGAAAATCTGAACTAGAATTAAATATATTTTATCAAATATAAATATTTGTATGTTTAGTAGAGTGCAAATATGTAATGAAACCCATTTACTGATTTGTTCAAATCAAAGCAATATATCTCTAAGAAGCATTTTAGCGGCATAAATCAAACCCTTTTTGCTGATCAGAATCTCAAGAGGCATTCGCTTTAACTCCTTGAACTGCTAAACAATAATTCAATGCTGTTCTGCTCTCCTTTGCTTTCGCTGCATTTGCTATAAAAATACATTACAAAAGGCACTGATTGTCTTGGGTATCTGCATTTTGCATTGAATCCGAGATGATTTGTGTGATACGAGAGGAGCGATGGAGGGAGGGGGAGGTGGGAGGTGGGAGGAGGATGTGGGCGGGCAAGAGACTCTGGGTGTTTTTGCCTCTTTTGCAAAAACATTATTTTTATTAAGACAATAAACATGAAATGTAATTTCCCTTTCAATGTCATCGTTGTTGCCTGGCGTTGGCTTCACTTTAGTTCAGTTCAGTTCAGTTCTTGACTCGGATCGGGTTGAGTTTTGTGGGTGGTTGGTTTTTTAGCAAACACTCTCGCACGCACCCACACACACTCACACACACTAACACACTCACAAAGAGAAAGGCGTGACGGTGAAAGAAAGGCTTGGCTGGCAGTTTCTGTGTTCTATAGTTCCATGGTGCTACATAGTGCTATAGTGCTTTAGCGTGGGCGTGGCATTGGCTTGCACTTCCCCCTTTCGCTTCTGATGATTGCACATTGTCTGGAATTCAGCGATTGCAGTGGAAAACTCTCATTCTCCTCCTCTGTCTCCTCTCTTTTCTTGTTCTTCTTTTGCTTTCTCCGCCACTGCTGCCTGTTCTTCTGACTCTTGTTCTTGTTCTTGTTGTTCTTCAATATAGAGGTTGCCTTGTGTTTCCGGTCCGTGCCAGATAATGGTTGCTTAAACAGGGCACGTCCATAAATATATATACATATGTAGGTGCATTGTATGTAAGCTTCGTGCACAGCAAACAAAAATTAGCTCAAGGCGAAATAAATAACTTTTAACTGGAATAGTGATTGATACAGAAAGATATTCACTTATTGCATTTCAAAGTCTTGAAATTAAAATGTTAAATTTATTTTAATACAAATATGAATTCTTTCGTTTAGGAAATCCCCAATTTAATTTATGCAATTTGTAACACAAATAAATTGTAGATGCAATTATTTATCAAAATCAACTATGCTTAAATTTGCATTATAATGCTCTCAGATATATTATCCTCGCGAAGAACGGATGCCAATTTAATTAAGATCTAGTGACGCAAGATAAGAATAAAATTCCCATTTAATGACGCACAATAGAGGAGTGAAGTGGCGATAAATCAAGACCCGCAACCTTGACTTTCGAGCGTCCTCCGCCTTTTTGCGCAGTGTATGCATATGCGTGTGCACCTTTCTGTGATGCGTTTTCCTGCTAATTGAGGGCGGTAACAAGGAGGAGGTGGGGAATGTCGAGCACAAAAACAAAGTTGTATTTTAACGCCCTTATCTATTTAGCGTGAAACCACCTACCACCTACCACCCACCTCCCACCTCCCAGCGACCCCCTCACTCGATTTTATGGTTGTTGCTCTTTTATTAGCAGGTACCCGATAAAAGCTTAAAGTTCACACATTTGGCAGACCTTTCATCCGGCTATATCCGTGCTTATTTGTCTGTATGCGCGCTCCA